CTGTCTGCCTGTCTGCTTCTCTATCTCTCTCTACCCCTATCTCTGTCTGTCTCTCACTCTCTCTCTCTCTCCCTCTCTCCCTCTCTCTCTCTCACACACACACACACACACACACACACACACCCATTTCTCCCACACACACACGCACACACACACATACACATTATCTCTCACTCTTTCAATTTTCTCAATTCGCTTCATAATCCTTTGCTTCCACTTGTTTTCTGTGCACATTTGTTTATGTTTGTTTTTGTGTCTTGGTTCGATTTGGCTAAATCATTATTCAGTTTTGTCTTCATGCACTTGACTATACGAGTATACCTGTGTCTTCTTCCCCTGCTATCTTAAAACCCCTTTCTTGGTCCAGATAAATTCTATTATCTATAATGATTGATGCAATATAAAAAAAAAAACGTATCAATGTTTGGTTAGAGATATTCTAGGCCGAATAACAGGAATAATATTTGTTTAAACTGTGGAAATCTTAAAATCATTTTAAAAGATGGTTACAAAAATCCACTTGTAATTACTAATACCATACCCCCATCGTACCTCTTCATGCCCTGGCATGGGTAATAACGATGCAACACATCAGCACCTGGTATAGAGTGATCATGTCCATTATTGATACAACTAAAAGGCGACAACTGCGTTTCCGTGCCTCCGGCACACCATCCCCTACACCACAATCCTAAACACAGAAGAAAGAGAGAGAATGGGGGAGGGAAGGGAGAGAAGGAGAGGAGAGGAGAAAGAGAGAGAGAGAGAGAGAAAGAGATGAGAAAGAGAGAGGGGGAGAGAGAGAGGGGAGGGATAGAAAGTAGAGAGAGAGAGAGAGGGAGAGAGAGAGAGAGAGAGAGAGAGAGGGAGAGAGAGAGAGAGAGAGAGAGAGAGAGGAGAGAGAGAGAGAGAGAGAGAGAGAGAGGTGGGGCGTTACGTCCGGACCTGGGAGCTATGTGAAGTTTCAGTGACCGCTCATTTATTTGCTTGTCAAAATTTTGTGTGTGAACTGTTGATATTTGTCAAAAAGGGAGGGAGAGAGACGGAGGTATAGAGAGAGAGGGGGAGGGTGGAGAGAGGTGGGGGAAGAGGGAGAGAAAGAGAGAGAGAGAGAGAGAGAGAGAGAGTGAGCGTGGGTGAGGGAGAGAGAGAGGGGTGCTGATCAGGCTACTCTGTCTAAATATTCGTGAATGAATAAATTAATAAATATTGTTTTTAAAGAGAGATACCAAAACAAGTGGAGTGGGGAGAAAGACAGTGAAGAGAAGAAAGAGAGCAAGAGTTATATTCATTTTGCGCCTTGTTTACATGCGCCTTGTTTACATTTTGTGTATAAATATTGAAGATTATAATTATTCTTCTCATTTTCATGAATTTAAATTATTGGCAATGACCGATACACAATTCAATATAAACAAAACATTATGAATGTGTTCATATGAATTTATCAATACGAAATGTGTCAACATCTTCAGTAGATAACTCATACAACTGTAAGAGGTAACGAATAATAATAATAATACTACTACTAATAATAATATTTATCAAGCGCAACATATCCATCTCTAGAGATGCTCAAGACGCATACAAATATTTTGAATTAATATTCAACATACGTAAGATTAAAGAAATATTAAATGTTAAGTTCATCACACAACCTCGGTGTGTCATGGTACATACAATGTGACACCGTGTGATTATCGCATGTAATTAATGATTCCAGTCGGACCTAAAGCTTGATCTGAGTTGTACTGCCCACTCATAACTCAATATTTCTCTACTATTTACGCAAGATCGAGAACTATTGAACCCTTTAAGTATGAACACGGTCAACCTCTAAGCAGTGGAATGATGGGACGGGCACCCCTGCCGAGACCTAAGGGTTGGCCTCCCCGTCACACCTGCCTGGCTCGCGGCAGGGTGCTAGGAATGCAACCCGCTCCATCGTGTAGAACGCTATGGGTGCCTGGCTGGGTGATCGATATAATCTTATTAGAGACTCTCGAATCAGGTCATGTAATTACCATGAAAAACAACGAAGAACATAGCTAGACAAGCCAACTCTAATATCTGAATGAATGAGGAGAGGGCAGGAATAATATACACAAGCTCAAGTGCCCCGAATCATGTGGGTACAGGAAGGGGGAGGGGGAATCGGAATTACACTACTTTACTATATATCAGTAACTTTAATTGTCAATAATGTTTAATTCGATTTGATTTGATCACCAAAATCCACGTCACATTGTAATAAATAAGGAACTAAGGACAGCAATGGAGGTTAGCAACGCCAAGATGATAATATTCCACAGAATCCACAGTCATAATGGTCGCCTTGTAAACCACTTTTATTCACACGATGAAACGAATGTTCAAATTTGCACCTTAAACCGTACAAGAAAAGTCTCTCCAAATACAGAAAATTTAAACCTCATAATGTGCAATTTTGGCACCCTCGACAAAAAGGGGTTAGCATCCGGGTAATATTGAACCTCAACAAGTAGATAGAAGAGTTAAACCAAATTCAGTTTAATTTTACACACTCGTGAGCGCTGCTACCAGGCTTGGATACAAATTTCAACTTTTATGTTTTACAGAATTGCACAGATTATTAAAGGAAATTGGATGGAAAATCATAGAATACAGTCAACGAAACGTGAAAGACATGATAAAAATGACTAAGTGAGGGATGAAAAGGTGTTTATATTAAACTCACGGTCATCGAACGTAGGGAAATTGCATATTGAAGTTTTTTATCCCATCATTTTTCTTCATATACCCCCCTCTTCTCTCTCTCTCTCTGTTTCTCCAACTCTTTCTTTTTCCACTCTTTCTCATTGGTATTTGTCTCCAATGGTGTGTCATTATTACAACATCGTCATTACCATGACATATTGCATCTTATAGTTAATTATACATGGATTAAGTTTAACTTTGTTTCTGCGAATAAAACCATGATTGTATAAATAATGCACCATAACCTCTTCTTCTTCTTTATCTTCTTCTTCTCTTCTTCTTCTTCTTCTTCTTCTTCTTCTTCTTCTTCTTCTTCTTCTTCTTCTTCTTCTTCTTCTTCTTCTTCTTCTTTACCATTGCTTTAATAGTTACAATTCAAGCAAAGCGCATCGCTTTATTAATGACGAATAACAAAATAATATACAATCAATCGAGATATGCGATGTACTTATGGGCCTATTAGTTGTGTTGTATAGGTACAGAGTACTAATGGCCCCTTCCCCCATCCCACCCCTTGATATGAAATATGTTCCTGATTAATAGAGACATACGTTAAGATATAACCCTGGACATCATGCACGCCAGATAGGATATCGCTTCCAGACACAAGCCACATCTGCTCCTGTTTTTGTCCCTCATACAATACCTCAGTCACACCGCCAAACCGACTCCAAACCGATCCATTTGGGGCCATTCGGGACAATGTAATTCTATGATCGGAACTGTGTCAGTGTCGTCGGTGTGACTAGGTCTAAAATGAGATAAAGGTGTACCTATTGATGGTCAGGTCAACGATCTCTGCATGCGGTCTCTGTCACGACCATACTCATAGTCAGTCATACAAAATATAGTTCCAATCGATGGACCAACTGTCTTCAAATTCAAGTTAATATAATTTATTCAATTGATTTTCATTTTTCACTAAAGCAATACCCTTTGGATATTGTGAATAGTGGAAATAGCATTGCATTTGTATTTTAGCTGTCAAAAAGAGTTTTACAAAACCCCATAAAACACTAGATCAAGCAACAACCATGGATCTACCTAGGGGAATTATTGATGTGGGCGGACGCCCCCATGTTTGTTGTGGCGTGTGAAGGCTAAACTATATCTGGTCATGAACTTGGTGATCACACCATCCCATATAGTTTCATTCAATACGAGTGGGCATCTCGCCAGGTTCAATCCCACTGCGAACATCCAGTTAGGAAACCACAAACGTGTACAAATTAAAACAGAATCTGATGGCAGCGTAATCAGCATAAACAAATTAGCGGCCGATTTCGACACTGAAAATAGCAACGTCCGCCCTCCCCATGCGAGGCTTCGATTGATGCGTGTTGTTTCAGCCGACGCTTCCGCGGGGTGAACACGGGATTGTGCCGTAATAACTCACCCGTGATTCGCTTAACTTTGTTTTCGCTTCTCAACCCAGGGACTATCATGCCTGTCTTTAACCTATACATGCACACTGCACGGGTTCAAGACACGCCATGATAATGCATTAGCGAATGTACGATGATGTATGTACCTAGCCAGAATGCAGTCTTCAAGGGAATGCTGAAATGATGAAGTTATTGGAAAATATAATTTCCAAAGTTTCTATGAGAACCAACCCCTTCCGACACACCCGCCGCTCATAAGGAATAATTTTCACAAGGGAGGAAGGGGGGGGGGGGATGAAAGCATACAGATAGACACATTATTAAAGATGGATAGTTCTAAAGGAATACAATGCCAGATTCAGGATAATTTGACAGTGATGCTATATGTCATGCAGAGAGAGAGAGAGAAAGAGAGAGAGAGAGAGAGAGAGGATGGAAATAAAGGTATATATTTTGGCCAGATGGGGGCACACGATTTATATTAAATTGTTTGTGTTTTTATATCAAATTATAGCGGATTTAGTTTCGGTGGGAGGGGGAGGTGCGGCCCCATGAACCCTTAACAACTTTGAATTTGAAGAGAGCCTATAGTTTGGAAAATGGGTCCAATGATAAATATTGCAAAGCTCCCTGTGCGTCGAAAATATATCTGTCATTGCTATATCTACCAGGAGACACATTAACATATTACTATATCGATGCTAACAAATTATGATTGTATATTATTAATGTATCATTCCGCAGCCTTGAATTGATTAGGGACCCAACAGTTACAACGATCATATGATTTGTTCTCCTTCATTTATTCAAATGTGTCTTTATTCCTATTTCATCTTTTACACCATCAATGTTATCTCCTTTTTTTATCTTGACTGACAGGATGAAAGAAATCAAGTTATGACGACAAGTCTGTGGGTGAGACAGGTAAGATAAACATGCTCTATTTGATTTGTTATCTATTTATAAAGATATGAATTGTAACTCTTTAATCTACATAATATGTTTACAAGGTGGAAAATAATAACTTGCCTAGAAGCTTTATAAATTATAGTTACATCCATACCGGAACAAATCGAACGAGGAGCTGAGCAGTTGATACTATAATGAAACATGTATTTGATGGATATTGTAAAGCCACTCCATTTTTCTTTTTTCCTGACAAATTAACAATTTTTGTCGTAATTTCTCCAAGACATCTATGCCCACTGGCGTAGTATCAAGGGGCACAATGATGACTCTGCCCTCGCCCCTCATGAATCAGATAGCAAGGAAATAAATAAACAAGTTCGAGAAAGGAAGGAGATGATATCACTCCTCCCATGATACCCTTTCCCAAATCGGTGGCTTCGTTCATTCTCATTTCATCCACTGAAAGTCAGAGCCATTTATACACATAGTTTGGCCAACTTGGTTTCACTGGGTCACAACATGGCGTATATTCTTTTGTTTTGTGCTTTCCTAACAAAGCATATTTGCCATATTGTGTCCAACTCGAACCGGGTTGGCCAAACTCTGTGTATAGATGTGTATAGATGGCTCTGCTGAAAGTGATGCTAGTGCCCCCTCAATGACTAGACCCATCCGTCACCACTGGCCCTAATTTCATAATGCTGTTGATTATTTGTTATTTCAGCGATGGGAAGACTACCGTCTTGTCTGGGACCCTGCAGACTATGGGAACATCACCATGGTTCATATCCCTATCTTTCTACTCTGGAAACCTGACATTGTGCTCTACAACAAGTACGTATTCCTCATTTTGGCAGTTATTATTATTAATATTATTATTATTTATTCGGCAAAAACATTGAATACAAAACAAGAGTACATTTGGAAAAGAGTCACATGGATGCCAGGAAAAAAAAATTAACTAAAGAACTATAACCCGAAGGTCTTCTTTTCCAATAATGGTATAAAGGAAAACATAATTGCGAGATGTTCCTTTGGGATTGTTATTTGATTTCGAATGAGAGAAACCGAAAGCTCTTCCCATACCTTAATCAAGGTGCTCAAGAATGAATGAGGGTTCAGCTATCAGTGTCTTTAACTCATACTTTGTGCAAGAATACAATTTGCAACTTTGTGTAAGGACGAAAACGAAACAGTAGTCAGTCGTAACGGCTTCACCTACAAAGACGTCAAGAAGGAAATCAAATAACAATGATGATTATAGTTCGCACAAAATATACAGACTTCATTCACCAATACTCCCCTGGGACTGGAACCTGAAATCTTTTTTGGCTCTGTCACTGAAAATTCCAGACTATTAATTCATTTGAATAATCGGGAGTACTGTGTGCTACTCCATAAAGTTCCTTGTGTGAGACGTTAACTGTTGATCTTTCGTATACCGTTGTATTTTCAGTGTTGGAGGTTCCTACGCCATTACCATGCTGACCATGACTCAGGTCTATCCCAACGGCACCGTGGACTGGTTCCCTCCCGCCGTCTACCGAAGTTCCTGTCCCATCAACATCCACGACTTCCCCTTCGACGAACAGCGATGCCCCCTCAAATTTGGATCCTGGACCCATGATTATAGCAAGATCGACCTGCAACCCATCTCGGAGTTCGTGGGTCTCGAGCGGTTTTGGGAAAACCAGGAATGGGACATAGCCGAGACACCAATCGAGAGGCACAAACTCCAGTATCCTTGCTGCGATACCGAAACCTACGTTGACCTGACCTTTACGTTCGTCTTGCACCGGAAGTCGCTGTTCTACGTCGTGACCTTTGTTCTGCCCTGCTGCATGATAGCGTTTCTCACCATCTTCGTCTTCTACGTACCGTCCAATTGTGGTGAGAAGGTGAGGATAAAAGGATTCAATATCTGAATCTACCATAAAGCCAGAGTATCCCATTTAATGAAAATGTGAAGAAAAAAAAAACGCAATCGAAATGACGCATCGTATGCGTAATGCTTGTAGTAATTTTGATTGCGCCATTAGCTACCCAATCAATCTAACGAAAGCAATAAGCTCATACGCCAACAATTAAAGCAATGTTTACACTATCCTTTTTGCAATCACTTTTTGTACGACTCCACTCTCGCGTGGTGCTCCAGTCAAAGACCACACCAGTCATTGACGCAGTTCTCGGTTATGAATAACGTCTTAAGTACAACAGGCATATAATAGATAAATTGACACTGGCTATGTTGAGAAATTGCACTTAATCAACCCAATGAAGCCAATTATTTCATGCGTTATCAATCCAATGCAATGTTTGCACTATTCATGTTGCATTTATTAAAATAAACTACGTCACTGTAACATTGCGCTTCAAGGACCGCTTCAGTCGTTGACGCAGTCCTCCGTCAGCAAAAGACGAATTGCGTGCAGCGGGCATAACAATCCATTTGACACTGACAACTTGGATGAATTATGCCTGTTGCATACGGCACCATTGTACCAGATTGCGTCAAAGGCCTAATTGGCACGTCAATAAAATGACGCTTCGTTTGCAACGAGTGTAAGTCATTTTGACTGATGATCGTCTCATCTTGTTTCCTTTTCTTCCTCATCACCAGGTAACGCTCTGCATCTCCATCCTCCTCGCCCTCATCGTGTTCCTGCTCCTGATCGCCGAGATGATCCCGACGACCGCAGGCTCGATCCCGCTCATCGGCATCTATCTCCTCTTCTCCATGGCCATGGTTAGCGTCTCCATTACAGTCACCGTCATCATCATCAATCTCTTCCACCGATCGGCCCTGACGCATACCATGCCCTGCTGGGTCAAGTTAGTGTTCATTGATTGGTTGCCGCCGTACCTTCACATGAAGAGGCCAGAGAACTACAAGTCCTATTACCCCCAGGCGGATCAACAGGAGGTGGACCATAGCAACAATGTCCACCTTACAAGAATGGTATGACCAATCGATGTGTACCACAAGATATTGCGCTTTTACAAGATGTACAGTTTTTCTTTGTACAACTGCATAATAGTTGAAGGACCTCAATGGCTCCTCGCTGCAAGCAATTAAGAAGTATATCGCTACCAACGAGTCTAAGTTTGATTTGATTTGATTTGATTTGATTTGATTTGATTTGATTTATTGGTTTAAACTCATACTCACAGTTAACGCCCTTCTGACTACTTGTAGAGAATCTATGTCCGCAGCTCCTAGGTTGTGGAACAGATTCCACAAATTAGTGAAAGTTTGTGACTGTAGGGGACTTCAAGGGAGAAGTGAAAACAGTGACGAATATTTTCATATTCATACAGTCATCTACAGTTTCACAATCATGAGTGAGACGGATGGTGACTTACGGAGACAACTGAAAACACACCGAATGACGAATATTCTCCCAATAATTATTGTAAGTGTCTCTTTTGTAGGTATGTGTTGCAATATGAACGTCTGCATTATTATGAACTGCAATTAAATCTGTACAATTATTGTCCTCACCTCCAGATGTACGGTCGTAACTCGGACACGGACCGGCAGTGCTTCAACCGTCATCCCTACCTCCGTGGAGGTTGTGGCACCGGGTCGGACGGGCTCCCCAACCTGCACAACCTCGGCATGGACAACGAGTGGCAGACACACGGACACGAGACGGAGGAGGAGATGCTCATGGATGCTAACATTGATCTCAAGGGGCTGAGGGATAACGGCAAGACACCGGCTAGACTCAAAGAGGGCCTGGAGTATCTCAATTACATCGTCGAGAGGACCAAAGATGCCGATAAAGACCATAAGGTAATGGTCTCCTTTTTTCTCATAGTGCACTTTGGTCAGTCGTGTTTCTGTAGACGGATGGGGTGGGATAATAAACCCCGATTGAAAATGTCTGTCGACAAATTTGACAACCCTTTTTATTCACACTCGCCGGCATTTTAGCTTTTATTTGTTACTTCTCATTTTGAATAAACGCACCACGCATTGAACTAGTTAACACTAAAAACTTTGCTTTCTTGATGCCTGTTGTTGAAAATATGATTCTTGCAGAAAAATCTTATATGGTTTCGATTTTGTTCATTACCCTTTTATCGCTTGGAGTTTTATAAAGGAATCAATACAAAAGCTTGAAAGTGTATTTGTCAATATCGTGTTAGTTCCCCCTCACTGATCTGTCTATTCATCTTTGTACTGTCTAGGTCCAAGCAGAATGGCATTACGTTGCCATGGTGATAGATCGGATATTTCTCTGGATCTACATCGTCATCGTTCTGACTGGGAGTATGGGCATCTTCCTCTATTCTCCGTTGCTATGGGAGACCAGTGATGTCCACATACCCGTTCCGTGGGAGAAACCTATCGAAGTCAACAGGACCGAATATCTAAATTCACTGTAAGCAAATCCAGAAATATAATATTTCTAAATTATTCCACTTTCCGATATATACCCGTCCGAAGGTAATTTTATAGATAAAAGATTGTAATCCCCCTCATAACATGATCTACATTTTGTTAATTTTTCGTTTCCATCCCGAAATTTTTCTCTCATCAGTTATCTCTGTGTCCCTATTTCAAATTACAATATAAAGTTCATATTGTGTAATGACATCAATAAGCTTTTATTTTGGTACTTTTGATAAATAATTACGACATTATAAGTTAAAAACTATTTTGGCCAATGTTTCAATTCCTGAGACAAGAGGGATGCGAGGTAACGCCCTTCTCTCTTGGCAGAAGTCTATCTCCAAATTTAACTCTTCCTGGAAATGTAACTTTGTTCTTTAAAAAAAAATCCATTTAACTGGCTTTTATCATGCCTGTGTTTGGTTCAATTTCTATTTACATTTTCTGCAGAGGAAAGATGTGAAATATTCGGAAGGATATTCGAATCCATCCCTCCATGTTTGTACCAGCCAACATTATTACCATGGTGACGGTCAACTGGACGACACTGCGTGTTGGAGGACATCGCGTTTCATTATTATCTTTCTTCACGATACGTGATTGTTGAAAGAAAAGCGCCTTAAAATTATTTTTTATTATACTGTAATTATGACTTATCCAATGATCCTCACGCTTTCGATATGCATTCATACTTATGTTTTTGTGGATATATATTTTCTGTAGAAGGCCGAGTTTTCAGATATGTACAATAAACTGTAGCTGTGTAGAATATTCCTTTTGTTGTTGTTGTTATTATTACCCTTTACTTTTCACTCATTATTTGTGGTTCAGATAAATTGGCGATAAATGCAAAGCTACATGCATCCTACATAAATTCATGTGTAACCTACAATAGTATATTTGTAAAGCGCTTAGAGACATTTGTATTAAGCGCTATATAAAAATTAAATATTATTATTATTATCATTATTATTATCATTATTATTATTATTATTATTATCATAAATACGTTCTGTGTTCTGTGTTGTAATGTGATTGCAAACTCCAAGATTAAAACCTTGCATAGTATTCCCCAATTTTGAATAGCCCCATTAGACGAAGAAGAAAAAATGTTGTTACTACTCTAAATCTAGTTATGGTTGCAATATAAAAATATAAAAAACTAGATTTTTTGCCTATAATCCATTTAGAATATAATAACATTATTTTGTGTGTTTCATTAAGCAAATTCATTTGAGGTAGCTCTTTTGAGGTTAACTCTAGTTTTGTTTTTGTTCACTGTAAACATCATAATTACTTAATGTTTATCAACATTAATTTTGTTATTTACTGAGGTTGCAGGAAGTCAGAATTCTATTTTTTGTGAAAATTCGTTTTTTTTTACATTCATTACACAAAGAATCAACCAAACAAAATTATATTACAGCTGGTGAGATGAGTCCGAATAAAAAAAAAAGGAATCAGTTTTGTGTGGTATACCTTGCATTTCAGTCAGTTGAAATATAGTGATGATTGGTAAGAGAAATAAAAAATAGCAATGAAGACAGACCCTCCTTACCCCCCCCCCCCCCCCCCAAAAAAAAGAAGCGATTTACTCCGATCGGATGAGGGCAAGACGAAAAGCTTTATTATGTCTGTTTCCAATCCAATCCAATCCAAAAGATATTTGATATACACTGTGAAAAGGTTGGGCAATATTTTCCAACACTTTGCCAATAGTCAACCCAACCATCTATTGGGCAATATTTTCGTATTTTGCCCAACAGTTGGTCAAGAATTTCCCAACAAGTTGGCTACCGTAGTCAGGCAGTTGAAGGGTCATATCTATGCCCAAATTTTGGTCAAAATACGAAACAATTATGCACGTGTGAAGTAGGGTACTTATGTTTACCAATACCACTGGGCAAAATATTGCCCAATAGATGGTTGGGTTGACTATTGGCACAACGTTGGGCAAAGTGTTGAAAAAATATTGCCCAACCTTTTCACAGTGTAGCGCCTTTTCCTTGCAGTTACAAAGCGCTGTTTTCGTTGTTATTTTTGACATATAAGTGTAACCTCGAATTCCTAATTATTTCGGTGCAAAAAATTACTTATATAGTCTAGCACAAAATAAACGTTGCAGTGTTTCTATCATTATTATTGAACAAGTCATTGTTAATAACCTTACGTTTATGTTGTGAACATAAAGCGTGGTGCCAAATGTTACTGAATATTTCTCGATCATCTAATTTTATATTGTTTACTTCTATATGGTGCATATAAGAACAGTATTCAGGCAATTTAAACAAATGCTGTACTTGACTTTCTTTATATCAATTAGCTTACTCCGTCACAAACGTGCCGACTAAATTTTCCTTTCCATTTTATTCCATTTCCCATTGTTGGGATAACAAATTGTGAAATTTACCGGTAGAGTTACAGATTATGATAACTGTTTAACTAATAATTAAAAACAAAACAAACAAAAACTAACAATCAAACCCGTCACGTTGTACCTATTTTCGAGGCTTAAAAATTATTTTGCGATCATTATCTAACCTTCCAAAGTTCGATCGAACCTGACCGACAAGATAATATGGTACCATGTGATCATCGGAATTCATATACTGTATAGAATGTGATATAAATGTTAAAAAGTATGGTAACTTAAGGCACAGTAATCTGTATTGTATAAATACCAAAACTCAAACATGCATTATCATGATGAACTATTTAGAAAGTCGCAAATAACAAGTTACAGAAAGTCGACCCATCTCTTGTTCAACAACGAAACTTACATCGGGAATCTGAGATATCCTTAAGTAAAAAAAAAGTTATAACTTATACTCAACTTTGATGTAACTGCTTTACATTCAAATATATGTAGTTTTGATATTGGTGATGTGACATGAATTATACACTGTAGAAGATGATATAACTATTAAATTTATCATTTGACAATGTTGTTTTTCCTATGTGATGAGAACAATGAATGAAGATGACGTACTCACATTATACGAGGATAATTCATATGAGAGTTATGATGATGAATCTTTTTATGATAACTGTTGATGTTGATAGTGATGATGAAGATCGAGGCAATATTGGTAATAACGATGATGGAGGTGATGATGATGATGATGGTGGTGATGACGATGATGATGAAAGAGATAATGATGATGATGATGATGATGGAGGTGATGATGTGATGATGGAGATGATGATGAGTATGACGATGATGATAATAATGATGATCGATGATGATGGTGGTGGTGATGATTATGATGATGGCAATGTAGAAACTTTGTTACTCAAAAGAAGTTTGCAAATTCTATCATGCGGAAGAGAAATGATGCTAAAAGTGGGAAAGATTGTCATGGGTTCATCATTTCAATCTCCATGCCACTCAAAATGAATATCATTATATCAAATCTTATCTTCTGTAGATAAAAAGTAGGCCTACTAAAACAATGACGGATGCTATTGACAAACATGAGGGAAGATTTGAAATAAAGCAATTATTTGGGGGTACCGTGAAGATAGATTGCAATTGGAGAAAAAAGATCTAACACAAAGTTTAAACTATAAATGTACAGCTTAGAAATTCGGGCACCCTTTCCCCTCTCTCTCTCCCTGTTTCTCCTGCTCATCCATCTATTTCTCCCCTTGATAGATCATTTGAAAATAGATTTCTCTGCTTATTTCCATTTCCGCCCGTCCTTCCATAAAAACCTCTTCTCCCCATCCCATTCAACTCTTATCTGCCTCTCACCTCCTAACTCTTCTTCCTCTCTCATATCATTTCTCTCTACCCCCACCCCCCCCCCCCCGACACACACTCTCTCTATCTCCCCCATTCTATTTTTCTTTCTCTCTCAACCCTTATTTCTCTCCCATCTCTCATTACACTGTCACAATATCCCGACGAAGCATCGAAACCAAACCTACGAAATGATATCAACGTATCATTTTATTTATATTTGTTTTATTTGTTTTGGAAGCGATCCCCCACCGCCTACCCCCTACCAAGCTATCTCTTTTTCATTTTAACCATGCTGCTGGAACAAACCACGCGCATGCGTTATGAGCAGTTGCTTTCCTAACGATATCGATTTGTTTAGGAAATCGATCGTCAACCCTGGAATCTTGACAAAGGTTTTTTTCCCTACTTGATTCGTGGGAGAGGGGAGGTTTATTCCATGCTGTCACGCACAAGTACAATCTATGTCGGACTTACTCTCCTGAGCCAGTTACCTAACAGGTCTGTTCCGAAAACCTCCGATTATATCACTCAAGCCCACTACCGCAGAATTTAAATTTGAGATGAATTTACAGCCCACTAAAAATGAAAAACATAGGTTTCTTTTACTGCAGAAACACACAATAAATCAAGCATTATGTAGATGTGAGCATTTTGCAATAAATTAGGTTTTTTCTTTATTAGAAAGAAATATCTTGAAGATACCTCACATCCAAATTTCAAATGAAAGAATCAATGTCAGCTTCATTAGAGAGAGTTCACAAACATGTTAATGAATTAAAAGTATACATTGATCTTTACTTCCTGACAGAAGATCATGGTATTATACAATCATAAGCATTAAAATCAGCAACCTCAAAATAAACCAAATACTGTATCTTACTTCAGACAAGAGATCCACACTTGTATGCCTAACTCAATCATGTTTTTACATTTAAAAAAGGAGCAGTCAGTTTGAGATATGACAGCAGTGTGGGTCTCTTGTGTTGCCATGGTTACACTGAGACTATGTCTTCCTTCTCTGTGCTCTCCTCCCCGATGGAGAAGTTTAGCAAAAGTCATCTTTATACAAAAATTTCCTCCTACCAGACACTAACTTTTTTTTCAAGCTTGAGATCTACATGATCTCTTCAACAAAGAAGTGTTACATCAAATCCACATCGACTTCACACATACATGACATAACACAACTGTTACACAGAAGACACCTTACACATTATTTTGAATACAGTCAGATCTAACAAATACTTGCTTGTGGAGGCACTTTCAAACTTGGACACTGAATTAAAAGTGTTAATTTGATTTACCATCTCTTGAAAAATTAAAAATCAAATTGAGGCAAAAGCCAATTTTAACCTCCCTCACCTGCCATTTGCTCCAAGGAAACCTACCACAAACACATAAAACATAATTCATACAGAATAACAGATACGGTCTGTATGATGAGAAATAAAACTTCTACCTTGTCTAAAATATTGAAGTCACCCTACTGCAGTGTACAACGTAAGCAGAAAGATATCAAAGTCATTATGAATAACAATGGGTGCTTGGAAAAACAAGCATGAGATATCAAACATCTGAAATAACCACGTTGATCAAAATGACTATCAGGTTGTGAAACACTAAAGTTTGTAGTAAGTTGTACCATGTAACATACATGTACCAACTGAAGGTGAATGTTTACTGTAATAAAATTTGACAAATTCCTTGCAGTATACTCTGAACATGTACACGTACTCATTCATTTATTTAAAGTCAATTTCAGTCAATTGACAATAAACTGAAAGCAATTCTGTAATGTATCTTTTCTATTACATGTCCAAGTAAAAGGTGTAGGTTTTTTTAAACACAAATGACAACATGACATGTGAGTACCACAAAAGCCAAGTGCATAAAGCTGCACTCAACTACACAACAATCACATCATACGATCACTACATCTACATATGTAAAATTACTAAAGTTCTTTTAAACCTTTCCAGTACCATTCAATTTCATAATACTGAACCATAACAATGGTTTTTCTACAAAGATTGCAAAACATTTTAGGTGTACAACACTGCATTTGATTTCCAAGATTTAATTTGCATACTGCATACTGACTAAAGCCACTAGGCTAACAGAAGATAGGAAGGCGTGGCAATCCATTGTAAAACAGAAGCCATCATACATCCCAGCGATGCTGTGGATGGCTCAAGTCAAGTCAATTTTCGTACTGCATGCAAAAGTTTTTAAGTATGAATTAAAAAGTTGAGAAAGACTGGTTCCTCTTTTTGCCCTCGATGTATACAAACATAGTTACATATATGAGCACAAAAAGCAAGGGAACATTTGGAAAAGGCACCGTTGTCATTTAAGAAGAAGAAACAATACCGCGTACGTGTTCATGTGCATTTAAAAATATACTGTTGATTTTTCACTCACATTATGCACTGAACTTAATAATTGACATTATTTAACAAAATCACTTTTCCCACAATGTTATCAGCTACAAAATACATTCGCATTAAAAACACAAAATTTTCTCTTTCTCTTTCGTGTTGCCTTCTGACTAATAACAACATAAAGTGAACTATTACTCTTCTAATAGTTTTGAACTGGTACTGAACACACTCTGCTTTCTTTAAAAAAAACACATGTATTTTCATATTTTACAACTTCATATTTAAAAGTATTTACATAATCAAGGTGATCATTTCCTTATTCGTTTATTTTGTTTTACTCCAAGATTAATGAATCTGTTAACCTCAAATGAGACAGACACAATTAAAAAATCCCCGCCAAAAAAATTATGTACCTTGGAAAAGTATGGTACATGTAGTAATCTGAAACAAATACTGTGATGCAAATACATCGGTTGAAAGGTTTACAAGGCAAACAGAATTGGAAGATTGTATTATACAAACAGGAATAATTCAAAATCTTAATGTTAGTATGGCAAGAAATACATCAGACTACATGATTTAGGAAAGGAATATCATTTTACCTAAAATTGTTTGAAAATGCAATCGTGAAATAATTGAACTATTTCATCTAGTTCTCTACCAAATCTCGACATTATTTTAATGACAAGTGTAGAGGCCAAAACAATATTAATATTCTCAACATAGAAAACAATTCATCTTTCTAAAAGAATGTACAAGGTACAGTTCTTGTATCTTTTATTTTTAGTCTTTATAACAATTTTTGCTACTTCCAGATAAACTATCAACATTTCAGAAGTAAAAAATGGCAGGGCAAAACCGAGTTGCTGCAAACCCAGGAAACACACTTTCAATTAAGCAGAGTTAATAATGATTAACAGTCGGTGCAAATTCTCAGGTGAATGTAGCAGAAATCCAGACAGTACTGGTTGAGGGAATGTTTCATAGGGTGAAAGGTGAACTAGTCGGTGTGCACTGGGGAGTGATTGGGTGACTTGAGAGTTTTGCCTGCACCGTAAGGCTTGTCAATAGCTAGCGTCTCAATCTCTGCAGACAAGGCATACTCTCTCCTCGCTGCATCCTGAGGTGTAATGGGTGGCAAGATAGGGGGTGCAGGCTTCACCTCTACCTCCTTGCCTCGAGGGTCCACATGGGCGATAAAGGCAGTTACATCACGCGACCCCTCACCCCCTCTGCTCCTCGATAAAGGATTTGCCGTTTGAGGGGTGGTGCCGACGCGATGGATTCGGCCGAACATGTGAGATTGCACTTGATTTGGTTCAGGCATGTTGTCGTCGCTTCGTAAACGGGTGGCAGGATGTACCCCTTTAACGGGACCGTTTCCAGGGCGGGTATTATAACGCTTGGTTCTGGGTGGGGCAGGGTCTTTGGGAGGTGAAGGGCTTGCGACCCTCCCAGGATCACTCCTCATATGTTCTACAGTGGGTTTTAGTTGTTTCAGTTTGAGCTGATGAAGCTGGGTGGTCAAGTAAGCAATTGTACCCGAGCGCTGATCCAACTCTGCCGTCAAAACCACAATCTTTTGCCCCCGCTGTGCAAGTTGATCTTGAAATATTTTCTCTCTTGTCTTCATCTGTTGTTCTAGTTTATTCAACCTATCATGGTTTGTTTCTCTCTCCTCTTTTAGTTGATTGCATTCTTTTTCCTTCTTGTTCAGCTTCTCCGTTAAAGCCTCGATCTCACTCTTGTATTTCTCTGTGCAAAACAATGGAAACATGAAATGCATTTCAAACTGTACTTCTCCAGGTTTACAAGCTGACTTTTCATAATACATATTCACTTTTGTGTAAATAACAATATGAAGTTATTGCTCGATTTGTAAATAATACTCTTTGTACAATACCAATTTTAGAGTAGAGTGTCGATAATACTAAAGTATGTGTTTGCTGGCATTTCACCCCCCAAAATGATAATTTTATGCCATAAATTTTCTTAAAACCAAACGGGCTAAAGAGCACTGTTAAAGCCTACATTATACTGTAGGTTGAACATATTATATTGAAGTATACATGCATTACATTGAACTAACATACATGCTTTAAACAATAAAGAAATAATTCCATGGACTATTGATCGAAAGGAGAAAATGTATACCTTCATCGACATCATCGCTTTTCATGGCAAGTTCAAAGTTGAGTTCGGCGCATTTCTTCTGCAGTTTGTGAAGCTCCTGGTGGAGTGCCTGGAGAGTCTTGGCATGCTCCTGCTGCATGAACAGGATCGAGCTCTCTGCATTCCTCAGTTTTATCTCAACGGGGGCCGCCATTTCATCGACACCCTAAAGAAAGTGAGAGAAAGGAAGAATAACATTGAAGTTCTCAAGTACCGGATAGCTAGTAGATCTAAAGTCAAGTGGAGAGAAGTGTAGTAAATTACTTTTGCGCAGTGATCAGCCTATGATCAAGTCTAAAGGTATACTGTTCTGCAATGTAAAAGTACAGTAGGTATCAATCATATTGAGATTTAGATGACGTCATACGCAACCGGCTGCAAGATTTTCTTCATGGATGTCGATCATGACCCATAATTTCCGGAAAAGGGACCATTAAATGGATTCAAGTAGTCAAGTTGGTAAGTGGAACTGAAGTAGTTAAGCTAATTTTGGACTATAAATGCATCAAATACGCATCCAGTAAAATATCAAAATTAGGGATTAAGTTTGGCCAAGTTTTGTGTAACGTTTCATTACACAAACGCACGAACACTAAAGCGTATAGGGCTGTTCTGTCTCTAAAGAGAGAGCTGACCTTACCCAAATCAGAGGCTAACGAACGAAAGAGACAGAAAAATTCGGTCTAGATCTAGATATCTAGGTGTAGTCTACCGACAGTGATACTCTCACTCTCAGTCTCACATCTAGACCAAAATTTCTGTCTCTTTCGTACGTAAGCCTCTTCTTTGGGTAGGGTCGGCTACTCTAAAGAGAAGAGGCTTTCAAATGAAAGAGACAGAAAATTTAAGTCTCCATGATCTCACACCCAATTAGCTACAGTGCACGTCCATCATCATTCACTCAATTTTAACATTCCATCACAACAAATCCTTTGGTAAATAGTTCTAAATGTTTCATGGATCATGCTGCCTTTACTTACTGGTTACAAATCACCTGTGCTCAGTTTAGTCTGGTGACACTACTACCTAAAAACATTCATGATGTTGATTTAGCAGTCGTTTCCTCCAATTTTTAAGCTCAAAATGATCAATTTCAATGGATGGTGTTGTCGTCTCGGTGTAACGCAGCGCAGATCAGCTTACGGTACATGTAATCTTGTTTACATTATTACGTGCAAAGTCTATGCGGGTTTTTACATAGACAATGTACACACAGCGGTCGTCGCCAACACAACCTGTAAATAAAAAGAAAGATATTGTGAGGCTCGTTCAACTATATTATATATAAGCTACAGGTATAAATCTTAATTTGTATCTAAATTCAATTATTTCCTTGGGTTAAATTTAATATATACTTTTTACAGTATAATATAATTTCGGTATTATTTAAAAATATCATATTATCACAAAATCTACAATAAATAGGTATATTTTAAAATTACACAGTGATGCCCTAAAAAATTTCTTCAACCAGAGATCATACTCATAAAGATAATTATGATCAAGAGATTCAAGATTTATTTATTTCTTTCCATTGACATGAAAACAATACAAGTTCATCAACAAGAATAAATTCATGAACAAAGATATTGAAAATGTGGAAAAGAGGTGGTCTGTAAAAAAGCTTTTACAGGAACAACATTCATGAACAAAAACAAGATTTTAAAAAGATAAGGTTCTATAGGATCTATAGCATAATTTTTTACCCTTAAACAATTACCAGAAAGACAACCACCCCCCCCCCCGAGGACTATTACACCCTGAATACTTGAGAACTATCACATTACTATAGTCATAACCAGGCGCGTATGCAGGGGGGGGGGCAGGCGCGGATCCAGGATTTCTTAGGGGGGGGGGCCCAAATTTGAAATTATGCTAGCCAAATATTGGTACGTAATGGTGACCAACGGTGATGTAATGCGGGGGGGGGGGGGGGTCGGTGCAGGGAGGGGCGAGTCCCCCCCCCCCCTCCTCCACGAAACGCGGAAGCTTTGACGTTTCATTAAATTATTAAAGAAAGAAGACGATTCGTTGTACCGTTCTCGACTCAAAATCTTCGTCTGAATTTAGTTTTGCCCCTCCCGCGCGAAGCGCGGAATTTTTTTTTTTTTTTTTAAATATTAGAGAAAGAAGACGATTCATTGTAGAGTTCTCAACTCTTAATCCTTGTCTGAATTCAGGTTCCCCCCACCCTCCTGCGCGAAGCGCGGAAGCTTTGACGTTTCATTAAACTATTAAAGAAAGAAGACGATTTGTTGTACCGTTCACGACTCTGAATCCTCGTCTGAATTTAGTTTTTCCCCTCCCGCGCGAAGCGTGGAAAATTTTACGTTTTATTAAAATATTAGAGAAAGAAGACGATTCATTGTAGAGTTCTCAACTCTTAATCCTTGTCTGAATTGAGGTTCCCCCACCCTCCAGCGCGAAGCGCGGAAGCTTTGACGTTTCATTAAACTATTAAAGAAAGAAGACAATTTGTTGTACCGTTCACGACTCTGAATCCTCGTCTGAATTTAGTTTTTCCCCTCCCGCGCGAAGCGCGGAAAATTTTACGTTTTATTAAAATATTAGAGAAAGAAGACGATTCATTGTAGAGTTCTCAACTCTTAATCCTTGTCTGAATTCAGGTTCCCCCACCCTCCTGCGCGAAGCGCGGAATCTTTGACGTTTCATTAAACTATTAAAGAAAGAAGACGATTTGTTGTACCGTTCACGACTCTGAATCCTCGTCTGAATTTAGTTTTTCCCCTCCCGCGCGAAGCGCGGAAAATTTTACGTTTTATTAAAATATTAGAGAAAGAAGACGATTCATTGTAGAGTTCTCAACTCTTAATCCTTGTCTAAATTCAGCCCGCCCCCCTCCTGCGCGAAGCGCGGAAGCTTTGACGTTCTATTAAACTATTAAAGAAAGAAGACGATTCGTTGTTCCGTTCTCGACTCTTAATCCTCGTCTGAATTTAGTTTTTCCCCTCCCGCGCGAAGCGCGGAAAATTTTACGTTTTATTAAATTGTTAGAGCAAGAAGACGATTCGTTGGAGAGTTCTCGACTCTTAAACCTCGTCTGAATTCAGGTTCCCCCCACCCTCCTGCGCGAAGCGCGGAAGCTTTTACGTTTCATTAAATCATTAGAGAAAGAAGACGACTCGTTGTACCGTTCTCGACTCTTAATCCTCGTCTTAATTCAGTTCCCCCCCCCCCTCCTGCGCGAAGCGCGGAAGCTTTTAAGTTTCATAAGATAATGAGAGAAAGAAGACGATTGGCTGTACAGTTCTCGACTCTTAATCCTCGTCTGAATTCAGGTCCCCCCCCCCCCCCCCCCCCGCGCGGAAGCTTTGACGTATCATAAGATTATGAGAGAAAGAAGACGATTCACTGTACCGTCCTCGATTCTTAACCCTTGTCTGAATTCAGTCCCCCCCCCCCCTCCCCTCCCGCGCGAAGCTTTGACGTTTCATTAAGTTATTAGAGAAAGAAGACGATGCGTTGTACCGTTCTCTATACTCTTAATCCTTGTCTGAATTTCAAAGATGTTCTTTGTCTGCTCCTTTTACTTCCTACGTCCTCTTCCGTTTTGGGGGGGACCGCCCCCCCCCCCTGGCTACGCGCCTGCGGTTAGATAAACACATTTGATAACTTGTCCGGCCCCGGAAGCTCAGGGTTTTAGGCGTTTAATTAAGGTCTGATGATCATTTTTTTAATACCTATTATTTTGTGACACTGGTAGTTCACTATTTGGCGTGGGGTCCAGGGGGCGGATCCCCCCCAAAAGAGGGGTTTTAGGCAATAAATTACCGTCAGATGAGCATCTAAGGGCTAGCCGTAGCGCCCTAGGTGGAATCCAGGGGGCAGAGCCCCCGGAAGCTTAGGGGTTTTAGGCATTTAATCACGGTCAGATGAGCATATTTTGATGCCTCATTTTTTAACACTGCACTGGCATTTAACTATTCTTTCTTTCTTGCTCTCATTCTATTTTTTTCTCTTTAATATACTTTTTCAAATAAAGTGGGGGGGGGGGGGGGGGGGGGGAGGGAGCTCGAGGCTCCCGATCCCTGCCATACCTCGGGCCCTGACATGTAGGAATCTCAAGAATCATATTTCGTGCCTGGCTGTAAATATACAAACGTATAATTTACTAAAAAATGAGGACAAATCTCGGAAATTATGTCATTTCAGCATTAATTGTAATCCACCGTTGTGGAATTAGAAATAAACCACGTTTGAATTTGATTCCCCCAAAGCCTCCCCCCCCCGATTAGTACGCCAGTATCTCCTCTTTTCCTTTTTTCTTTCCCTTTCCTTCCTTCTCTCTTATTGTTTTGATTGGGGGGGGGGGGGGGTTAACAGCCTGGGAGGCAGGGCCCTTTCGGTCCCCCCCCCCGATTTCCTTCTTCCCCCTTTTCTTTTCTTCTTCTTCTTCTTCTTCTTTCTTTCTTTCTTTCCCTTTCTCTCCTCTTTCCCTTTCCCTTCTTTTCCTTTCTTCTCTCTTTTTTTTTTTTTTTTTTTTGCGGGGGGGGGGGGGGGGGGGCCAAGGCCCGCTCGGCCCCCCCCCCCTGGATCCGCGCCTGGGGGGGGGGGGGGGGGGGTTAACCCCCCACTCAACGGTGTCGATTTGTATCCGTGGTTGGAGGATGGTAGGTGCCAAAAATATTTTCGGCAATGGATCAAAGCAACCAAGAGGTTGAAGCGTGTGGCAGGTTGCACCCCATCCCTCCCAAGTTATCAACTTTTTCAAGTCACCCTCAATTCAGATAACATTTCAGAGAATATGGGACCCCACATGGGCTAATTGCTAGCTGGTTATAATCCTCTCAAGCGCGTAGCAAGGATTTTTATTTTTAGGAGGGCTCCGTAGGGGGTGGGAGTTTCAACCGTCCTGCAATGCGCGAAGCGCGGAAGCTCTGATGTTAAATTATTAGAGAAAGAAGACGATTCGTTGTACCGTTCTCGACTCTTAATCCTCGTCTAAATTCAGTTTCTTTTGACGTTTCATTAATAATAATAATAATAATTATTAAATTATTAAAGAAAGAAGCCTATTCGTTGTACCATTCTCGACTCTTAATCCTTGTCTGAATTCAGTTTTCCCCACCCCCTCCGGCGCGAAGCGCGGAAGCTTTGACTTTTCATTAAATTATTAGAGAAAGAAGACAATTCGTTGTACCGTTCTCGACTCTTAATCCTTGTCTCACTCAGTTTCTTTTGACGTTTCATTAAATTATTAGAGAAAGAAGACGATTCGTTGTGCCGTTCTCGACTCTTAATCCTTTTTCTTCCAACGTCCTCTTCCTTCTTCTTTCTCTCTCTCTCTCTCTCTCTCTCTCTCTCTCTCTCTTTTTGGCCGGCGTTTTTAATTTAATTTTTTTTTTTTTGGGGGGGGGGGCGACCGCCCCAACGCCCCCCTGGCTACGCGCCTGTATTCTCTCTGTCTCTCATTACCCCCTCTCTCCCACTCTCTACTTCTTTTTAGCACTTTTGTGCTTAGCGCTTAACATCATTAGCTCGTTGCTTTTTAACGATGCGGCTTTGCATTTGGCGCATTCTGCATTTCTATGATGCTGTTGATTTAATAAATTGAATAAATTCATCAATTCCTGATGAAGCCGTATGAGCGAGAATTCAATTTATTCTTGTCTCATATACGGTTGTCTCATTTACATATGTATTATGAAAATGAGATAGCAAAATGTGTATATTGATGGTCATCTTGCGAGTAATAACCATTAACTACTCTCATCGGGCTCTCATCATTAATTTTACTTTTCATTTTTTTTTTATGGTGAGTTATTGGGGGGGGGGATGATTGTACAGGCCACCCCTCACCTGAAATATTGGGGGGTTTATCCCCCCATCCCCCCCCCCCCCCCCTCGTGATCGACACCCATGCCCCCACCTCAATGTTTGTTTATGTGTCAGTGTTTTGGAGGAAAACCCCTCCCTCCCGTTTAAAAAAAAAAAAAAAAATAACCTTACCCCCACCCCCCTACCGAACGAAATATTGGTCGGCATAATCATTTCCGGGACAAAAAAAGTGCTCTTACCCCCCCCCCCCCCGCGTTTATTCACTGGCTGGCTCTGAGTCGTTGTCAAATTTTCGGCGTGATTTTGAAATTTTAACCCCTCTTAACCCCCCCACCCCCCTCGAAAAAAAATCCTGCGTACGCTACTGGTCAACTCAGAAGTTACAACTTTACTTAGCGTGTGCACTTTTAAAATGGGCTTTACAACAAAATCATTTGAAATAAGTTTTTTTGACTTTTTCCTTGATCGATGTGCTCAATTGCACAATAATCCAATTTTCTTTTGGCATATTATTCTACATGGTACAACTGGGTATTTTAAAGGGGGGCCGGGGCCACTTGCGTCAACAGATTTCTGACTCCTCCCCCCCCCCCCGAAAAAAAAGAACCGATGATGAAGCCACATCCAATTCGGCATTGCCAATTAGTGGTTAGTTCGAAATATCCAGGCAGGAAAATAATTAAAGGGGGGGGGGGTCGAGGATAGGGAGAGCTTTATACTACTCGATCCTTGCATGGGGCGCGCATCATCCCACTCTTTTGTAATAATTGCATGCCCCTTTCCCCTTCTGATATAAGTATGTGATCGTTTACTTCTTTGATTAGCTAGCTGGTGCCCCTTTTCCTTTTGATAAATGCCCCTTTTTCACCCCAATAATAACAAAGCTATATTCACTCTTACCCTACCCGTAATTCCTCAAATTTTCATCTAGTAAACCCGAAATTACTTATTGCCCATAGATCCAAGCGCGTACACAGAGGGGGGGGGGGGGGGGGGGGGGGGAGAGATTTGGGGTTAAACCCCCCTCCCTTGAGTTATTTTTATGTGTATGTTTTGTATATGTTTTTTTGGAAACCCCCCCTTTTGATTAGGTGACCTTACCCCCCCCCCCCCCCCACCGAACAAAATGTCGAATTTTCAAATTTGGAGACCAAAAAAAAAAGTGGCTGGCTGAGTCGTTGCGAAATTTTAGGCCCGATTTTAACCCACCCCCCCCCCCCCTTGAAAAAATCCTCCGTACGTCACTGCATAGATCCATAAGACACCATGGTCCTGACCTATGGAACTCTCTCCCAGAATCTATTAAATCATGTTGCTCCCTCTACTCATTTAAGGCCAAAGTTAAAACGATGTTATTATATCTGAATACTCAAGGTAAAATTTCTGTGTCAACTCTTCATTCTTTATCATGTCATCTCTTCCTTCATTTCATTCATTGTCATCATCGTCATCATCATCATCATTATCATCATCATCTTTATCATCATCATCATCATCATCCTCATCTGCATTGTCAATATCACCTTCATCAAAATTTGTATTTTCAAGTACATATCTGTTCTGCTAAATAAATATGTTAATATATTTCATGAGTTTTTGTCTGGGGCTGTCGTATTAATTATCAAGCAATCTGCTTACAATGACAGTCCTTCTTCCGCAAGTAAGGTCACCCTTTTTTGTTTTGGGGGGATTTATTAAAAAAAATATTTAAGGGGGGCGGGTTTCCTCTAAAACACACACATAAAAAACATTGAGGGGGATTCTTTTTCAGATTTTCCTTTGTAGGCCGTGCATGGCCCCTTTTTCTCTCCAGAAAGTGCCCCTTTTTGGTGCCCCCACCGCTCCTCCACCCGGATAATTAAGTGCAGCTTTTCATCTCGATCGTGAGTGCCAAGCTCTTTCAGGTGCGAGAAATTGACTTTTACACCTTTGATATTTTTGCCTTTCTTTTATTTTACATATCATGCCCCTTTAATGTCCAGTGTTTTGTCCTCTCTATGAGATGAAATTTTTCGCACTGCGCGACCTCATTTTTCTCCCTCGAAAATGAATATAAAGACGATGTCACACCCAACTGCGAATATACTATAATAAACTAATATTGATATTTGGAAGACGCTCTGCCACCCCTGTTAGTATGATTGTAGACCAAGCAGTTTTTTGTTTTTGCGTTGATTATAATTGATTGATTAATTGATTGATTTGTTTTGTTGTCCACATTAAGTGGAAATTCTTCTTTCACATGGTATATATATCGCAGACGGATTTTGACAACGCGAGGGGGGGGGGGGGCGAGAAACGAGAGAGAGCTAGAAAAAAAAAGATCAAAATAATAATATCGCCCCACCAGATCCTTCGGGGGGGGGGGGGTCATTTCTTTCTTGGGGGGGGGGGGGGGGGGGGGGAGTAAGCTTGCAATTCAACTTGCCTTGTGTGTGTGTGTAATTTGTAAAAGAAATGGTCAGTAGTTGTGAGGACGAGTTGTTTAAAGGACAGCTCATGGATGCACCGACCGAGCTATGGAACACGTGTAGCCAACCAACTCGTCCCTCTTACTTTACGCATTAACGTATTTAAGGTACAACGTGCGCACGCAGAACAACGGCGGTCTCGAACAAAAAGCTTGCGGAATCGACACAAGGCTGTGTTACGTGTTAGCCCAAACGAGGCTTTTCCGCAATTTTTGACCAAACTTTTCTTTAATAATTGCTGGTAAGTAGATCATGCAACAATACGATGAATTCTTTAATCGATGATTTACTTAAGTTTTTGTCTGGCAATCTAATTATTTCGATGAAAGTTCACGTCGTTTACGCTTGTGCTGTTCGCGTTGGCGGTCAAAAGCCAAGCTTTTGACGATTTCGTAACGTGTGTATTGTGTGAGTGAACACGGCGAAATATGGATGTTGTATTCGGTCAACTTGTAAAGACGTGGAAAGTGTAATTTTAGCTTGTTTAATCATTCAATTTGAAATTAAAGTCTTGTTAATATGTTAATAATGAGTGTCATATGCTGCTTTTGAAGATCAATAGGCGTTTAACGGTTTGTTTAGTTCTTCTGCCTGGCAATTTTTGAATTTCATGATGTTCTGCACCACGACCTTCATTCTGTCACGCACCATTGCCCCCCAAAAAGAATTCATTGAATCTCCTTAACAAAAGTACCAATTGAAAGAGCTTAAAAAATACATCTAAAATAATACCAAGATTATCACCCTAGGTCAACAATTAGCGAAATATCGATAGTTTAGTGTTTAAAAAAACGCCCATATTTTTTGTTTTAACCACACGAGTCAATAGAGGATTGGTGTGACAACTTGTGGCCTTTTTAACCCGCATCAGCAAGCAGGAAGATGCGCAGTTGACGGCTGCGATCGACGCCAGCGCAGCCCCGTGAAAAATTGCCACAATGTGTGTAGATGAGTGTTGCAGCCACTATAGATCTACATTATTTTGTGCATTAGTGATTAGTGTGCAATGCCAATGGGTGTATTGTGTGCAATTGATGCCTCTCAGCACGTACATGTATACAGCACTAGAGTTCAATAAGCATTGACTACAAGTACTATGCCCCGCTGGAGTGGGCTGTAGCACACCTGGTGCGAAAGTGTATTTGTGCCGACCAATATTAGGCACATTCATGGGGCACTAGAGGGCGCTTAGCGCGCGTACGAAAATCTGAATGGCCTTGCTGTGGTGGGTCGGCAATAATCGGCCCAAAACTTGGATATGGGAGGGTGGAAGGATATATCTTTTTTATAATGTTATCTGGTCTTACCCTTAAACATCCTATGTTTAATCTATGTAGAAATAACATGCGAGTACGATAAGAGAAACATCGGGCCCATTACTGATGCAACTTTTAAAATATTAGCCTAGAAATGACCACCAAACGGAAAAAATTGACATTTTTTCCCGACAAATCTTCATAAAATCTGAGTTATAAACAAGTCACATCTAGGTACACTAATACAAATACGATTTTCTGAAAATTCAGGTATTATTTTTTAAGTTTCTTTCAAGTATATTTCTGTGCATCGCAGCGCCAATGTTCTTCACTGCTTCAAAATCACCCTTGAAATTTTTTTTTTGCAACGAATTTGTTACGAGGTCCGCGAGTGTTCCCCGTTCCTTGCGTGTTGAAAGTTTGGTAATACATAGTTTACATTGACTCGCGCACGAAAAAATGGTCGAAAACAAAATGTCAAATGAAGAAATAAACAAGCTTTTGTATAGTTATAAGAGTTCTACCGAGGTTTCTTTGTCGATTTAATTTGTTATATAGTCTCAATTAGAATTCAGAATTATCTCACTGAAAAGTTAAGAAACCGACGATGTTCTCGATCGTAGTTATTTTCATTTTGCCAGCAGCCGATCTAGCGTTGTTTGGGCAAAAAGCTAGGCCGCTGCCTTCCCATCGCAAACCTTTCTGAGTCCCGCTAAAATGGCGCGCTGCGCACGAAGCAATATTCCTTACATTTAGCGCTTGCGCAGTTACGTTTAATCGGTCTCCGCCTCATTTGAATTACCCGCCCGCGCCCCGCCCACGAATCAACGTTCTTGTTCCTTCTGATTGGATGTAAAAGACCCGCCATTCGCTTAACGTTACAAATTTGAGTGCGACGAGAGAGCATACTATTTTCCGTTTTTTTCAATACCAAAATTGTGATATTTCAGTCAAACCCTCTATTTTTAATGATTTTTTCACTTAAGTATTTCACTTAAGTATTTCACTTAAGTATAAGTCTTACTTAACTAAGAAAAATTATCAAAAAAGTCATATTTAAGGTACAAACTTGATTCTTTTCCTGAAATGTCCGTTCACTTTTCGTTTGCATGTGTATGGAACGCCATGTGTGCGTCACCTATGTGTAAAGTGCGTCACCTGTTTAAAGCCTGAAATTTCAGTGTTTTTGGTATCCATTTTTGTATGATTGACAGCTAGGGCGTCAGAGCCGAAGTTTGCTTCCTTTGTTCGGTAATAATTCCGAACCATACAGCTGAGTGTCGTATGAAATCGTTCGCCGTGTTTACGTCTGATTGTGACTGCGTATATGTTGTACTTTGAACTGGTTGTGGTCAGCGTTCGTAGTATTTCCATGGTTACGCGTTTGCGCGGCCTGGCTTGGGGGAAACTGCCTGGCCTGGGGGAAATTGCCTGGCCTGGGGGAAACGGCAATATGATTTCGGCGTTTTGTAAAAACACACCAGGAACTAACTAAGCTCCGAAGGGTGCTCAACCGAGATTTGGTGGTCTCCATTCCTACATTAATTTCTTTGTCAAATAATAAGCACTTTGTCAAATAATTAAAGCACTCTGTCAAATAATTAAAGCACTCTGTCAAATAATTAAATGCAAATACAAGTCCGAAATGGAAAGTTGTAATATGACAATAAAATAACATATCAGTAATAGTTTCATAAATGAGAGGCAGGTTAGTATACTTGCTAACAAAACTGACAAATTTGATAAAAATGGTTAAATCTTGAGAGGATTTTGATCGTTTGACAGTATTATATAATTGAGTTTCCCAAATTATTTTCAGTAACAATGTTGCATTTTTTTTTTTTTTTGGGGGGGGGGGGGTAAAAAAAAATTAGTGGGGTTGGGGGCAGCTTTTTTTTTTTGGTAATTATTTTTTTAATATTTCTTTTTTGTATGTGTAGTATCATATTATTATCAATGTTATGCTTTCAGTCATCGCTTATTATATTCATAAATGTATATATATATCTCTCTCTCTTTCCGTCTCACTCTTTCGTCCCCCCTTCTCTCTCTCTCTCTTTTTCTCTCTTCCTCTCTTCCTCTCTTTCTCTCTCTTTATCATCACTCCAACTCTCCCTCCTCTACACCTCTCTCTTTCTCTGTCTTTTATTTAACAAAAATTTGAATTTGATCAATGACTTTTTAAATGCCTATCGGGGGTCTATGTTTGATTTTTGATTTATGTCATATTTTGTGTTATTTCAATTTAAATTGCAATTGTATGTTTGTGAAATGGATCGCAATTCAGCCATTGGCTGCGATGATCTTTCTAATAAGAACCATTTCTATTCTATTCTACTCTATGTATTCAAATATGTTATTCAGAGATGTCGGAGGGTATCATTAAATGTATAACTTATGTAAGTGCATACATCTTTGATGCGGTCATTCTTTTCCTGTTCAGTCCAATTTCATATTAGATCAGAGTGAGATGTGATGGAAAGGGGGTATGACATTGAGATAAATAATTAGAGAGAAAGAGAGAAGGAGAGAGAAAGAGAGAGAGCGGGGGGGGGGGGGGGGGGGGGGCCTTGTGTTGGATGTCAATTTTCAAAGCTAAAAAAAAAAACTATGCTCATTTTAAGAGGAAATTAAAGGAAAACCTAATACTTGACAGTCGGAGAAGTGAATGACATGTGATTGAAATTTGTATTCTTCTGCCGGTTCATACTTTTTCATTTTGTATATATTTATGTTTTCGTACGTTATAGAAATTCTACTAATTCATCATTATTTTCTTCTTCTTCCTCCTCCTCTTTTTCTTCTTCTCCTTCTTCCTTTTCTTCTTGTACTTATTATCATTTCTATCATCAGTTTAATGTTATTATTATTATCTTTACTAGGTAATTCTTTTATTTTTCTTATCTGTCTGTAAATATGACTATTTTTACTTATTAATTTTATATATGTCTGTAAGGGACCCCACTGGAAATAAGCTCTCGTGTGTTATCCTGTTCAAGCTGACTTGTTGATTTGTTATTATTGTATAATGTTGTATGTTCGAAGCTTGTCGAATAAAACTCAATCAATCAATACATACATATACCTCCACACTCAGGCGCGGATCCAGAATTTCTTAGGGGGGGGGGGGGATTTGAAATTATGCAAGCCAAATATTGGTACGTAATGGTGACCCAGCAGTGGCGAAATGAGCAAAAACGTGTTATTGTTGATGTTGTTGTTGGTGTTTTTTTTTTTTTTTTTTTTTTTTTGAGGGGGGGGGGGGGGGTAGAAACGATCAACGTAACGTAAATTAGCGTGGGGTCTAGGGTCGAAGCCCCGGCGGGGGTCAAGGGGAGGAGCACACAGAAGCTCAGGGAATATAGGCTTTTATTATTTTGTGACAAAGGCAGGTCACTATTCTTTTTTCCTTATTTAGGAATTTGCCATTTCCCAACACTCATAAAAAAATCTAGGAAAATCATGTCATTTTAGTAATATTTGTAAATCACCGGTATCGAATTAGAAATAAACCACGTTTGAATTATATTTTGGGGGCATCTGTCACCCCCTTCCCCAAGCCCAACCCCCCCCCCCCATCAGTGCGACAGTGCCCCCCCCCAATCTACACCTTAACTATCTTCTTTCTCTTTTTTTCTTTCCCTTTATCTCCTCTTTTTCCTTTCCCTTTCCTTCCTTCTCTCTTATTTTGTGATGGGGGGGGGGGGGGAGGGGGAGGTAACAGCTGGGAGGCAAGGCCCTTTTGCCGCCCGATCTCCTTTCCCCTTTTTCTTTTCTTCTTCCTCTTCTTTCTTTCCCTTTCTCTCCTCTTTCCCCTTTCTCTCTCTCTCTCTCTCTCTCTCTCTCTTTTTGCGGGAGGGGGGGGGGGCGGCAAAGTCCGTTCGCCCTGGATCCGCGCCTGTCCGCACTCATTGAGTCATCTCTTTTGCTTTGTACAACTAATACATTTCCTAATTATGAGCAGCACAGCTCATTACGACAATCGTGTCTAATGTTTATGAACTTGTTTTCCATTTTAATTGGTAAATTGATATTTAAATGTATTAATACATGTATGTATTTACATACATGTAGGAGCATCAGCTATCATGGCTTCAAGAAATCATGACACCCAGGTTGCGGGACGTGGACCCTGCTCCTGTGCAACCCACAAAATATGATAAAAATAACATATAATTATAGAATGTTGTACTGTAAAACATCATCATAAGAGAAAAGAGGTGGAGAGGAGGAGGGAGGGACAGAAAGTGTGAGAGAGAAACAGAGGGGATGAAGGAGAGACGAAGGGAGAAAGAGGAAGAGGCAGAGAGAGCAAAGAGAGAGAGAGAGAGAGAGAGAGAGATACAGACAGAGAGACAGGGGGTGGGAGTGAAATAGAAATAGAGAGGAAAGACCAGAACTGAAGAAGAAAAGGAAAATCTGAAAGTAGCAAGTTCAGATAGAGAAAAGGGATGAGAGAGTGAGAGGAAGGATAAAAGTACATGCAACATCAAAATATGAATGAATGGAAGAACCTGCTGTGCCAATCATCATGACAATTAATATTGCACATAATTAATCTCCTCCATTAGATTATGATTTTCATTTCGCCAATGCTAATTATAACACCAATGACTAGACTGCATTCCTTGAGCTGGCGAGGCACGCGCAGTTGAACTTTCCATGAACTCAAATCATGCCGCAATGCGCATAACTTGGCTCGCTTTCCCACGGTCATTAAACTTGCCGGTATTATCCGAAACCCGAAAACCTAACCGAGGAATCGTTCGGAAAACCGAGGAGTCGATCGTACGCCCGAACGGAAGAGCAAAGTAGCCGCCCAAGTCAAACTAAGGTCAAGCTGATTTACGCATCAATTTTCTGATTGGATCAGCGCCCGGGGGCGTTACTTGGGATTTTTTTTGCTAGATTGATCACCCAATGGGTGCTCGTAAACTCATTGTACATGGATAAACGATATATTTGCTTCGTGCTGCGGAGCTCCCAAGCTGCGTTGGTATCGCTGCAAACTCTCAGCCGGCTAGCTCCCCAAGACGGACCATTCGCGGTATGGCGAGATTGTGTGTGTGAAGTACGATTTTGGATTCGAGAACGCACGTAATGCAACCGTGCGCGTCATATTCAGCTGTCGAATGTCTACGACCAATTTTACATGTACGATTTTTAGTACAGATACTTGGTCAGTTTTCTTCTTATATCTTTGGTTTTACAATAGGCTTGAGTCGGTACGGTCGGTCACACCGGGACCCGACCGTTGCCGTCGGGTCCCGGTTTCGTTTTTTGAGAACCGACGCTCCGAAAAAAATAGTGAAATATGTAAGAAATTGCAGTTTTGCACACCACTAAAATCAATCCACCTTAAAACTTAAGTTTTTAATTGTTACCAATCATATTCTAGCTCATCCTGAATCAATCCGAACTGCTGATATAAATATGGGTTACGAAGTAGTTCGCCCCATGGGGTTGTTGTTGCCAGCTAGCTGCTAGCTAGCTACTGTACTGGCCGGGTCTCTCGGCAGTATTAATAAATCAGGTTGAAAGAAACATTAATGTTTGAATAATAAAATGACTTTCTAAAAAGTACTTCTTTACAACATACCCATCGAACAATTTTTAAAAGACAAAATAGATATTTTTTCTTTGATTTTGAACACCGCATGCTTCTTTTAAAAGCTGAAAATTACTTGGTAATCACAAGAAGTTTCGATACGGATAGCTGTTGCAAGGCAAGTTCAGACTAGTCTCGGAAAAATGCGCAGTGCACCTCGTTAGCTGTAATGCGTGCCAAAACGAACCCAAACAAAGATGTGATCGTAACGAGAAAAAAATCATTAAAAACTACGAGAGCACAATTGGAAAGACAACTACTCAAAATTATCGAAAGCAGATACATAACTTGGAGGAAGAATACAATAGTTGTCCAAGAAAAGCCACTTAAATAGTTATATTTAAGGAGTTAATATAGGTACAATCATTATCGGAAGGGCCTAGCTGCTACGATATCCGAATTACACGTGTTTAAATTGAACACGAGGCTAGAAACCAAATAAGGCCCTCTACGGTAAAAAGCAGTATAACAAAGGATTCGAGTATTTGCAGCAGGCCCCTTGCGATAAAAATGTACCCAGTTTTTTACTCCTCGATTATCACAATTTCTGTGGCATTTCTTGGGCGATTATTAAATTCTTTGTCCAAGTTATCTATCTGATTATGGTAATTTTGAGCAGTAGTTGTCTTTCCAATTGTGCTCTCGTAGTTTTTAATGATTTTTTTCCCGTTACGATCACGTCTTTGTTTGGGTTCGTTCTGGCACGCATTACAGCTAATTACGAGGAGCACTGCGCATTTTTCCGAGACTAGTCTCAACTTGCCTTGCAACAGCTATCCATATCGAAACTTCTTGTGATTACCAAGTAATTTTCAGCTTTAAAAAAAAAAAGCATGCGATTGCGATGTTTAAAATAAGAGATAAATATTTATTTTGTCTTTAAAATATTATATGATCGGTATATTGTACAGAAGAATTTTTAAGAAAGCCGTTTTATTATTCTTACATTCATATTTTTTGACCAGATGTATTCAACCTGCATAAATCAAAATGGCGGCTCGAATGTTGTCTTTCCATTTCTGCCCCAGTTTTTTTACTTTTAGAGGCGCGATAATGGCACTAAACATCGCCAATCATGGATGAAAATAATGTCAAATGGAAGAATATACCGATCTGAGCCGAGGTATGCATGTGTTGATTTATTTGATTGATAAAAAAAGTCACTTTTAAGGGACATACTGATGATATGCGCTTTTTATAGAGGCAAGTGACAAATCCTGCGAGCTGATTTCGGGACACCGGGTCCCGATCGGTGCAACGCCGTCGGGACCCGGTTTATGAAAATCCCGACATGACTCAGGCCTATTTTACAACATTTAAAAATATAATTTCTTCAAATTTGCTCCTGACTCGGTTCAGACTAATTGTGTGATGTGTTTTCAAGTCAATTTTTTGAATATATTTTTTTGCATGAATTTGCCTACCAATATAGTCCGGATCCTGATTTTGTGTTCTCACAAATTGTAACATTGTTTATTGTTGTGATAAATAAAGGTTTTGTTGTTTTGTTATTGATCAAACAATTAAGTTGGGAACAGGATCATGCCCAACTTGCACGTCTGTAAGTACACTGTAGATGCTTAGTTTTACTGACTAATGAATCAGGGTCTAATAATTAATATGGGAACTTGATACCCTGATAAAATAACATTTTAATGTTTCTTGACTCAAGTTCTAAGTAGAAACATAGATATGTATATTCATTAATACTTTGTAGCTCAGCAATTCTTATTTTTTACTGAATGTGTCATTTTGTCGTTCAAACAGAGCTCAATCATTGCATCTTTGTGAGGAACCATGGCAGGAGCGCCCCCAGGATTTCTGCTGGGGATGCACCCCATGGCCTATGCCCAGCCCCAACAGGTTATGCAGCAGCAGCCACCGCAGCAGCAACAGCAGCAGCAGCAGGCGGTCAAACAGATGCCCCCACAGGTACCAAGCTACATGTCTGAGGAGAAGCTGCAAGAAAAGGGTATGTAAACAGAATGTACAATAACAGTCAAACCTGCTTTAGTGACCACCTGTCTACAAAGACCACCTGTCTACAACAAGCTCATTTTTTTCCCCTTGAAAATGGTTTCTCATTGAAACATGTACTAAAGGAACCTGTCTACAAAGACCACTTTTTGTGTTTCCTTTGGGCGGTCGCTATAGACAGGTTTGACTGTATAAGAAATGATGTTGGCAAGACTGATTATAGAGTTTAGTCTATGAATGTACAGGAATTAGGTGTGTAGATTATGTTTATCTGTTTCTGAAATAAAGACTCGTAGTGCTATGAATATGGGTAAATGGCACAGTTTAGGTGGCAAAAATGTAGATTTCATGTTCAATATTTTTTCACTTCAGTGATAAAATGCTTCAGATGCTTTATGTCAAGGCAATTCAATTCTATACTTCAGCAATCCTCAAATATTTTTAATTTTTTTTTTTAAAGCAGGTGACGAGTAGTCAGAAAGAGTCATCACAAATTATATTGAAAGGACATGGTTCAATTTTCCTTCCATTTGCATTTTGAGTTTGACATTACTAATAAAAACATGGCATCTGGGTAATTTGGTGCCTATAACACTATTGATATTAATCATTGATTCATTGCTTGAGTGAAATAAGGATGTAATAATTCTCTTATTATTATTTTTTGCAGCTCGCAAATGGCAGCAGCTGCAATCCAAACGCTATGCTGAGAAGCGTAAGTTTGGTTTTGTGGATGCCCAGAAGGAGGATATGCCCCCGGAACATGTGAGGAAAATCATCCGTGACCACGGTGATATGACCAACAGAAAGTTCCGTCATGACAAAAGAGTCTACCTTGGGTAAGTGTTGAGATGGTGAGAAGAATGTGCTCCTAGATAAACTGTTCTTTATGCTCTTAAATGTTTGTCTGAATTTGTAGCTATTGTTGCATCATAGTTGGAGATAATGAGCAAATTAAAGAACAGTAGATTCCTGCGATGACAAAAGAAAGTGTGGCTGAGGGTTGGGGTTAGGATTAGGTTTAGTGTTACTTAAAAAGCTGAAGTCTTGGGAATTAGCTTCATTAGTAAAGCATTTGGTTAACTACAAACATTTGGTCAATTTTTGTGGTTGGGTATTCTGAAGTTGCTCCAAAAGTTTATTGATGACTTCATGATTGTCATCTGACACTGAAAATCAGAAAAAATCTCTGGAATCATAATGGTAGATGGAAACTAAATATTCAGGACTGTGAGTAATAGAAAAAATAATATGGTAGCTCATGCCAAGGGTTAAACAGTCCACCAAAAGAAGAAGATTGCATTAAACAAACAAACATACAAAAAGGATAAAGTGCTAAAGATAGATGAAGAGGTAAAAGATATAATTCAATCCATATATTTCAATCATAAAAGCATAAAGAAATATATATACAAAAAGTAACATGAGACAATCATAATCTTAAAATTCAGGGATTAAGAAATTGGAGACTAAAAGGGAAGTTTAAAAAACCTGTAAGTATAATAGTCCCCTGACATGAATAATAAATAACAAGATTACAAACTTAACCCTGTCAATTTTTCTTTCACTGGGTCTATGATATTTTCCTGACAATCATACTGCATTTGCAGAAGGATATGTTTGTGCACCTGAAATGTTATGAACAGATTTTCGATAGATTGTTAACATTGTTATCCAAATTCTTCACCTTGCAGAGCCCTGAAGTACATGCCCCATGCTGTACTGAAGCTGATGGAGAACATGCCTATGCCGTGGGAACAGATCCGTGATGTGTCTGTCCTCTATCACATCACAGGGGCCATCTCCTTCGTCAATGAGGTACCAAGGGTCATTGAACCCTGCTTCATAGCACAATGGGGGTAAGTTCTCAATCAATGTAGAATTTGCCAGATGACTTTTAACTAGAGATACTGTTATTCTGATGAAGTTCAAGTAATTACTGTGGAATAGCCACTTGTGATTTTCCCTCATAACACATGTCAAAATATTTCAACATGTGTTATGTGTTGCAAAATATTTCAAATTATATTATTTTGTAAGAAAAAAAACAAAACCCCGCATGGTATTTCAAATAGTTTCATGTATCTTCTCTTGGATGAAAATATACATTTGATAAATGTTTGATATAAAAAATAAAAATCATGATGAGAAAAATCACCTGTTGTTTTAAATATTTCATGGAATTTTTGACTTGGGAACTCCATTCTCAGCCTTGTAACTATATTATAAATGTTATATTTGCCATGTTCCGATGAAAATTATTGGCAATGATGAAATACATTGGAAAAATAGACATTGAGAATTTTGAGAAAATTTAAGAAGGAAAAACTCTAGTTTAGTACTGGCACTTGGTCATAACAAAATGATTGTTCATGTCACCTTGATTAATAGCTCCATGTGGATCATGATGCGAAGGGAGAAGCGAGATCGTCGTCACTTCAAGAGGATGCGCTTCCCACCCTTCGACGATGAGGAGCCTCCCCTGGATTACGCTGATAACGTGCTGGATGTGGAACCCCTGGAACCAATCCAGATGGACCTGGACCCAGAGGAAGACTCTCCGGTCTATGAGTGGCTCTACGATCACAAGCCTCTCCAAGACTCAAAGTAAATAATACTACTAATAATAATATGGTTATTTATATAGCGCCGGTATCCGTCAGGTTCTGACGCTGGCTCATGGCGCTTTACACTTAACACTTAAATGTGCCTTCAAAGCATTCAGATGTCATAAGTTTAAAATAAATCTAATGTAATATGGTTTTCTTAAAATGGAAAGTAGAGCAAATTTAACCAAGTGAATATGTTAATTAACTGAGATAATGGCATTTTTTTAATCGCTCTCGAGCTTTGTCAACCATTTGAGCAATAACTCCCCTTTATTCTAATTCAGCTTGGAAATTGAGAAAGTATGAGCCCCTGCTTGAATTATGAAATTTGGGGGGGGGGGTCTAGAAGTAGATATTTGACGCCCATGAGTCTTGGATGCCTTTTTCTGTTACGTTTTACTTAACCTAATGCCTGTGGGAACTGGTAGTCCCTGTATTAAACCTATGGGGTTGAGAGATTTCAGCAGTTAACGGGTTAACACATTTGAATGCTAAGACCTTCCTTTTCCTCCTGTTCCATACAGGATGGTCAACGGCACCAGCTACAAGAATTGGAACATGACCCTGCCGGTGATGTCGACCCTCTACCGTCTGGCCAACCAGCTCCTGACTGATCTGGTGGATGATAACTACTTCTATCTCTTTGATCTCAAGTCCTTCTTCACCTCCAAGGCTCTCAACATGGCCATCCCAGGTGGACCCAAGTTTGAACCTCTGGTCAGGGATGCTAACCTTCAGTGAGTTCAAATTGAATTGCTCCATTCTCCTTTCTGTATTACATTATTAATTCCTTATTCAAAGGGGGTGTAGCATGACAAGACTATGTGTCTTTCCCGTGGCAACATACACATTTCTTTTGCGAACGCTAGCGCTCGCTGACCGTTAATCAAGTCCATTCGTTTACGTGCAGTTGTCCAAAAGAAGTCGTAGATGGCGTATTTGCCATGCTACGCCTCCTTTAATATCATCCCTATCATATGATAATTTGGCACTCATACATGATTCCTTACTCTGTGTGATCTTTAAATTTCTGAAGTGTTCATGTTGAGGATCATAAAGTGCTTGAAGCCATCAGATTATTTCAGCAGATCTGTCTGTGGAATTTGTTGTTGCTGCCTCTACATTGAAGGGGTTTTACCAGTAATTGACATATCGCCTGTTTGGAGCCAGAAGGGCGGCGACTCGCATACTTTAACACATTCTGGCTCTGAACGGATTATATTAAGTGGTGCATTATTGAAATGCCTCTGCCACAAGGGGTACAAGAGACACTGCTTGTTTAGCCATGGAATAGGTGTACTAAGCTTGACTTTGATGGGGACCCTTTAGAATTAAAATGACACTGTCCCAACAGGTTGTCATACCCCTGCATCATATCATATCATATCATGTCACTCATTTTTATTCACAGGGATGAGGATTGGAACGAGTTCAACGATGTGAACAAGATCATCATCCGTCAGCAGATCAGAACAGAGTACAAGATAGCCTTCCCATACCTGTACAACAACCTACCCTACTATGTGCATCTTACATGGTAAGAATAGAACATTGTGGTACCTCGTCTTGGAATGTCGTTTAATGATTGTGCATTTCTGTTGATGTGGATTAAACTTGACTTGGATTAAATAGATTAATCCCTTTTCAACTTATACCACTTCTTGATTCAGATGTAGCTGGAGAGTACCTGGTAGAAAGTGAAAAGTATAATAAGTTTGCATTGCAACTTACGGACATTACTTTGACCTTTTCCCATTTTGTGGTATGTTTCTTCTTTTTATGAATGAGTTATTTTTCTGTCTGATACTTCATACATACTTTTAAAATCATAATTCAAACTTATTTTCCCTTTACAATCTTTTTATACAAAAGTATTAGTTATTTATTTTTTGTATTTGTTTGTCCATGTTTCAGGTACCACACACCACCAGTAGTCTTTATCAAGACAGAGGATCCTGATCTACCAGCTTTCTACTTTGATCCTCTCATCAATCCTATCTCTCACAGACATGCAGTCAAGGTAAACGATAACTTTCATACCTTATTTCAGTATTCACATGGGAAACTCCCTTCTTTTAGTTTCAATCAAAAACATGCTTAATCGAGACATACCTGTAAGCTTATTCTGTTCACGAGACTGCATGGCAAAGCGAGACTTCATTTGGGAGTTATTAGATGCCATGGGCGATGGGTCTGGGCATGACACTTGGGACTATGTGTTGTAAGAAAGTTTATCAAGGTTATTTACTACTTTCAATGCCATTGCTAAATCTATTAACAAAGGTGATCTTAACATTTTTTACTATGTCCCAAGTTAAATTTGAGGGGCATAGTGCAGTCTTGAGATCACTAAGGACCAAAAGGATTTGCAAAACTAGGGATCTCACTTCACTCTATGGGTAATTATGAATTGTGAATAAATTGAAATGAATGACTAAGTAACTCTGAACCAGTAGGTTGAAACAAGTGGGACCGTTTTTCAAATTTTAAAAGCTTTGCATCTTTTCTTCATGTTACAGCATGTCGACCCTCTGCCTGACGATGATGAGGAGTTTGAGCTGCCTGACTACGTACAACCCTTCCTCCAGGAACGTCCCCTGTACACAGACAACACAGCCAACGGGATCGCCTTGCTCTGGGCTCCAAGACCCTTCAACCTGAGATCAGGTAGACATAGGAGAGCTATGGATATACCACTGGTCAAGACATGGTGAGTTATTAAGCCCCTTTTCATACATTAAACTGCAGCTGGAAAACCTCACTTGTAAATGAATAACAAGTTGCAATATAACACTTCTTGTTGGGGGTGGGGGAGGGGCTAAAGAACATTCTTAGTGCATCAAGTGCTCTTAATATACACTTCTTTCATTTGATTTTGCCCTCGGGTGGTAGGGGTATTTTGAGGTCCTTTACCTCCTCTTTTCTGAATGGGGTAAAGATTTAAGAGTAATTGGGATTTAACCAGTAGAATATTGTCAGCTTAGAAAGGCTTTGACTTAATGATATGTTTTGTTAACACAGGGTAGCCTTATTAGTATTAATACTGTTCTACCTGAGGGCCCTGCAATCATATTTCTCAGCAGATGACCTGTCCATTGACTGGCTAGAGGTAACATTCTAGGACATGTCCTTGTCGTGCAGACTGACATCCAACGTTTTGTTGGTTTGTTAGGCTGCCTCTGTACACCTCACCTGGCCATAGAGTAATACAGAGGTACATAGTACCAGTGTAATGATGTGACATCTCATGTTGCCAAACATTCACTGGCCTCCAAATCCTCAGACATTCACTTTTACAAGTGTTTCCCCATATTGTTCGGTTTTGGTCCCATTTTATGGTTTTATGACCAAGAGACAAAATTCTATTCAATGGTTATGAGTTGCTAAAAAACATTAAAAAAAAAACCACTAACGTATGTTGTGAATGATGTAACTATACAACACATTCACCGTTCTTGAATACCAAAGCCGCACATGTCTGTAAGCGTTGTACCTCCTTGTTCCATGTTCTATCAGGTATCGTGAGCATTGTCCCAGCGGCCAGCCTGTTACGGTGCGTGTCTCCTTAAGCTCCTCAAGATCTATGTCCTTAATGCTTTCAAGCGTTGCCTCAGGGTTATTTTGAAATACTTTACCACCTCTTGTCGAGTAATTCAACCAATAATATATTGTCAGCTTGGAACCAGAAAGGCATCTGCTTTATGTTGTGAATGATGTAACTATAATGCACATTAACCATTTTGATTGCAACCTCCTTACTCCCTTTCCTACCAGGTATCGTGAGCACTGTCCCAGCGGCCAGCCTGTCAAGGTGCGTGTCTCCTACCAGAAGCTCCTCAAGATCTATGTCCTCAACGCTCTCAAGCACAAACCACCAAAATCACAGAAGAAGAGGTAATTATCATTTTCTTGTGACATCATTGGATAGATTACTCTTGTTTATATGATAGTGTATGAATCACTTGTGTGAAATCAAGATCCTCAGTAGTAACTTGAACTTATTCTTGTTTGTGAGGTTGTGAATTGTTTGCATAAAGCCTATGATAGATACAAGTCTGAGCGTATCGTGGACTATCTAACCGGAGCTTTCTACATGCTTCTCTGGCCTCCTTAGCTATCAGGTTATTGTCAGTGTACTATGATACAAAATAATTTAGAAGATAATTAAAATTTTCAAGCAACAAGAGAGGAAGGAATACCTCGTAATCAATTTTGAGACATCGGAAATGCATTTGCAGGTATCTACAGTCCCAGCCTACTTGATGCTGTGTACTGTTCGATGCAATGCTATAGTAACCTCAGTGAATGCATTGTTGGATGGCAAGGGCTTACCCATACCCATGTCATCCTGGAAAAAGACTGAGACACAATGTAAGATAATGAATCTTCCAGATGGGGCAATTGGTGGAAAATGCAAAGCCTTACATGAGGGCTGTTAGTCACAAGACTGAAGGCTTATCCTGGTGATTGAAAACATCTTTTATTGAGTAAACATCCAAGTGGTGTCCAATTTCCCATGAGAGCCCACTACTATGTGTCTTTAATGCATCAGTTCACCGTTTCTGTATACCCTATCAGGTACCTCTTTCGGTCTTTCAAGGCCACCAAGTTCTTCCAGGCGACCAGCTTGGACTGGGTAGAGGTGGGTCTCCAGGTCTGTCGTCAGGGGTACAACATGCTCAACCTCCTCATCCACAGGAAGAACCTCAACTATCTTCATCTCGACTACAATTTCAACCTCAAACCTGTTAAAACACTCACAACCAAGGTCAGTCAGTCAGTCAGTCATGATGCAGAGATTTCAGTTGTCAGACTATTGTGAATTGCCTAAAAGTTTGGGCTGATACTTTGTGTTTCAGACTTCATATTAGTATGCAGAAATTATATAGGCAATAGAAAATATCTTTTCAGTAGCCGAGTAGGAAGTATTGAGGATTCAAGTTTTTTTTTAACCCCCTTTTAGTTAACGGCTGCTGATTAACTACTGACATGGGTAGGTGGCATGCTGTGCTCAGTTTTCCTTGCGAATCATACACAAATTTTGATCATTCCAAATAAGGTAAACATTGAACATAGTCCAGCCACATATGAAGCTAATAGTATACAAGAACATGATATATGTGTCTGTTTTGCTATGTCCTGATCTGTAAACTGTCAAAATCACTATAATTCACAGTCCTAACAATTTTCGAAAAGCATATCCTCATTCTTTGTCTATTTAATGTTTATTTTTAATTACAGGAGCGTAAAAAGTCCCGTTTTGGAAACGCTTTCCATCTCTGTCGTGAGATCCTGCGTCTGACCAAGCTGGTGGTCGACAGCCATGTGCAGTACAGACTGGGCAATGTTGACGCTTTCCAGGTAAGAATGCTTCCATTTACTAGTAAAAAAAATGTTCAGTCAGTTTCTGTCATCATCATCAGCTTATCAAATTGTTAAAGAAATGTTTCAATTATAATGTACTTGTGAATATAATTTATTGATTGGTTTCTCAACTGTTTTATCATAGACAGTGTATGTTCACTGATGTATCGGTCCACTATGATATCCTTTCTTAATGTTTGATACATATCACTATACTAAAAATGTAATCATATACTCAAACATGACGAGGTTGCTCATTTTTGCGATTAAAGAATTGCGAATGCATTACACCCTTATTTTTGACAAGTATAAATAGTAAACCTACTTCAGATATAGATTTGACAATCCTAATGCATGGTTGTCTCAAAAAATGTACACCAATACATGGTCTGTCTATCTTAGCTCTTTTCTGCAAGAGTGATCTTACTACCTTTAACCATGGACCCAACTATATTGCCAAACCAATCACAATCATAGCCCTAACCCTACCACAAGCTTTATTTCATTGTCACAATTGAAATTTTGCAATAATTTTGTTTTTTGAAAGTTGTACATTATAAATGAGTAATCCATGCTTCTATCAAATATCTTCTGTGCAGTTGGCTGATGGAATCCAGTATATCTTTGCCCATGTTGGTCAGCTGACTGGAATGTATCGATACAAGTATAAGCTCATGAGACAGATCAGGATGTGTAAAGATCTTAAACATGTCATCTACTACAGATTTAACACCGTAAGTTATGGTATTACTTTGACAAAGTAAGGTGTTAACATGCATGACATTTTTGATTGTATTTAATTGGATTCAAGTTGTAACTCAAGTTAGCTGTCTTTTGCATTTACAGCAAAACAGCTGTTTTTTGTATAGATTTACTGATGAAATGTAGGTGGTCAGTAGGTCATGTAGGTTTAATTGAAATTGAATAATCGTCTTCAAATGACTTGCTCTCAATGGACTAAGTAGTAATGGATACAGGCACTATATTGCTGTCCCATACATTCTAATTTATGTCATAATGAACATCCAGGTTATTGTCAGTGTACTATGATACAAATAAAGTAGAAGATAATTAAAGTTTATAAGCAACAAGAGAGGAAGGAATACTTTGTGATAAATTTTGAGACATCGGAAATGCATTATTTGCATATTTCTGAGCTTCATTTAATATGTACATTCTGATTGATGTTGTGTCTTCTTGCCAACAGGGACCAGTAGGGAAAGGACCAGGGTGTGGTATATGGGCTCCTGGCTGGCGTGTGTGGGTGTTCTTCATGCGTGGGGTCACCCCGCTGCTAGAACGCTGGCTGGGCAACCTCCTCTCCAGGCAGTTTGAGGGACGTCACTCCAAGGGTGTCACCAAGACTGTCACCAAACAGAGGGTGGAGAGTCACTACGATCTGGAGCTGCGTGCATCGGTGAGTATCCAGAGAAATGACCCTCAGATAGACTTTACCATTGATAACCAGGGAGATTCTTGGAATGTCTTTTCTGTTTTCAATGCCCTTCATTCTGTCATCTGTCACTCCACTAACTTTAACGAATTCTTGTTTGTGAGGTTGTGAATTATTTGCATAAAGTCTATGATAGATACAAGTCCAAGCTTCTCATGTAATATCTAACCAGAGTGTTCTATATGGCCTTCTTAGCTATCAGGCTATTGTTTGTGTAATATTATAAAAAATAATACTTTAGAAAAGAATTTAAATTTTAAAGCAATATAAGAAGAATGAATACTTAGTTTAAATTTGGAGACATCGGAAATGCATTTGCAGGTATCTACAGTCCCAGCCTACATGATGCTGTGTACTGTTCGATGCAATGCTATAGTAACCTCAGTGAATGCATCGTTGGATGGTGAGGGCTAACCCCTACCCATGTCATCTTGGAAAAAGACTTGAGACACAAGGACAAACAAAATCCACCTGCATAACGTTTAGACAGGTTTTTTACCTTTTTCTGAACATCATTTGCAATGTGCAATACGTTAGGTCTCATTTACAATTTCGTTATCTTCGGTCCCATTTATAGTGAATAATGTTGTTTTGTTGCAGGTGATGCATGACATTATTGATATGATGCCTGAAGGTATCAAGCAGAACAAGGCCAGGACCATCCTGCAGCATCTGAGTGAAGCCTGGAGGTGCTGGAAGGCTAATATCCCTTGGAAGGTAAGAGCAAACTTTATCAATGAAAAATAGGCTCCATTGTGAGATAAGATGAATGGCTGTCATTATAATGTAATGTAAACTGTTTATTCATTATTTTCAGGCATGTGCACTCCTCTTTTTTTATGTCTGGAGATGGGTAGTTGGTGCTTGGACACTTATTTATTTGGATGCTTTATTTTATGTTTTACTGCCATTAGTATACTTGTAGATGTCTTTTATATTAAAATTTATCCAAATTTTCATACACAATAAAGAAATGACAGATAAGAATGAATGGTCAAATTGCCAAGATCTTAGGTTTTATTGAAACAGGAGTTTATTTAGGGTTAATCTGATATTGAAGATCAGAACTTTCCAATTATTTTGTCAGTAGTCACAACAGATTAAGTAGAGCTTAAAGGGGTGAAGGCTATTTATTTGTTGAGGCTTACAAACATAACAAAAACAAAGTATTAACTGATTTATGATCATTACATCTGCCCCTCCAGGTACCAGGCCTGCCCACCCCAATTGAAAACATGATCCTGAGGTTTGTCAAGTCCAAGGCAGACTGGTGGACAAACACAGCTCACTACAACCGAGAGAGGATCAGGCGTGGTGCCACAGTGGATAAGACTGTATGCAAGAAGAACTTAGGAAGGCTCACCAGGCTCTATCTCAAGGCAGAGCAGGAGAGACAGCACAATTACCTGAAGGTTAGTTCTACTTGAATTCTAATTTCTTAATTGATGACATGGCATTTATTTTCTTGATTTTATCAGCTTTTCCCATCTTCCAATGCTTCTGGCTTGTATATTGTTCATTTCCATCAATGCAAAACAAATATGTTTAACTAGAATTGAAAAGGGGACTTTCTACTTTTGCTTTTTGCCATTGTAGCATGTGCACAGTGAATTAGTATACAAATAAATCAATATATATATATATGTATATAGTTATCATTTGCTTACCTTCATTTGTAAATCATGTCAAAACCTTTATGTATTGATTGTTTGTCCTGATTGCCAGTAATGTACATATTGTGTGATGATTTAATCTGCTGAGAGCCAGATGGCCATTAACTCATATCCTGTAACTTAGAGTTAATTTCTTTCTGGCTCTCGGCAGACATTACAATCATGATGAACTAAAGAAATTATTTTTCAATTATTTATTCCAAATTATTAATACCCATGACTTATTGTATCCTAACCCTAACCCACAGGATGGTCCATACATCACAGCTGAGGAGGCCGTAGCCATCTACACCACCACTGTGCATTGGCTTGAGAGTCGTCGCTTCTCACCCATCCCCTTCCCTCCTCTCTCCTACAAACACGACACCAAGCTACTCATCCTCGCCTTGGAGAGATTGAAGGAAGCATACAGGTGAGTTGAGATGGAATCTCATTGTGGCATGATATTCAAACCCTTTATGATATCCAGACCACAAATAACAATGGCGTACAGTTTGTTTACTCTATCAGCACATACTTTGATTTTATTGTTCCCAAGTTTACAATGAAACTGAGATAGAAGATGAAAAGTTGATTTGTGAAACTTTATTCTTTATAAGTGTTTGTCACATTGAGATTGAAACTAGTTGCTCTTATTAAAACTGAGATAAACTATACACAATTGGAAGATAAATGAAAATAAGTTGGTAAATGCAACTTAATCTCATTACAAATAATTATCCAATTTCATCATCTTTTTATTGAAGATCTACAGTGCACAAGCTTTTTTGTGGAAAACCTGCTTGAAGAAAAAAAAAAAAAATTAATTGATTAATGTTAGGAAAGAGGAAGTCTTAAACTCTGGCTAAAAGCTAGCAATCTCTTGAAAGCAGGCTGTTGAATTTCACTGTTTTCTTAAGTTTTTGTATCGTACTGAACCCAATGTATCATGATTTCCCTCTTGTCTAGTGTGAAGAGTCGTTTGAACCAGTCTCAGAGAGAGGAGCTTGGTCTTATAGAACAGGCCTATGACAATCCTCATGAAGCCCTCAGTAGAATCAAACGTCATCTGCTCACCCAGCGTGCCTTCAAAGAGGTAAGTACTCTGGTGGTCACAGGTTTATGTAATGATAGTTTGAGTTAGTTTCAAGTTCTTGGTATTGATGAGAAAAGAAATTCCACACATAATCCAAAGAAACTTTATATTGACTGTAAACGACTGCATATGATGATTTTTGTATTGATAGAAAATAAATATGTAACTGAGTAGAATAATGAAGTAAATGGCTAAGCAGTAAATAATGTGGTCCCACAAGTAGATATCTGTATTGGAGCTCTATAGTTTTTGTGTTTTTGGTTAAGTTTTGATAGGTTTACTTTCATTTTGTCAGTTCAAACAGTATTTATATTTTGATCAATAAGTAAATCAGTATAACTCCTAGCCATTTTCTTCTAAACGAATGAAAATCTCTGTTATAACATGTATTTTGGCTTTCATGATATATGTTTTCACCTTATTTTACAGCAGACTGTGTCTGCTTCGTTTTTATCTCCAAAGTGGCATAATGCATTGTTATCTGCAGTTGCAGCCTTACCATACTGTGTTCTGTTCGTAGCAATGCTATATCAAACCAACCAATCAGTGATATGCATCGTTGGATGATGGAGGGCTTTCCACCTTCATTGTCCTGGAATCTAAGCTGATACATTTTATTTCTTAGTATTTCTCTTTAGATATACCAGTTACATGCATTTTGTAAGATAAAATCGGGTTGTCACAACTCTCAAAACAGTTCTTTGTTATTCCAAACATGCCTAGGGGGTGTTTCACAAAGATCCTACTTATCTCTAACTTGGACTTAACAATTATGGAAAGCTGTTAGCATCTATGAAAATATTTTGTAAAAGTTATTTTATAAGGCATAAAATGTTGATTCAAATCATTCATATTTCCTATTATCAAGGAGACTTCTTGTTCTTGATGTGGAATTTATGAAAAGTCTAAAATACATGAATTTTCGCTTTCGAATATATTTTAGTTTATTATTATTATTATTATTATTCCGTTTTATTTTAACAGGGTAGCCCCGTCAGTATTCAAAGTACTGTTTTCCAGGGGGCCCTGTACATAAATGAACATATATGAAGAAACAAACTACTTGAACAATATAAACATCATGGAAAACATCAATACATAGCTACATTTAACAGAAAGTGAGTAAAGAGTAAGAGTGAATAATGAAACAAAGCCGTAGTAAGAATGATAAATTTCAATGAGCAATTTCAAATCGATAACAATATACTCTGATTATTATCAATGATCTATTTAGATTTTAACAAATTATTATATTGAGAAATTTATGTAAATATTCATGAAAGAAATAAATAAAGAGAGAAAGGCAAATTTATCTTTAAGATCGCTGCTTAAAATAGAGAGAACAAAAATTATTCTTGGTCGGGGCATTTCGAACTGAGTGGGGTAGGCTATTCCACTGAAGAGCACCATCAACTGAGAAGGCACGTTTTCCACATTCTGTTTTAATTCTTGGAATAATGACGCCCAAATTGTCAGCATTCCTTGTTGAGTATCTATGAGTATGGGCGGACAGGGTGAACATATCATATAAATATGATGGGGCACTATTATTCATAACATCATACATTAATTTACTTTTATTGAACTCCCATCTTTTTTCCATGTCAATCCATCTCAGGGTACTAAACATTTCAGATGTGGGAATCAAAGTATTTATTTTCAGGACAATTCTTGCCATCTGCTTGTGTTGCTTAATCAAGATATCTTTTGTTCTTTTATTACAAGTACTCCATGAAACACTACAATAGTCATAGTAAGGAAGGATAAGTGAATTGGCAAGTAGTTTGGCACTATCGATTGTGAGATATTTCCTGACTCTACGAAGTAGGGCCAACCTAGAGGCAATTTTATTTGAAGTGTATTTCACATGATCCTGCCACGTCATGTGCTGGTCCAGACAAACTCCCAGATATTTTACACTTTGAACTTGCTTGATTGGTACATTAGAAACTTTTATTGCGATTGGTGTGTATTGCAAGTTCAGCAATTTCTGCGGTGTTCCAAAAATCATGAAGCATGTCTTGTCCGTATTCAGGGTAAGTTGGTTTCTTTCTAACCACTTTCTCACACAATCCAAATCATGATTAAGACATGTTTCGATTTCCCTTGGATTTGAAGAACTGTACATAAGGGCAGTGTCATCTGCATACATAATCACTTTACCGTGCTCGATGACTGATGGAAGATCGTTCATGAAAAGAGTGAAAAGGAGGGGCCCCAATATAGATCCCTGGGGGACTCCAGACTTTAACTTTAGCACGTCAGATTTTTTACCTAGCAAGGAGGTACACTGCGCCCGGTGTACAAGATATGATTCGAACCATGATAATGCTTGTCCCGTAATGCCATACAGTTTTAACTTATCTAGTAATAATCTATGATTAACAGAGTCGAATGCCTTTCGTATGTCAAGAAAGACTATTCCAGTTATTCTACCTTTATCCATGTTAGTCAACAAATAATTGCTCAAAAATGCAAGTACGGTGTTTGTTGAATAACCTTTCCTAAATCCAGATTGGTGAGGGGTTAGGAGATTATTATCTGACAGATAGTCTCGAAGTTGCACGTTAACTGCCTTTTCCAATATTTTCATAATCGACGGTATAACAGATATGGGACGATAGTTGCTAACATCGTCCCTATCCCCACCCTTGTGAATTGGGGTAACTTGTGCCTGCTTCCAGTCAGTTGGAATTTGGCTGGTTTGCAGAGAAAGATTAAACAGGTGAGTAATAGGTGTACAAATAACGGGTGTGGCCAACTTCAGGAGACGTGCACTAAGCCCTTCTAGGCCAGTTGCCTTATTAATCTGAATAGAGTGCAATTCTTTTCGTACAAAATCCTCAGAAATCGAATCAAATTCAAAGACAGATCGAATAGAGTCCTGAGATAATGACAAGATCACAGGTTCAACATAGGAATGACTGGCAGCAAGCAGACTACCAATAGATGTAAAATACTCATTAACACAATTTACATCAAGGTTCAAAGTATTGGGAACGCTTTTGTTGGAAGTAGGGGCAATTTGTTTAAGCATCTTCCAAAGTTCTGAAGGGTTCCTTTTGTTTTGAACTATTTGTTCATGACAAAAAGACTTTTTCAAAGTAACTCTTAGATTATTGACATGGTTACGGCAGGATCTGAAAAGACTCCAATCCCGTCGGTCCTTTGAATTTTCAGCTTTCTTCCTGAGTGCATCTCTATCATAGCACAATCGAGTGTACTCAGGCGTGACCCATTTTGTCTTCATACCCCTAACCCTCAGAGAAATCTTAGGGCAATGTTCATCACAAATACCAACAAACTTAGTCTTCCAGTTATTCCATTCAATTTCAATATCATTTCCTTCCATAAATTCCATTCTAGCATTTAATAATGCTTCACAAAATAACGTTACGTTTAACCGTCTATAAGCTCTTGTATGTATAATCCTAGCTGGAGTTTTCGGTTTAACATGTTTGCTAACAACATACACTAGTCTATGATCACTCAGACCATGAATGACAACATTTTTATCAAGTACATTGTTTGGTCGATTAGTTAGAATTAAATCTAACAATGTAGAACTACTCTCAGTAACTCGGGTAGGATCGTCAATTATCTGTTTCAGGTTATACTGATTACACCAAGTTTTAACATTTCTTGATTCTCTCTTATTATACATGTTATAGTTAAAGTCGCCGAGAATATAACATTCCATGCCACCATTCACAATCTTGGAAATTAGTTTGAGGCTACAAATGGCTCTCCATAATTTTCAAGTCTAACTTAGAGATAAGTTCAACTTAGGATCTTTGTGAAACACCCCCCTGTTTTGACAAGTGTAAGTGCAGGTAGTCTAAATTATTCACAATTATTTGTTTTCACCTCATTTTACCAGGTTGGTATAGAGTTCATGGACCTGTACAGTCATCTGATTCCTGTATATGACGTAGAACCCTTAGAGAAGATCACTGATGCCTACCTAGATCAGTATCTCTGGTATGAAGCAGACAAGAGACGTCTCTTCCCTCCCTGGATCAAGCCGGCTGATACTGAACCACCTCCACTCCTTGTCTACAAGTGGTGTCAAGGTAACAGTTCTTACCTACTGGAAATTTTGAAAGATGACATTAATACTGTACTACCTTACCATCTTTTGAAACGGGTTCTAAATCCTTGTTGAGGGATAAGATCCTCTTGTCTCATATGATATTAATATTTGGACCGGGCTGTAGGTAGAGTTAACATTCTTGTTGGTGTCAGGGCTTTGTAGGCATCATTTGTTGCTTTATATCTAACATTTAATAAGAGCCCTTCATGAGAATGCCATCTAACAAATATGGCTTATATTCTAAAAGAAAAGAAAACTTGATTTAATGTTTTTGCTTACACGAAGGCTTAAGATGTTCTTAAATTGCTGGGCTTGACTTCCATATCTCCCCAACCTATTTAATAGGAGATGATTCTATATGTCTTTGTGGCAAATTAAATTCAAGTATGAGGTAATTTGCATGCAAGCTTCTAAATGTTACACAATCATTTAAGTTATTTCACACATTTTTTATTTGTTAACATTTTCTTTGCAGTTATTTCAAATTTAGACCGTATGCTTTTATGAAAATGTTTAACATCATATCATTTCAGGTATCAACAATCTGCAGGACGTATGGGACTCCTCTGAAGGAGAATGTAACGTCATGATGGAGTCTCGTTATGAGAAGCTCTATGAGAAGATAGATCTGACTCTACTCAACAGACTGCTACGTCTCATCGTAGATCATAACATTGCTGATTACATGACTGCCAAGAACAACGTTGTCATCAACTACAAGGTATCATATCCTGTTCAATCACTGGACCATCTCCATAACCTTTCCATTAAAATCTTACTATTTGTGAGTGAAGATGTTTTTAATCAGGGCTTGATTGTAACTGGTGCCTTGGACAAATGGTCACCCAAAATCTGAATCCCCCAATTAAAAATTAAAAAAGGGACTCATGCAGACCATTATGAATACCATTCAAACAGACCTCAGAAGTCTTGATATGGACTCCGTGCAAAAAGAAATAGAAGAAAGGGAATTTTTTTTTTGGAGCCATGTGCCAATGCCCATTATTTTTTGGTACTCCTATATAATACTCTTTCTTTTACTATTAGATATTGTAATGGATATTAATACTTCCTGCCTGTCTGCTTGCTTGAATGTAGGCTGTATGCATTTGCAGGTATCTACAGTCCCAGCCTACCTGATGCTGTGTACTGTTCGATGCAATGCTATAGTAACCTCAGTGAATGCATCGTTGGATGGTGAGGGCTTACCTATACCCATGTCATCCTGGAAAAAGACTGAGACACAAGAAAAAACATTTACCAATTGATGTTTATCTCAAGGATGGTTAAAAGGAATTTATTTTTCCAGATATAATTTCCTCCTGTAGCCTGTAGTTCAAGGCTTAGCAAGTTTTGACGTGGTACCATTGACAGCACAAAATCATATTGGGCAACCAAAAGTCATGCTATCATGGCCCTTTTTATAAAACAAGCAGTTACAACAGCAAATCTGATTGAATAACATTGTATGGCTTCTTGCACAGTGTGAAAATATGCAAATGAGATTTCAATGGGTAAAATAATTTTTGAAAATTACTTTTCCAGGACATGAATCACACCAATTCCTACGGTATCATCCGAGGTCTTCAGTTTGCTTCCTTCATCGTCCAGTTCTATGGTCTGGTCCTGGACCTGTTAGCATTGGGTCTACACAGGGCCAGTGAGATGGCGGGACCACCGCAGATGCCTAATGACTTCTTGCAATTCCAGGTTTGTACTCTAAGTGATCTGATAGATATTTACTCTGGCAAAATATGCCCTGAGCTTTTATTTTGACAATGTGTGTTTGCTTGTTGTAGTTGAAAAATAATCGCCAATCTATGCAATGTCTCGTCTGATGTGGTTCTCGTACACTGATTGTTTATCCTATGTGCATGAAGACTTACACCCCATTTCATTTATTAACGGTGGGAATGTTTAATTGTAATTTTTTGCTTGGATTACTGTAACAGATTTGGTAACAACTTTTTCTGAATACTCATCTTTTTTTCACTTTACAGGATGTAGTCACAGAGGCCAACCATCCCATCAGGTTGTACTCGCGCTACATTGACAAAGTCCATATCTTCTTCAGGTAAGCTGCTTCGAATTAGCTCTCAGGGTTCCAAGATAAAAGTATTTACTTCTCTGTCTCCAGTATTATCACAGTCATTACCCCAAGCTTTATGTAGACGGTCCTTGAATTCTTTTACTCCAATGCATATGTAAAATTAAACCATTTTAAAAGGCACAAAATGTTGATTCAAATCATTCATATTTTCTATTATCAAGGAGATTACATGTTCTTGATGTGGAATTTATAAAGTCTAAAATACTTGGAATTTTTTCTTTTTAATATATTTCACTTTAAGGCTACAAATGGCTCTCCATAATGTTTAAGTCCAACTTAGAGTTAAGTTTGACTAAGGATCTTTGTGAAACACCCCCCCCCCCCTTGTGTAAACCTCTTCCATTCCATTGCCACAGGTTCACAGCAGAAGAAGCCCGTGATCTGATCCAGCGCTACCTGACGGAGCATCCCGATCCTAACAATGAGAACATTGTGGGTTATAACAACAAGAAATGCTGGCCAAGAGATGCAAGGATGAGACTTATGAAGCATGATGTCAATCTGTAAGCATCTAGTCATTTCTCAATATATCATCTGCTGAAAGTTTGAAGGGCTTTGAATTACAAAAGTAGAGCCCCTTTGGCTCTCAATATGCAGTTTTGTAAAACCAGAAACTTTCTTGTGCTTCGACTATTCCATGAATTCTTTGAATTGTTCAGAATCTTGAAAGATTGAATCACAACTGACACAAAACTAAACAAAATTATATTCATGAAAGTATTTTTCAGCAAAAATTGGTGTTGGTTACAACTTTTTGAAAGTTTCATGTTGCACTTGTTTCTCTTTTTACAGTATCTACGTTTTATTGAATTTTGTATAACTGTTCAAATGCAAGAATGAAATTGTATACATATTTTTCACTGACATTTGCATATTTGTTCTGAAATAATCCACTCTGCATGTGAGCATATTGGGTAGGCACAACTCACTAGTTGTTGTGCTTACTTTGTTTCTCTTAAGTGGCTTTTGAAATGTATAATGCATTGTTATCTGCAGTTGCAGTATTACCATGCTGTGTTCTGTTCGTAGCAATGCTATATCAAACAAACCAATCAGTGATATGCATCGTTGGATGATGAAGGGCTTTCCACCTTCATCAGCCTGGAATCTTAGCTGATACATTTTATTTCTAAGTATTTCTCTTTAGATATACCAGTTACATGCATTTTGTAAGATAAATTCAGGTTCTCACAAAACAGTTCTTTGTTGTGCTCAGCATGCTTGTTCTGACAAGTCTAAGTGCAAGTAAATTGAATTATTTACTATCTGTTCTATTTTCCTTATTTCCTGACTTTCCAAGCTCAACCAAATGGCTCCAATATATAATTGTTTAAATATATTTGTTAGGTAACCAATACTCTGGTAAGCTAGAAATTTTTCCAGCCCCAATACAAACAAGCACTATTGCAGTATTTACAAAGATTTTTCTTCGCAGGAAACTTGTTCAAATATTATAAGAATTCTAGCTTGTAAATTAACGATCATGAATTGGGGTCACTTCTGAGATTCACTAACATTTCTGGTGTTATATTACCTCATCATTAAAGCAGTTTTAATTGTCCAATGAATGAATCCATTCTCCTCTTCTTCCTCAGGGGACGAGCTGTCTTCTGGGACATGAAGAATCGTCTTCCTCGTTCCATCACCACCTTCATGTGGGAGCAGAGCTTTGTCTCTGTCTACAGCAAGGATAATCCTAACCTGCTCTTCAACATGAGTGGCTTTGAGTGTCGCATCCTACCAAAGTGCCGTACCACCAGCGATGAGTTCACGCACAAGGATGGTATCTGGAACCTTCAAAACGAGGTATGGGTTCTTTCTTGATGGTGAAAATTTGTGTAATATTTTCTATGTAGAGGGTCATTGCAAAATTCGACATTTTTTCGTCTGCAGAGGGTACTTGTGAATTTTTAGATTAAAAAGAATGTTTGTGATCTAGTGACATGAGGTTTGAAGAGTAATGACAGAATGTTGTGCGAAAGTAACCTCCACACACCCTTTTAATGAGAACATTGCCTTAATTGAGTTCTTCAATTAAATACTAGGTTATATATAATTTCTTTTAAAACACGACAGGTGAAATACAAAACGTAATTAACTTGAGTGGGTGTTTCTCCTATATTCAGACCTTTCTGGGAGCAATGATGAATACACTTGGGGTTTGGGGTGTTGATTGTGATCAGTGCTAGTAGGTTGAAGTTTGAAATAATGATGTAGGTTGTTGTCAAAGTTTATTGTGTTAGTAATGACATGGTTTAGTACAAGACCTCTTTAATCAGATTTTGGTGCAAAGTGATTTGTAGACTAAATCTAGAAACTTTGATAAACATCTTTTCATTCCCTTTCATATTCCTCAGGTGACCAAAGAGCGTACAGCTCAGTGTTTCCTGCGTGTAGATGATGAATCCCTGCAGAGGTTCCACAACAGAGTCAGACAGATCCTCATGGCTTCAGGTTCTACTACCTTCACTAAGGTACAGGAGATCATGCTCTCTTTATTATGTTTTTATGACTGTGTTTCTCTTTTCTCTTTTTCAGTCTCTCTTTTTCTCTCTTTTTCTTACTCCTGGACTTGCTATTAGTGCCATGATATTGATGGGACATGTTGATTTACTGCAAAAATGGAAATACCATCAGTTTATAGAATCTTGTGCATTTCCCTTGAAAAAATTATTCTGCTCTTCACTTTGTTAGTGCTTGTCTCTTATACAATTCATCCGATATGATAATAAAAGGAAGGGGAGGATTGGTGCAGGTTGGAAGTAATGCATTTGCAGGTATCTACAGTCCCAGCCTACCCGATGCTGTGTACTGTTCGATGCAATGCTATAGTAACCTCAGTGAATGCATTGTTGGATAATGAGGGCTTTTCCCTACCCATGTCATCCTGGAAAAAGACTGAGACACAAGAACACTCTGCCCTTCATATAATTTTAGATCGGAAGACAAATACAACTGTACTTGATGAAGTTGTATTTGGCCATTCTTTACACACGATAAAACATATCCTTTAGCTTCTTAGTGTGTTACATGTTGATGCATTACTCCACTTCTACCTTCTCAATTGCTCTTTTTCTTTCTCCTGTCTTTTCTTTATTGTAAAACCATTTGAAAATTCATCATAGTCACTACTCGCAAGACGTTAATCTAGCAGCTCGGCTACAACCAGGGTAATATGTAATACGCCATGAGCGTCGGAGCCTGGCAGATACCGGCGCTAAATAAATAATCATATTATTATTATTGTTATTATTATTACTTTAATTATTTCCTTTAATTTATCTTTGGGACGACTATAGCAATGTCACAGTTTCAAACTAAGTATATCAATATTAATTACCATACCCTTCCCCCACTCTCCTTCAGATCGTGAACAAGTGGAACACAGCCCTGATCGGTCTGATGACCTACTTCAGAGAAGCCGTTGTCAACACCCAAGAGCTCCTGGACCTTCTGGTCAAATGTGAGAACAAGATCCAGACCCGTATCAAGATCGGTCTCAACTCCAAGATGCCCAGCAGGTTCCCTCCGGTGGTGTTCTACACCCCCAAGGAGTTGGGAGGTCTTGGTATGCTCTCCATGGGTCACGTCCTCATCCCACAGTCAGATCTCAGGTATGTCTCATTCAATTGGATTCTATTCCTTGCTCGTTAGAAGCTGTCATGTTTACATCACTATTATCTCGATGTTTCCTTTTACCTTATCCACTCCATCCTTTTGTGCAGTGACTTCGATATTTTGTATGCCTTTTTTTTATGCATTATGTTTTCTGGTTGCCCGTCCGTACCTCCGGTTCTCGTGATCACGTTATCCCGAGAACCTGTTAACGGATAACAATCAAACTTGAATTTTAAAAATAGCTTCTGTTTTGGTTTGTAAAATGGCTCTGTGACGGGGGCATCAGTGTTATTTTAGAATGTTGTAACCAAACAACCCCCCGCTCCCCCCCCCCACCCCCGAAGAGAATCCTGGATCTGCAACTGCAGTGACAAGATATTGAAGCCAGCACCATTCTGCTAATGATGATCAACAACTTACCTACATTGATATGCAATGAGAATAAACTAATTCTGAAGCAGGTTTGTGGTACTCTGACCTTCTCACTCCATGTATAACCAACTACATGTACACATATTTCATATAAAAAGATCAAGCCCTACTGACATACTCTCTTAGAAGCACTGATTGGGCCTACAGAGCCTTCTACTTCTCTGTACCTAAGCTGTGGATTAGCCTTCCACAATCTACCAGGATTGCTGAGTCTATGACAACGTTCATGTCAGCCATCAATGACATCAGCTCAAGAATAATAATGCAAAGGCCTTGTTCATATAAGCCGCAGCAAAACCGCTGCAGTATTTCAATGACGTAAAGTGTGATATGGTCAAATCTCTGCACCTTTTAATGCAGAGCTCAGTGAATACGTACAGGAACTCTAATGTGCACAGTTGTCATTCCTTTTTTTTTTTTTTTTTTTGTGGGGGGGGGGGGGGGGATGTTGAAAATAGGGGTGCGCCTTATACACAGATTTGGGGGTCACAAGGTCAAAGGTCACGGCTCATTATGTATGCGAAAAGAGCTTGTGATCACAATTTCATTAGAACTGATGGATGTCTATCAAACTCAAGATATGTAGGTATCTTGCAGAATCAATGAACCAATTAGATTTTAGGGTCATGAGTTCAAAGGTCAAAAGTGGTGGGGCTCATTATGTATGCAAAAATAGCTTGTGATCGCATTATCTGAGAACCTGTTGATGGATTACAATCAAACTTGAATTTTAACTAGATGGAATTCGACTGCACGCAGTCGAAAATGATGCCTCCGTCATAGAGCAATTTTACAAACCAAAACAGAAGACATTTTTCGAATTCAAGTTCAATTGTAATCCATTAACAGGTTCTCAGAATATCGTGATTACAAGCAATTTCTCATATACATATATGACCCTTTGATCTTTGACCTCATGACCCTAAAATCTACTCAGTTCATTGGCTCTGCAAGATGTCCTGAGTTAATAGTAATCCATCTGTCAGTTCTAATGAGAATGTGTTCACAAGCTATTTTTGCATACATAATGAGCCCATGACCTTTGACCTTTGATCTTATGAACCAAAAATCTACTCAGTTCATTGGCTCTGCAAGTAACATACATGACCTAATTTTGGCAGGAATCCATCAATCGGTTCTTGAGAACGCGATCACGAGCTGTTTTTGCATACATAATGTGCGTTGTGGCCTTTGACCTTTGACCTCGTGACCCCAAAATCTAATCAGTTCATCTGCTCTGCAAGTAACATACATGACCTAAGTTTAGCAGCAATCCATCAATCGGTTCTTGAGATAACGCAATCATGAGCTGTTTTTGCATACATAATGTGCGCTGTAGCCTTTGACCTTTGACCTCGTGACCCCAAAATCTAATCACTTCATCGGTTCTGCAAGTAACATACATGACCTAAGTTTGGCAGCAATCCATTACTCGGTTCTTGAGATAACGCGATCACGAGCTGTTTTTGCATACATAATGAGCCCTGTGACCTTTGACCTTTAACCTCATGACCCCAAAATCTAATCAGTTCTTTGACTCTGCAAGATACATACATGACCAAAGTTTGGCAGGAATCCATCAATCGGTTCTTCAGATAACGCGATCACGAGCTGTTTTTGCATACATAATGAGCCCTGTGACCTTTGACCTTTGACCTCGTAACCCCAAAATCTATTCAGTTCATCGGCTCTGCAAGATACATACATGACCAAAGTTTGGCAGGAATCCATCAATCGGTTCTTCAGATAACGCGATCACGAGAACGGGACGTACGTACGTACAGACGTACGTACGTACAGACGTACGTACAGACGGACGGACGGACAACCCGAAAACATAATGCCTCCGGCTACTTCGTAACGGAGGCATAAAAATTGCCTCTGGTAAGGTTTGTAAAATCGCTCCTTGGCGGAGGCATCATTTTCATTGAAGCTTCTTGGGCTTGCAAAAGAAAAAACAGTATATCTATGAGGTAATTTGATAAATTTTTTGTAGTCATTATTTTGATAAAAAGTCTTGGATAATATATGTCACTGAAAATTTTAAATACATGCAAAAACCTTGATAGAAAAGACACCTGCCTATAATAATTGCCCTCCCTTTCCCCCCTTGAGGAAAGTACTGTACTGTACTGTACTTGTAAAGTACTATAAAATCCTATATTGACATTTAAGGAGGATTAGTATGACCATCCACTGTTTCTCTTCCGCAAACGAGCATATTCTGTAAATTGCACTTTGTTTCTTTATCCCCAGGTGGTCCAAGCAGACAGATGTTGGCATCACTCACTTCAGGTCTGGTATGAGTCACGATGAAGATCAGCTCATCCCCAATCTCTACCGCTACATCCAGCCATGGGAGAGTGAGTTCATTGACTCACAGAGAGTGTGGGCTGAGTATGCACTCAAAAGACAGGAGGCTAATGCTCAAAACAGGTGAGTGTGAGAGATGAAATGTACTCTCATTTCTGTCTTGAAAGAATTTTTGCTGTAACTTGTATGACACACAATCTCTACAGATACATCTCAATCTGAGAGATGAAATTCATTGCCTAAAGAAACAGGTTTATGCCAAGCTATGAAAGAGATGTATTTTCATTGAAGATATCATTTTGTACGATCCAGAATTGCAATGACAGTGTCTTCCTATAAATTGACCCTGTTGCGAATAATGAATGATAGTTATAACTTGATTTGTGGATTATACACCAAAAGTGGAACTCTTTCTTGATTGGACATGTAGTCAAGTTCAAGAATATCAACAGATAGTGAAAATATGAAAACGTGTTTTCTGACCTGCCCTGTTCTTTACTTCGCCAGACGTCTGACTCTTGAGGATCTTGAAGACTCGTGGGATCGTGGTATTCCTCGTATCAACACTCTGTTCCAGAAGGACAGGCATACCCTGGCCTATGACAAGGGCTGGAGGGTCAGGACTGACTTCAAACAGTTCCAGGTAAGAGACTTGAAAGTAGCCTCATCTTCTGGGACCCGTTTCACAAAGCCTTTTTTCAATGACAAATGACAAATATCAGTGACAAATCTGCTGATAACCAATCAAAAGCAAGAATTTCAGTAGCTTATAACAACAACTGTCATTTGTCACTGATGACAAGTTTTGTGAAACAGGGCCCAGAAGGGTATAAACTTGATTAAGTTTACTCAGAGTTAAGGCCATAGTGACTTTGTTTGTAGTTTGGATATGTCAACCATGTGAAGATGTGGTTTCGAGATATTATAGAGAGAGTGTAAGGACTTCCTACTAGTGCCATGATATTTTTGGGACATGATGATGTTAAACTGCAAAAATTGAAAGTTTGTAGAGTTGTAGCCTGGTGCATTTCCCTTAACCCTTACTGTACTGGGCTATTTTGAGCACCCGCTGACTGGGGGGGGGGGGGGGGGGGCCTGGGAGGCCCCCCCCCTATGATCTCGGCCGTCGATTGTCCGATGAACACGAAAATTTGCATGTTTGTAGATATTTACGTAAGGAACAAGATGGTATAATTAGTTTTTTCCGAATATGCAAATTTTCGTCGTTAGCCTAATTAATTATGCAAAAATGCTAATTTTATGCATTTTACAGAAAACGTGTCAAAGTCCACTTTTTGGATGTTGAAACTCATTATTCATATGAAACTTCTTTTCTAAGACAAAAAAGTTAATTTAATGTAATTAATAATGATAATTTATGCAAATTTTGATGCATTTTTTTTTTTTTTTTTTTTTTGATGACATGCGCATACTAATTGTTATGTAACACCTTACAGGTATATCCGATTTCGACGAAAATGGTATCAAAATGTGCGTAAGACTTGAGGGAAAAAAGTCATGAAACGACAATTCAAAATTCCAAGCGGTTGCGGCGCAAACTCCGAAAATGTCGAGGGGGGGGGGCCTCCCAGGCCCCCCCCCAGTACAGTAAGGGTTAAACAGTTGATTCTGCTCTTCTTGTTGTTAGTGCTTGTCTCGTAAACAATTCATCTGATTACAATCATAAAGTAGAAGGGGAGGATTGGTGCAGGTTGGAAGAAATGCATTTGCAGGTATCTACAGTCCCAGCCTACCTGATGCTGTGTACTGTTCGATGCAATGCTATAGTAACCTCAGTGAACGCATCGTTGGATGGTGAGGGCTTACCTATACCCATATCATCCTGGAAAAAGACTGAGACACAATAACACTCTACCCTAAATCTATTTGTGATCTGGATAAAAAAAGACAACTCCATAGGTTCACCTTTCTAAGTGACACAGTTTCATTTAGCAATTCTTTACACACAAAGGAGCATATCCTTTGTTACTGTCAAGGTGTTAAATATTATTTCATTATTAACTTTTTTGCAAACAAAACATTTAAAAAAAATGAGGACCTTTTACTTCGTGATTATTAAGCACTACTACATTAGGAATGTTATGTAAGACCTAGAATTTGAAATTTGGTTATCATACATGGTATTCTGTCTGAGATTCTGTTTCAGGATTAGCCTCTATCACATGAGCTTCTTGCTGTTCAACCTTTGAACTTATGTTTTGATGAGGATAATCAAACAACATAACATTAGAGATGGTATGCAGGAAATGATTTACAGTATATTACTATTCAGACATGGTATATTGTGTTCAGGACTTGTATTTCATATGAAGTTTGTTTAATCAATACAAATGTGTCTGTTAACCCACCAGGTCCTGAAGCAGAATCCTTTCTGGTGGACCCACCAGCGCCACGACGGTAAGCTGTGGAACCTCAACAACTACAGAACAGACATGATCCAGGCTCTAGGAGGAGTGGAAGGCATCCTGGAACACACCCTCTTCAAGGGCACATACTTCCCAACATGGGAAGGTCTCTTCTGGTGAGTATTTGGCCAAAAAAAACATGTCCACTTCATTTTCAATCAGGATATCACCCGATGTGGCCCAGTGCTTTAGATTTTAGAGGCTCTATATATCTGTGATATCTGAAATGAGTCCCGAAATTAAAACATTCAACTGTTTTTGAGAAAAGGTTGCCTTCAAATTGGACACTATGGAAAAGTTGCTCGTTTCTTGAATTTCAGCATGCCTGTTTGAATCCTGACCATTTGCTTATGATCTTTTCTGACATTCATATTTATACCTCTTGTCACCTTGCTGCCAGAAGCACTGTTAGTTGGAGGCATCATTATTTTCAGTTTTTCCCTTTCCCTAGTGAGTGGTTACCTCACCAAATCCCAGAATATAGCTTTGAAGTATGGTAGCACTTAACCAGTAACATGTCTATCTCTTCTTGACCTTCTACAGGGAGAAGGCCAGTGGCTTTGAGGAATCCATGAAGTACAAGAAGCTGACCAACGCTCAGAGATCCGGTTTGAACCAGATCCCTAACAGAAGATTCACCCTCTGGTGGTCACCTACCATCAACAGGGCTAACGTAAGTCTTGGCACTCTTTGTCTTTCCTTGATCACACTCAAAGCTATGATAAATAGAATACCTTAGGTTAGGCAACAAAAATCAGGTTTTTTTAGGTGTCAGGGATGCCAGTTTTCAGGCTATAGCCTAATTTCAGGCCCTGACCCCTTTCCATATCAGACTGTATTAGGCTTCATATTGTACATAACTTATGAGGCTTTAACATGTATGGGTCTCTTTTCAGGCTCATCTGGAGAAACCAACTGGCATCCCTGAGATGTGCCCTGTAATAGTTTTACAGATAAAACCTTTCCTTGGCTTCCCTGTAAGAAGGCCATTACTGCCATTGAAAATATATAGCAGTTTAAGCATTCTTGCTTGCAGCGGACATGTTGGTTGTCATCATTAATGACATATGGACCTCCATTTTATATCCCAGTGTGGTTGGGAGATCTTTATGAAGTTTAGACTGGATAAACTATGCACAGCATTCTAAGCCATCGCCCAGTCCTTTTCATCGTATTCTTCAAACCATCTCAATGATTCCTTGTGTTTCTCTCTTTGTAGGTGTATGTAGGTTTCCAGGTGCAGCTTGATCTGACGGGTATCTTCATGCACGGCAAGATCCCAACCCTCAAGATCTCTCTCATCCAGATCTTCAGGGCTCATTTATGGCAGAAGATCCATGAGAGTGTGGTCATGGACTTGTGTCAGGTGAGTCAATACAGAGGAAACTGGTACCTTACTCATGATCTTTCTGATGATCTTTCTGATGGCCTTTCAATTGAAATTGAGTTGGAAACTAGACCTGAGACCTAAGCATGCAAACACCATCTATTCAGGTCAATGTTATTGGGGACATGTCTAGAAGTATAGGCTTGTAAGTAAAAACAGAGGAAGCTAGCAACTTACTCATGATCTTTTTGATGGTCTGTCTGATGATCTTTTGGTCTAGATCTTTTGGAAACTAGATTATGAGACCTAAGCATGCAAGCACTATCTATTCAGGTTAATGTTATTGTTGACATATGACTGGAGTTCATGGCTTTGAATCAAACCCATCCATGGGGCTTGTGATCTTTTGGGAAACATCAATCCTGTGCCATGCTAAACCCCCAAATCCAATGGGAATGTTGAATGCCATGGTGACTGAATTCATCATGCAGTCCTACAGTACACCTGTCTATAGGAATACTCCACAGGGAGTGGAGAAATATAAACATGAATATGTAGGTATAATTAAATTAATTGAGAGTAATGCCATCTATACAGGTAGAGTTTCTGGTAACCATGGCAAGTTTTAAATCACATAAATTTCCCTTGGTTATGTTTCCTAGGTATTTGATCAAGAGCTTGATGCTCTAGAGATTGAAACTGTCCAGAAGGAAACCATCCATCCCAGGAAGTCCTACAAGATGAACAGCTCCTGTGCTGACATCCTTCTCTTTGCTGCTTACAAGTGGAACGTCTCAAGACCTTCCCTCCTTGCTGACACCAAGTAAGTCCTGGGGACAGAGTTCTGGAGAGATTATTTACATGACTACTTATATTCATGTGGGTTTCTGGTGAAAGCAATCGTCGGCAAATACGGTATGCAGAGCATGCAACCAACTACTGAAAGTTTTTTTTTGTATACAACAAATATAATCTGTATTGGAGATGGGATTGCAGAAGTTCATCATCTTGTCTTTCCATTCAACAGGGATACCATGGACAGCACCACAACCCAGAAGTACTGGATCGACGTCCAGCTGAGATGGGGTGACTATGATTCCCATGATGTGGAACGTTATGGCAGGGCCAAATACCTGGACTACACCACAGACAACATGAGTATCTACCCCTCACCCACTGGGCTTCTCATCGCAATTGACCTGGCCTACAATCTGCACAGGTGGGTTTATAACCTGATTTTATTCAATCCTCTTGACAACGAAATATTTGAGACTTTATTATACGCTATAGATTCTCAGATTCATTTGATGCATTTTCACAAATTTGTTTGGCTTGGATAAGTCTGAAAACATACTTTCTTACAATATATATGCCTTCTCCAGAACATCAAGACAGTAAAATGAATTCATGTTATTATGCATTATATTCCACATACTAAGAATCTTGCTCTACGATTGGTCAAAAGTAAATCATGTGATGAAAGATAGTTCGCCCATTATTGACTGGAGAAGCAAAAAGTTTGTTACACTGCGTAGATAGTACTACTATCTACACAGTGCAACGCACTTTCACCGAAGATAGAGGTACTATCTACACAGGGCAACGCACTTTCACTGAAAATTATCCAAAAGCGCACTAAAACAAGCGTAATGAAGTGCGCATTACCAATGAGCGCAATTAAAACAAACACATGCGCGCACCGTACCCTCAAGGGTTGGGTTAAACTGTTCAACTTTTTTGGTGTGAATTTGGGCATGGTGTCTTTTATGTAGATGCATACACGTCCTTTTCTTTTTGTAGTTAAATTGCTTTAGATGTGGAATATAAAGCAAATAATCACCTTTTGGTTACAGGCGATGGCAAACTATCACTTCCTCATCGATCAGAATGTATACGCTATCTTTCCTCAGCTTCGCTTTGGAAAGATAGCTACATCCAGATCGCCTCGGAAGTGATGAGTTTGTCCCATCACCTTCACCAACGGTAGTTATTTGCTTATTGCTAGTTAGTGAGCATAGTTGGGTATGCTTCACTCTTTAAAGATAATAAAGTTATATTAGAAGATGAGTTTAGCTTTTGTCCTTATTTCCTGATTGTCTATGGATGTCCAGTCGAAGACAAAATATATATAATTCTTTTTTAGAGGAGCAAGTAAAATTTATTATGATTTAGGACAAAAGTGCAACTAGTTGGATATTATGAGCTTCAAAGAATGTATCTGGCTGCTGGCATCCGTGAGATCAAGTCTTGTGAATCTTTGTTTACTTCCTTCCTTTATTTTGAACAGTGCATTTGGTAACTGGTTCCCTGGTTGCAAGCCCCTGATCCAGCAAGCCATGGCTAAGATCATGAAGGCCAATCCCGCCCTCTATGTCCTGAGGGAGAGAATCCGCAAGGGTCTGCAGCTCTACTCCTCAGAACCCACCGAGCCGTACCTGTCCTCCCAGAACTACGGAGAGCTCTTCTCGAATCAGATCATCTGGTTTGTGGACGACACCAACGTGTACAGGGTCACCATTCACAAGGTAAGAGAGCAGGGGACATGTGGATTTACATCCTATCTGAGAGGCTAGGTTTTTAATGATGTACTCTGTACCCAAGGATATACCAACTTTGTTTAGAACCTTGGCATGAGGATAATCTGAAATGTCCCATTTTGTTTGAGCTTGTTACACATTTGTTCTGAGATGGCTGCTATTTATTGTTTTTCATTTGGTTGTAATACCTACCATAAATCAAGAACTTCAAGAGTACAATTGTTTTCCTTCTATTCTGTTGTTTAGACCTTTGAAGGTAACTTGACCACTAAGCCTATCAACGGAGCCATCTTCATCTTCAACCCCAGGACTGGTCAACTCTTCCTCAAGATTATCCACACCTCTGTGTGGGCTGGACAGAAACGTCTTGGTCAGGTAATCATTGGTCAGCCTATCTCTTACCATTCTCACAATTGTATAGACAAGACCATACAGGATAGTCTGGTTATAAGTTTAGTTGGATAGTACAGCTGTTAGAAAATTCCAGAGGCTGGGTTCTTAAATTCTGTGTGTAACAGTGGGCGGGACATCTATCTGGATATGTATATTTCATTTGCTGCCTAAGCTATTATTCACTGTCAATCATATGAAGTCAAGGATAGATTTCATTGATATGTAGGATTGAATGTTCTGTGCATGTTTCATTATATTTTTTAAAGCTTATCTGCACTAGTTTGGCCAGGAGGGATTAGACCTCCCTGCATGGTCACTGACAGGTGGTTATCTCGTCAAATCAGCTCTCAATTAACATAAGCAAAAAAAGGACCATGGGGAACAAACGGTCACCGCTTAGGCATTGTTTGCTATATAGAGGGGGCAAGTAGCTATAAGTAGTGCAGTGGGGCTTTAAGACTTCATTTCCAAAGACCACACGCATCGTCAAAAGATCTTCAAACCTCCATTCATGTTCTATTATCATTGACATTACAGCTAGCCAAGTGGAAGACTGCTGAAGAAGTGGCTGCTCTGATTAGATCCCTGCCCGTTGAGGAACAACCCAAGCAGATCATTGTCACCAGGAAAGGCATGTTGGACCCTCTGGAGGTAAGACCAAACATGATTCCCCAAACCAGGGAATTCAAGGAATTCATGAATACTGTTTGCTCTGTATATATATGTATGGTGTCTGGGCTAGAGTAGAAGAATGTTGATAAGCATTTGCTTTTTAGTTTCTATGTGCCTCAGGATAGTGTTCTTCCTTGGATTTTACTGTACAGTTGCTTTATACTTTTGTGAAACTGACTGTAGCATCTCAATATTTTACCATACACTAATTCCTAAATGACCTTCACTTTTCTGTAAAGACTTCAATACTTGTTTCACTGAACTATTCTTCATGACTATCATGTTGATATACGTATGTATTATTATGTACCGGTATATTTTTACACTGTTTTGTACCTCTCCCTTGTCTCTATCTTGCACTTCATATTTTTTAAATAGATTTTTCTCAAACATCTTGATCAAGGGCAGACATAATTCACTGCCCTTGATCAAGATGTTTGAGAAAAATCTATTGAAAAATATGAAGTGCAAGGCTTTCAATATGCATACAATAATTACATGTATCGTAATATGTGGACACCAACGTGGCATCTATTTAATTCTACCACACTTTTAAATATGAGCCTCTCCCACCCTCCTCTCTATTCAGGTTCACTTGCTGGATTTCCCCAACATCGTCATCAAGGGCAGTGAGTTACAGCTCCCCTTCCAGGCTTGTCTCAAGGTAGAGAAGTTTGGAGACCTCATCCTCAAGGCCACCGAGCCTCAGATGGTGCTTTTCAACCTCTATGACGATTGGCTCAAGACAATCTCCTCCTACACGGTAAGTTCAAGCTGAGAGATTTACAAAGGCCACAAGCTGTTCAGTGTGAAGAATAGTATATTCACTGGTTTTAGGGGCATAGGTGAAACTATATAGACAATAGCACAAAGATTTGTAGTCCAAAGTACAGAATAGGTTTGAATTTGCAAGGGCCATTGGCTCTACGGTATGGAGAGTGTATACACATGTTTGCTGGTTTATGGAGAGGTATTGTTGAAGATTATTGTGGGGTGAACTTGAGACTTTCCTGACCCAAACTGTTGTTGTACAAGACTCCCTACAGGAAGAGGAATTCAAATGTGAGTAATTAAGAATACACCCAAACCAAAGGGCACTTGTGATTTGATGCTTGTTGGCAACTGGACATTGATGTTTTTTAAGACCTCTGCTATATCCACTCCACCCTCACACCTCCTCTATGATTCTCTTTCTCTCTCTCTCTCTCTCTCTTTCTCTCTCTCTCTGTCTCTGTCTCTCTCTGTCTCTGTCTCTGTCTCTGTCTCTCTCTCTGTCTCTGTCTCTCTCTATCTCTCTCTCCTACAGGCCTTCTCTCGTCTGATCCTGATCCTGAGGGCGCTACACGTTAACAATGACCGCACCAAGGTGATCCTCAAGCCAGACAAGACCACAGTGACCGAACCCCATCATATCTGGCCTACACTGACCGATGAGGAGTGGATCAAGGTGGAGGTTGCACTCAAGGATCTCATCTTGAATGACTACGGAAAGAAGAACAAGTGAGTGGTTAGATTAAATCGACAATGTGAATTGACATCCTTCAAGGTTCCCACTCATCCTAACAAATGAAAAATTGAAGAAAAATTGAAGTGTAATGAAAACATACTGATGTGATCTGGTTGCGGAAACTTTGAAGAGTCATGGAAAATTAAAACATATCTAAAGGCTTGTATAAGTCATGATAAATGTTTAAATTATGTATGATATCTGTGGTGACTAGTGACTCCATCATCTTACAGCCTTTTCACACGGGTAAAATTCATCGTATCTAGAGCTGATTGAAAATTTTCCCTTTGTAAACATGGTTTATACGAAGTTTGGACAGATACGAATTGCGATTCATACGCCAGTCAAAGCAGGCTGCAGATGCGAAGCCTGTAGCTAAGACAGCGAGACATTTTGTGTGTGAACGGATATACGTCCATAACTAGACCGGGCACTGCTCTTTAGACGCTTGGTAGGGCCATTGCGCATTTACGAGCAGTTTTATTATAGCTATTTTGTCCTAATGTGCAGCTTTAATACAAGAAATCAAGTTTGTTTTTTAATCAGTATATTTGATATCCATCTTCATTACATTGTGTTTGATTAAATTTTCAGTGTTAACGTAGCCTCGCTGACACAGTCTGAGATCCGTGACATCATCTTGGGTATGGAGATCTCAGCTCCATCCCAGCAACGTCAACAGATTGCAGAGATTGAGAAACAGACCAAGGAGCAATCTCAGCTCACAGCTACCACCACAAGAACAGTCAACAAACATGGTGAGTGAAACATTGACAGAATTTAAGAGTAGTATTGGTCATCAGTGGCATTTCGTGGGAGGGGAGCAGAAAAAAGAGGAAAATGGGTAAAGGACAAGAAAAAAAACAACAACATGTATTAGGATCCCATACCTGAACTCTAATAGATTTCCTTGTTAATTTGTATATTATTTTGGGGCTTTTCCCCTTCCAGTGATGCCAATGCCCAAAACAGTCATCATGGGTTATAATGCAGCTTTTGACAATATTATTCACAAATCTTATGCCTCCGCAACGAAGTAGCAGGAGGCATTATATTTTTGGGTTGTCCGTCCGTCTGTTCGTCCCGTTCTCATGATCGCGTTATCTCAAGAACCGATTGATGGATTCCTGCCAAAATTGGGTCATGTATGTATGTTGCAGAGCCAATGACCTGATTAGATTTTAGGGTCATGAGACATGTGGTCAAAGATCAAAGGGTCGTACATGTATATGACAAAAAGCTTGTAATCACAATATTCTGAGAACCTGTTAATGGATTACAATCAAACTTCAACTTCAAAAATTGCTTCTGTTTGGTTTGTAAAATGGCTCTATGGTGGAGGCACAATTTTGCTAGATTGTGTGATTTTCAGACATAAGGATGACTTTCTTTGACTGATTATTCATGAGGAATACTTGAAATACCTCTAAGAAGTTCTGAATGTCTGATGGCATGTATGTTGGCTGTACAAAGTTATTGAAGATGCTAGTTGACAAACATTTTTTTTTAATAGAAATAACCAAATATGCAGTTGCTATTTATACAGTTACTTAGTTTATTGATACAGATACAAGACCAGGACAATCGCTCTATGGTGGAGGCATCATTTTCGACTGCACGCAGTATAACATCTAGTTTTTCCATGTCACATATTAAAACATATACCCACATCCTAATTTAACCTGAAAACTTTGTTTAGGCAATTGCGGTTAAGTCTTGTTCCAATTCTGGTTGAGTCTTCAATACTTGGATGTATTTACTTCATACAGGTGACGAAATCATCACCTCCACCACCAGCAACTATGAGACGTCGACGTTCTCCTCCAAGACGGAATGGCGTGTGAGGGCCATCTCTGCTACCAACCTCCATCTTAGGACCAACCACATCTATGTGTCATCTGATGACATCAAGGAGACTGGGTACACCTACATCCTGCCTAAGAACGTCCTCAAGAAGTTCATCATCATCTCTGACTTGAGAGCGCAGGTGAGTAGGTCTTCTTTTCAAAGGGTGATGTATCTGTTCACTTTAGTCTTGGATGTCGTGGTCTGCATTTTCAAAGTTAGGCAAAATTCTGACAAATCGAACAATGAGTATGAGGACCAGAATAAGAGTATTGCATTGTTACATCTACCCAGTACTTAAGTATGGTAGTGACACATGGACTATAGCCTATGATACTAAAAAGCGTTTGGAAAGTTGCGAAATGTGGTTTTTAAGAAGAATTATGAAAATCCCCTGGACTGGACAAAGTTAGTAATGAGGAAGTTCTTACACGAGCTGGAGTGCAAAGGAAAATGATACCTGAGATGTTGATTAGGCAGTTGAAGTTCATGGGTCACATTACACGTAAAAAAGGCCTAGAGAATCTTGCTTTGACAGGGAAAATTGTGTGAAGAATGAGGATACTTTGGATGGACAGTCTGCAGAAATTGTTGGAAAAGAGAGGAGTGAAAGAACTGGGAGTGGTGCTAACAGAGAAGGCTAGGAGCCGAGGGTTGTGGAACAGCATGATCGCCAAAGTCAATCGATATGGCACTAAGAGAGAGAGAGAGAGTCGTGGTGCATAGTAGTCAAACAATAGAACTTCTAACAAAAATAATTTCATGGGCATTTAAGAAGTAGTACTAATTTATATCCGAAAGCAATTAAATCAATGATAACAATGACAATTTACAAATGAATCGTTTCTTGCAGAAGGGCGCAATCAACATTTTTTTTCTTCAAAATGTACATCCAATGTAACCTGGTGTCTATCGTCTCTTAGGAACCATGTAAATGATTTTGTAAGAAAATTATGCAAGTTTATGTTTGGTTTGTCATCCTAGATTGCTGGCTACCTGTATGGAGTGTCTCCCCAGGACAATCCTCAAGTGAAGGAGATCAGATGCATCGTGATGGTACCACAGTGGGGCACCCATCAGACCGTTCATCTTCCAAACCAGCTTCCTGATCATGAGTTCCTCAAGGTATGAACTACAGTCAATCCTGTCACTAATGTCCTTTGGCAAGTCAGTTATGATCTACATTTACCACTCTCCACTCGGGTGTTAAATGGGTACCGGTAGCTGTGAGCACCGAAATTGGTAGCCTAGCAGAGCCGGGGTAATATTGGAGCGCCTTGAGCACCTTGGAGGGTGGATATATGCGCTATATAAATATCCAATAATATTATATTAATGATATAAAAAGAGTACATGTAGACAAGTGACCTGTCTACACTTAGATTGAACAATCAGTCAAAGCTTTCTACAGAGCCATCTCGAGTTAACAATAAAAGGGACTGCTGTAGGCAGGTGAACATTGTAAATGAGTCATCCGTTCTTTATTTTCACCTAGATTGGGACAAGGTGACCACCATATAGAAGTGGTCTAAGTACAGAGGTGGTAACTGACAGACATGACTATATATGTGTGCAGCCACAGGTATCGCAAAAGCCTTGCATAACCTCCTTCAATGGAACTCCATCCTCTAAAATTTGTTGACTTGTTTTGAACTAAAAGTGTTTGAAATTTTTCTAAAGTTTGATTTGAAGTACATACCATCATTATGAGTTGGTATAAGTTGATAATGGATACTTGATATTTTTCTTTGCTAGGAACTATTGTGTGATGTGAAGGCTGTAGGTAAATGTGTTGTTTGCTGGTTTCTGGTAATGATTGTGTTTTCGATGATGTTGATATCATTGCAGGAGATGGAGCCACTTGGTTGGATCCACACCCAACCCAATGAGCTTCCTCAGCTCTCGCCTCAAGACGTCACCACTCACGCTAAGATCATGGCTGATAATCCTATGTGGGACGGAGAGAAGACTGTCATCATCACATCCAGGTGAGTTGGGTGCTCCAGGCTAGTCTAAGAATCAAGTTTTAGATGGAAGGGCAGACAAATAAGCTGCCAACCATTACGTTTTTCCCGGAGTTATTATGTTTTTCCCGTAATTATTACGTTATTTTCCTCCCAAATACGGTAGTACATATTTTTATGCCTCCGCCACCGAAGGTGGTGCCGGAGGCATCATGTTTTCGGGTTGTCCGTCCGTACGTCCGTCCGTCCGTCCGTCCGTACGTCCGTCCGTCCGTCCGTCCGTACGTCCGTCCGTACGTCCGTCCCGTTTGACCGTTATCACAATATCTCAAGAACCATTTAAGATTTAAACTTAAGACTCGGGAATAGTATTTATCACCATAGGAAGACGATCTGATTAGATTTTGGAGTACGTAGGTCAAAGGTCACAGGTCACAGAGGTCAACTTATGAAATTCCTTGTATTGAGTTTGTTAGCGCGATATCTCAAGAACCATTTGAGATTTAAACTTCAAACTTAAGGATAGTATGTATCACCATAGGAAGACGATCTGAATAGATTTTGGAGCACGTATGTCAAAGGTCAAGGGTCACAGAGGTCAACTTATGAAATTCCATACATTGAGATTGTTATCATGATATCTCAAGAACCACTGGAGATTTAAACTTCAAACTTGGTGATAGTGTGTATCACTATAGGAAAACAATCTGATTACATTTTGGAGCACGTAGGTCAAAGGTCAAGGGTCATAGAGGTCAACTTATGAAATTCCATACATTGAGATTGTTATCATATCTCAAGAACCACTGGAGATGTAAAAACTTCAAACTTAAGGATAGTATGTATCACCATAGGAAGACGATCTGATTAGATTTTAGAGCACGTAGGTCAAAGGTCAAGGGTCACAGAGGTCAACTTATGAAATTCCATACATTGAGATTGTTATCATAATATCTCAAGAACCACTGGAGATTTAAACTTCAAACTTAATGATAGTGTGTATCACCATAAGAAGACAATCTGATTAGATTTTGGAGCACGTAGGTCAAAGGTCAAAGGCCACAGCGCACATTATGAATGCAAAAACAGCTTGTGATCGCGTTATCTCAAGAACCGATTGATGGATTCATGCCAAAATTAGGTCATGTTTGTTACTTGCAGAGCCAATGAACTGAGTAGATTCTTGGTTCATAAGGTCAAAGGTCAAAGGTCATGGGCCCATTATGTATGCAAAAATAGCTTGTGAACGCATTCTCATTAGAACTGACAGATGGATTACTAATTAACTCAGAACATCTTGCAGAGCCAATGAACTGAGTAGATTTTATGGTCATGAGGTCAAAGATCAAAGGGTCATATGTATATGAGAAATTGCTTGTAATCACAATATTCTGAGAACCTGTCAATGGATTACCATTGAATTCAATTTTTTTTTTCTGTTTTGGTTTGTAAAATTGCTCTATAACGGAGGCATCATTTTCGACTGCGCGCAGTCGAATTCCATCTAGTTCCTTCATAAAATGTGTTTTCTTAAAATAAATTTTATTTTATTTTACTATTGTTATTTTTTAATTTTTTTTAATGAGTGCATGAATGATTACACATAAACTAACAAATGGAAATGAACCCAGGTATAAACAAACCAACAAATAAATAAACAGATGAATGAAACAAATGAAATGAAAGAACTAGTTTGAACAGATATCCAAGAAATTATTGAAATGTTCTTATTAGGACTTAAATTTCTTTCTTTCTGCTCTTCAAGCAGCAACTTAATCATCAACCAGTAGCATTTTGCAGTAATTTTTTTTTCCCTGACCACCTTGAAGAGCGCTTATCATTGAAACCCATTTTTAAGTATTTGTCAAAGGCAGTCTTTGAATGTTTTACTGTAAAAGACGAGACAAACACACAAATGCTTCCATACCCTGGACTATATTTGATTACATACATTCTTAAAAGCCAAGTGGATTGTTTCAGTGAAAGAAAGTTTCTTAAGTGTGCCCTTTAAAATCGCGACTGGCCGGAATGCCCCCCAGGGAGTAGAGAATGTGCATACATTGTGTGCGGGTAAGCCTGGATCCGATCACCAGGGTAATAAAATATTGTTGTATCGATGTATTGGGCGCTATATAAAAGCGGAATATCATTATAATCTCTTTATTATCTTCCCAGCTTCACACCCGGTTCGTGCTCCCTGACGGCCTACAAGCTGACTCCCAGCGGTTATGACTGGGGTAGGCAGAACACAGACAAGGGCAATAACCCCAAGGGATACATGCCTTCCCACTATGAGAGGGTACAGATGCTGCTGTCTGATCGGTTCCTGGGCTTCTTCATGGTTCCAGCACAAGGGTCCTGGAACTTCAACTTCATGGGTAAGAATATGGATAAAGAAAACAATTTTTTGTGTGGTTTAATAATAATAATAATAATAATAATAATACTGCAAATTGCAAATCGCCTCTAATGGGAGTTTCTTATTCTTGCAGTCTTAATAACTTTCTGTTCTTGAAGTAACAGGTTTTCTGTGTAGCATCTATGAATTATTGGCAGGGTGTTGCATTAGTATTTTTTCAAGATCTTATCTTGAATTTTGACCATTGTGACAGAAATTTATGACTTTTTGTTGTTTTTGTGCTTGAAAATAACTGAGAGTATTAAAATTCAAAAACCAGATGTGAAACATAACATTTGGGAAAGAAATGCAACAAAGATTAAAGGTTAAATCAAATTACCATTTTTGAAAGTTAAAAAGAAAAAAAAAAGATCGAAAGAACGAAACATAATGATGTTTTTATATTATTTTATTATTTCAATTTACTTCTGCCTTTTTTTCCAGTATTAATTTCTTGTTTATAGCAATTAATCTACGATTAATTTATCTTGAATTTGTGTCTTTCTTTATCAGGTGTGCGACACGACCCCAACATGCGATTTGACCTCCATCTGGCCAACCCTAAGGAGTTCTACCATGAGGTGCATCGACCCTCTCACTTCCTCAACTTCAGCTCTCTTGAAGACGTTGACAACATGAACAGCGACAGAGAGGATCTATACAAATAGACACCCTTAACCTTAAACTTTCAATGGAAGGATATAATCATGAAGTTTGTTATCAATAATCCATATTTACATCGTTGCTGAGTCTGTCACAAACCTCTTTTGTGAATTTAGCTCTGTTTAAAGCAACTGAGAGGACTTGTTCCAAGTAAACCCTGTCAAATTTCAACTGAAGACATGCACAGTGAAAGAACTCTGGTCTATCAGGACTCCTGTATGTTATAACTTTAAATTTGAATTTAGGAATGGATTACAAAAGTACTATCTGAATGATTTATTTATAGATTTCATAGATTATATTACAGACTGCTCAAATATTCCAGGTTCTTAAATCTGTCATTTTCAAAAAGACCTTGAACATAATGATAAACGACGATTGGGAGGCTCTCATGAGGTAAATGCCCTTAGATTTTGTTTAGAGAGATCATTGATATATTTGAAATCAGTGATCTTTCTTCAGTGCAACATTTTATTAGTCTGTCACAGAATTGTTATTCTGTTTTCTCTAATTATTCGGAAGGTTTGAACAGCATTCAAATAGTTGTATTAGTTTTGTTAGCATTCTCCCATGACCTTATGTTTTATATCAAATAATTTTTACACTAATTGGATCGTATTGTATTATAGTTATTCACCCTTCATGTCTTTTGTTTTTCATATCGCTGAGATAGAAAAGGTAATATGGTGTAATAGCAAGTAATACATGCAATCATTTGAGGAGCTGTGAAATTAGAATTGTATGGCTTTTGATCCACAATGGTCTATATGCATGTTTGATATGTCTCATCCATGCACGTATTATACATAATTGATTATCTTTTTTCTAGCAGAAAAATGATGTAATATTTGTACATAAATGTGGCTTTGTGACAAATGTATAGGAAAATAACCAGAAATCAAGAAACATGAATGTAAAGGGAAGCATGTTTGTGAGTCTAAATGAACTGGTAAACAGTTGTTTTTTTACAGCAAATCACATTTGTTTGTTTGTATATTCAAAGCCGGAAGGGCATAAACTCTGTGTTAAAGTATATGAATTAATTTCCTTCTGGTTCCAAACAGATGGTATTACTAAAATGGATTCTGAATACAGAAGTTAAGCAAATGACGATGTATGTTAAAGTGCCTGTGAATAGTGCATACACATTAACTTCATAAAAGGAAGACAAAGCGAAGAATGTGACAAGTTACACGTACATGTTTATCATTAAATTTCCGTAAATCATTCTGTTACTCTGACTCTGTTTATGATGATTTTTTTTACATTTTACAATGGGAACCTCCTGAAGACGAGATCATCCCGAATTCCCGATGCAGATTGTATGAAATTGTAAATTCATGTAAAATTTATACAATTTTCAAAAGGAGTTGATATCATAATGGTTGTAATTGATTTGATATGGTATGAAAGGATTTTTAGTCGTGAAATTAGATATGTATGAATATTTGTGCTATATTGTATTATCCGGTTATTTCTTTTCTTCTTTTCAAGTGATAATTATGTGATTTAGACCATAAACTCTAGTAGGTCCATGTTTAGACTTTCTTCAGCACATGAATACAGCAACTGGATATGATATGTTCATCTTCAGATCCAAGAAATCACATCAATGTGTTTTCATTACACTTCAATTTTTCTTCACATTTCTTATATGGCTAGCGAAATACAAGTAGTGGACTTGTATTAGACTGGTCATCATTCCCATTTATTAACTTAAAAGATTTTAGCTTTCCAATTCATTCTGTTAGAGGATCACATTACAAACATTTCATAATTAAATGTCTTGAATTCTTGACTGTTATTGTTGTACTATAAAGATGTTTTTCGATCATGTATATATGGATTTCTCAAATTTCATAGAATCAGAAGCACATTTTCATGTAATGGAGGCAACACATGTGGATTATTTTTCAATGAATGTATTTTTTTTACCAGGTACTGTTTTGTTGAACTCTAAAATTAATGTGGCAATCTTTTGCCTAAGCACCAACTTAGCAATGCAGATGCTTGAGATAATTTGTGTTAAATGTGTTGTTTGCATTCCATTATGTTTACACTTGGATGAATAAAAACCAGTATGGTATGTATAAAGTATACTACAGATGTCATATTCTGAATGGTTATTTAGTGTGAGATTCTTATTACATACAATTGGTTTACTTTCTCCATTACATGTACAATGTTTCATGTAAGCTTGGACATGTTTGCTGTTTAAAAAGCAAGCAAGAAAGAAAGAGAAAGAAAGGAATACAGGATTTTCAAGAAAGAATGAAAGAAAAGGACCCCTCCAGACCTTGAAGAAAACGGCATCAAGTATGATTATCAGGAACAGTTTTTCTGTCCTTCTTCTGTTGGGTACAGTCCTCATTGTAGAGTATAGTCGTCTTGGAAGATATGATGCCACTGTCATAATCAGTCTGTAACTCTCTCGGACCCAAGCTGCCTATGAAAACTTAGATTTCGGGGAATTGAAATGCTTGTCCCAGATGGAATCACATTGAGAATGAGAGAAAAGTAATGATGCAAATCTCCTTTAGTTCCCTTTACGAGGTCGTATTACAATGCTCTTGACATTTTAATTCTGAAAAATGCGTTAGGCCTATGTCACTGATGAAAAATCTAACTAGACTAGATAAGGTAAATGATAAATCTCTCAAAACAAACGGAAGTTATACCGCCACCATTTTTTGTTTAAATGGGAATAAATTCAAAATGGCCGCGCCCATGAGAACAAGCATGGCTAGTGTGCGACAACTTTTTGCAGTTATTTCTCAAGGAAACTCAAGGTCTGGGTTTCATACGAGTTGTCAAAAATTGTTGAGAAAGATAAGAGGGGTTTCTGGTAGTGTAGAAACACAGGCAAAGACTAACGATGAAATATCTAACGGAGAATTTCCTTCTGAGCTGCTTCGAGCTGAAGTTAACGGCTCGTCATCGAGCTTACCGCCGGACCTGCAGGGGCAGGAGTCTTCGCAGAGCCGAAGGTTCCGAGTTCCACCCGTATCCATCGACGCGACGAAAGGGGATCGCAGGGAGTCATGGGCTGAAATGTCAGATGATAAGGACGATATTAAGGGACAAGATGTACCGAGATACACAAAGGCAGGACCAGATGACAAGCGCCTGGGGTAATAATCAGATAACAGAATTTAAATTTAAATCATGTAAACTGGTAAATCTAAATGTGATTTAGTCTAGACCGAAATGAGTAAGAATAAGAATAAGAATAGATATTGAAATGTTTAGTTTATAGTTTAGTTTTGTCAAAAGATTGACAAATTTAAGAAGAATGAAGTACTGAAAGTCTGAAGTGAAATTTAACCGGACACTGGCAGTAGTTACTGAAAATGTCAACAAATGAACAAGTCCTATTTGAGTAAATAGTTATAGATCTAACAACAACAACTTGGACTTGAACAAGGTTGTTTACCTGAACATGCTGAAAATTGAAATGTACGCTTAATGATGGAGTTGCAAGTATAGATGATGACCTGAATTAATTAATCACTATGGTCTTGATTTGAAGTCTAAATAGCCTATTCAGTTTTGAAATATATATTTTGGAAATGATTTAGACCATTTTAGCCTGTGATTCTAGGATATGAATATGAATTTAAACTTATTTCAGAAGCTGTCCCTGCATCTGTATCTGCCTGTCATCTGTATGACTATATTAACTATAGATTTTCAACTGAATTTTACTTACAACAAAAAACTGTTGTGGAATTGCAGCAAAAATTGTAAGATTGTTCTCATGTGCTCTCTTTAGACGTGCTACAATGCTGGCCAAGTCCAGGAAATACAGAGAACAGAGTGGCAAGATCATCCTGGAAGGTCGAAGGCTCATTACAGATGCCCTGGAATCTGGAGCTAGAGCTGATACCATCTTCTTCAGTCAAGTGTCAAACATAGAGGGACTTCCCCTCGCTGGGTCAAGGGTCAATCTGGTGAAGGTCGCATACAAGGACATCTCGTTGTGGTCGGACGTCAGTACACCACAGGGAATCGTGGGTGAGTAAGGGTCTTGAAAGATGACAGATAATCATGATTCTGTCAGGTTTCTTTTCCTGAAATGTTCTTGAAGTGTTTCAAGTTGTCATGGCAAAACTTGGAACGTTTATTTCCTTCAGCTTTTTAACAAAGGAAATTCTGTATTTGGGCATTCCACAATCGAGATCTAGTTGTGGTGACAGTGGTGGCATCCAAAGTAAAAACTATGGTACATGCCTGTCCTGCATACGGGGAGGAACATAATAGTGATTTGCTGCATTTGTGTAAAGTTGTAAGCTGCATGAAAAATCGGCTAATAAGACACACAAAAACTCTGCCCCATTATTGTTTTCTTTGTTTCTCTCTATATCATGCATTATAGTCAACAATGGCATTAAGTATTCTGAAGAAAGACAATGATGTAAATGTATCTGTACACAAAGTCGGTAGAGCAGTGGTCTCGTAATCCGGTGACCCGGGTTTGAAACCAAGTTGATGCGCTAGTGCCCTTTGGTAAGGCATTAATCCTCATTACCAGGTCCCTCGGAGAGGACCTAAAGCCGTCGGCCATCTGGTTGCTTACTAACAAGCATTTATGCTTTCTTGGCAGTCAGGTAAAATAACCACCACCCCATCTACAAACTTATGGTAAACAAATGTTATTCTGCTGTTTGTATTCCATTGATAGGTGTGTTCCAGAGACCCAAGTACGAGAATCTAAACCTAGACCAGACATCTACAGAGCATCTTCCAGTGAGTCTGATCTGTGATAACATCCGGGACCCTGGGAATCTAGGTACCATCCTCAGATCAGCTGCAGCTGCTGCATGCCAGAAGATACTTGTTACCAAAGGTATAATAATCTAAAGAGCTCATCATATACTGTAAATCCAGATATTTTTTTTGCCAGCATGAAATGTTTTGTAATTTCACAAGTTGTTCAGATTCAGGAAAATCCCACTTAGTAAATGAATCACAACTGACACAACACTGAATTTCTGCAATATGTGGCAGTCACTCTCATCTAAAAATCACAAAACTTTCATGTCATAGCAGTTTCTGGTTTTACAGTTTCACAGGTGATGATAGTGATATTAGGTCTCAGTTGTCATTTAGAGGAAGGCAACTTGAGCAATTATTACATGACAATAATGTAGACATAAATAAATATCTCGTATCCAAAACAAAATTATTTTATAAATGTAATGCTTCCTGGGAGAAATTTCAATTTCAATGGGTGTAAGCCACAAATATGTTTAAATAACATTATTTTAGTGATAAAAAAAAATGCACCAGCAGTAATAGCCTTAAGCAATGTCATTTTGAGAGAGCAGTAAGTATGACATCATTTCAAAATACTGTTTGGACAAAGGGTAATTGTAGGACAGCATTTATACAATAATAGTCTAGTAATATAATGTATTGGATTTGCTTTTTATGCCTCCGCCACCGAAGGTGGTGCCGGAGGCATCATGTTTTCGGGTTGTCCGTCCGTACGTCCGTACGTCTGTACGTCCGTCCGTACGTCCGTACGTCCGTCCCGTTTGACCGTTATCACAATATCTCAAGAACCATTTAAGATTTAAACTTAAGACTCGGGAATAGTATTTATCACCATTGGAAGACGATCTGATTAGATTTTGGAGTACGTAGGTCAAAGGTCACAGGTCACAGAGGTCAACTTATGAAATTCCTTGTATTGAGTTTGTTAGCGCGATATCTCAAGAACCATTTGAGATTTAAACTTCAAACTTAAGGATAGTATGTATCACCATAGGAAGACGATCTGATTAGATTTTGGAGCACGTATGTCAAAGGTCAAGGGTCACAGAGGTCAACTTATGAAATTCCATACATTGAGATTGTTATCATGATATCTCAAGAACCACTGGAGATTTAAACTTCAAACTTAGTGATAGTGTGTATCACTATAGGAAAACAATCTGATTACATTTTGGAGCACGTAGGTCAAAGGTCAAGGGTCATAGAGGTCAACTTATGAAATTCCATACATTGAGATTGTTATCATGATATCTCAAGAACCACTGGAGATGTAAAAACTTCAAACTTAAGGATAGTATGTATCACCATAGGAAGACGATCTGATTAGATTTTGGAGCACGTAGGTCAAAGGTCAAGGGTCACAGAGGTCAACTTATGAAATTCCATACATTGAGATCGTTATCGCGATATCTCAAGAACCACTGGAGAATTTTCACTTCAAACTTAATGATAGTATGTATCACCATATCATAATATCTCAAGAACCACTGGAGATTTAAACTTCAAACTTAATGATAGTGTGTATCACCATAGGAAGACAATCTGATTAGATTTTGGAGCACGTAGGTCAAAGGTCAAGGGTCACAGAGGTCAACTTATGAAATTCCATACATTGAGATTGTTATCATGATATCTCAAGAACCACTGGAGATTTAAACTCCAAACTTGTTTAAATTGCTCTATGGCGGAGGCATCATTTTCGACTGCGCGCAGTCAAAATTCCATCTAGTTTATCTCATGCACCAGCCTTGAAAGTGTAATTTATATTTATGCTGTACATCTTTAATACTTGAATTGCAGCCTTATAATTGTTGCTTGTCCATTTATAATTTGATTGTGATAAAATAAAATGAGTCTTATTGGTGACTATCAGTATGAAAGGTACTGAAAATTCTCTGCAGGAAATCACGATATGTACCTTTCGTATTAATAAGATGATTTGTGTAATGTGCTTGTAATCCTATTAAGTCTAAGTGTTAATTTTGCTTGCGGTTATTATTTTTGAAGGTTGTGTAGATGTGTGGGAGCCCAAGGTGCTGCGGTCAGGAGCAGGGGCTCATTTCAGAGTGCCCATCATCTCCAACATCCCCTGGACCAGTTTACCAAACTACCTATCACCCAACAGGAGTGTTCACATCGCAGACTGTAACTATGTTCATAATGACGATTTGCAAACACAGAGTAGCTGTGGAGTCTCAGATAACCAGTCAGAACATGCTCACATCTCTCAATATGATAACGATGATGACATTTCAGCTGATCATTCAAAGATGATGGATGAGATGAACGCAACCACTGATTTAAGAACGGTTCCATATTTCAGTGTAAACTGGACCCAAGGAGACTGTGCTCTGGTCATAGGGGGAGAGACAGAGGGACTGAGCAGGGAAGCAAGAGAGCTTTGCACAGTGACTGATGGAAGGAGAATCTTTATACCAATGTCAATGGGGGTTGACAGCCTGAATGCTGCTATGGCAACAAGTGTCATCTTGTTTGAGGCAAAGAGACAACTTTTGATGGCAGATGAAAGCCATTAAACTGTCCTTTGTGTAAGCTTACATGGTCGTGATCTAGCAATTAATTAAGGGAAGAATAACCATAGACAATTTTCCACTCTGTCATGCTTTGGTATTACTTTTTCTTGACTCTCTTGAGTCTTGTGCACTTTTAAATAAAGTGTACAAAATATGAAGTGACAATACCTGTTGTGAACTTGTTTCAGGCTGAAATTGGAAATTTTGTTAACAGAGTGAAAAGAACTCTCTACTTTCTTATTTTCATTCTAAATCAGTTTACCAACTCAATGTTATTTTTCATCTGTTTTATCTCAATATTAATCAAGAAAGGAGCCTCAGACAGGAAAACTCATAGGACAAAGAATTGAAAGAAAAACAAATTGAAAAGAAATGAAATATAGAATTCAAATTAAGATGACAAATTTGTTTAAAGGTTACATTAAGTGTACAAAATCATGTAATATAACAAACTTTCTTTGTTCAGCATTTAATATTTACAAATATAATTTGAATGAATGATATAATAAATTATGGTATTACCATAATTCCATCAAAATTGATGATGCCGTCTTGTTCATTATTTTAGTGGTGTGTGCAAAATCTGTGCATGATCTGTTGCTCTTCAGTCAATAAAAAAGCCAGTCTTTTTTTGTGGTTGTTGGGGGGGGGGGGGGGGGGGGGGGGGGGGGGGTTGAGAAACAACATTTACATGTAAAACCATGGTACCGAAAGTGCTAACATTGTATTTGCTTGTCCGGGTTTCTGGTTTGAAACTACTGAGACCATGCATGAGGTTCACCTTGAAATCATTCAAGCAACGGACTGGAGCAGGGCAAAAACAGTATTTTGCGTTGGTGTGATCACCATGCCATTATTCAGCACAAAATTGTTTGGAACCAGCAACCTTGACATCTTAGCCAGTTTGGCGTAGCTCTTCGGTACTCTTTATGAAGGTTATTAACTTTGATAGACAAGCCATGATAAAAAAAGAAATACATGCCAGTAAAGTAAAACTTCTTTGGTTATAATGTTATGAATTTTATTCATAAAAAGTACTGATTAATAAACCATTTATTCCTCACCACCTTAAAATAAGCAAAAATGTATATTCCATAAAAAAAACAATAGTACTGACCAATAAAAAAAGTAACATGATACATTTCAGCAACCTCGCATCAATTCAGGATAAATCTGATTCAGTCAGGGATGAGATTCCTCTGCCAATCTGCGGATTACCGCCGATTTTGAGACTTCCAGACGGGGGAAACAACAGAAATTAAAGTCCGTCCCTTTACGCAAGATGGGGTAACAAATATTTCTCAAATTTAGAATTTAAATGCAAGGAAAACGTGTCATTTTGATTTTACGTTAACATATTCTGATGTTTTCTGCGGAAAGGGCATGCTGCCCCCTCAACCCTTCCGTCTCATCCCATCATTCTATAAAGCCAACATTTCTGAATAATATATAAAGAAAAGAACATTATAAACCATAATTACCCTTTAAATATCTAGAAGTACAAATTCATAATTTCATAACGTAATTCCATAACTTTTCGAATTGATTTGAATCGTACTGTAACTCAATTTAATTTGGTGATTTTTGCTTCCCAACATCATTCTTGGCACTTCTACACAATAACAGTGTGTGCTTTTAATGGATTTGATAACCAAAATAAAACAGCATACAGTTAGATTTGTTTTAAAGTCTCCATACATTTCATAAAACACGTTTATGCAATCAATATTCAACTTAATACCTCTCAACGATTGCATCATGTAAATCTTTAATGACTCTTTCTTTGACTTCAACTTTTGTCCATGTCTAAACATCACATGAAACTCAAATTATGCCCATTTCAGTCGAAAGGTCTTCAACAACAGGATTTGTCCCTCCACATACATGATTTTACACTGGTTTAAATAATATGATTCTTCTGGCTGTCTCATTCTACAAAATATAGACATTGTTTTAGGCTATTTAAAAAATAATCTTTAGCTACATGATTAAGAAGCCTGGACACTCTGACTGGAAGTATATTATTCAAATAACTTGGGGCCTATAGAGACAACTCCTTTTTTTTTTTATACCCAGCACAAGAAATAAATAAACTGTAAAAAACAACATATAAAAACAGCATTACCGATTCTCTTTAAATAAAAACATAGTGAAAAGAAAGAAAAATAAAATGAAAGTTTCACTCCATTATTCTCTTTGGATATTTCCTTTGGCTAAAATAGCATAACTTTTTTCATGAATATCAATCTGTTAGACAGTATATCGACACATAATGAACAATACAAAGCACTAAAAATGCTGGAAGGATACCTAATATAACAGCCATAATAAATCTATGCATATTTCTTTAGCTTGGCTAGTTCAATTAAGATCAAATGGGGTGAAAAGGGACACAAAAAATGAGTAGAAAAAGTTTCTTTAACACAATCTTTTTAAACAGAAGTGGAGCAGATCCTTTTAATATCCCACACATTGTATTTATGATAATATACAATTGAAAAGAGTCTGCAGCACTACTAGGGAAATAAATATATGACATAATGACAAAATCCTTTCTGTCCATATTCATGCATTCCCTTCATGTATTCATCTCATTTTACAGTACTTGTACTGTAACAAATTGAAAGACACCAGTACTTGAATGTACTAACAATTGACTATTAAAAAACATATTGAAAAGCATGCACAGGAAAGTCTTGGGGAATAATTATGGGAACCAGCATCTATGTTTCAATGATACATGTGATCCGAAAGACAAGAGACTTCTTCTTTTTGTTGCAACAAAGTAAACATTTCATAAATCACAGTCAGAACCATGTTTTAAAAACTACCATTCATATGTAAGAGCTGTGTTCATATTAAGATTCATCCGCATATAATTGGGTCGAAAACCCAAATCCTGTCCTAATGATTTTTTTGGCAATAACAAATTATACATAAAATAGCAATATACAGTTATACTAGATGGTCCATAAAATGACATTTGAACCAAGCTTCTGTGATTCTGATACAATCAATAAAAATATTCATAGTATAAACATACCGGTATGAAAAAATCTTTGACATCAGGTAGACACACACAATCACAATTATTACATGACAATAATATAGACATAAATAAATATCTCATATTCAAATTTATGTTCCCATACTTTCCTGAACAAAATACTATACAAAATAAAGAATCCCCCAAACAAAAAACCTGATTGCTCCAGTAAATGGACATCAAATAAAGGCAACAATGTAAACCAATAATAATCATAAGGGCGTGGCAAATCCCGTCATAGATCCTCCCATGCCCCTCCACTGCTGATAGCCAGTGAGATTCCGATCGGCCCAGCTGAATATTGGAGGTACCAAAAGTCATTGCAGTACACCACTGGAAGAAAATAAAGAGAGCAAAAACAGGGTAAAGATCAGTTCTGGTCATGCGATTGCATTGTGAAAGAAACGTTGTGGAATCGATCAGAAAAGGTTGATCATCTAGCATAGAAGTATTGTACTGCAAGGTTCTGAAATCATCCAAATGATAAGAAATTTGGCCCAGTCTTAATAGAGGAGGCGCGATAGCTAAGTCTGTAGAGCAGTGGTCTCGTAATCCGGTGACCCGGGTTCGAAACCAAGTCGATGCGCTAGTGCCCTTTGGTAAGGCATTAATCCTCATTACCAGGTCCCTCGGAGAGGACCTAAAGCCGTCGGCCGTCTGGTTGCTTACTTCTTAGCAGTCAGGTAAAATAACCACTACTATCAAAGTTACAAGCACTGTACACAGAAAGATGTATATGGGACTACGTGACACGTTTGCGATATCTATCCGGTCAAATAGTTATAATAATTTACCAAATATATCAATTAGTAGGCGGTTTCCTGGTAAAATTTGTATCATCACATATTAGTCAAAACATATTCTTTCACATAATTTGGTAATAAGAGCTTCCATTTCATTTTATGAGAGGAGAGCATTTCCAAAACTGGTCTTTACCTTTAAAGCAAATTAAAAGAGCGCTATCTAAGTGACCCATGAAACTCATCGAACCTCTTCTTGACACTTACAGGTTTCTCCTTCGTTCAGAGTCCCTTCCAATTCTTCACATTTCTCCTCACACACTGGATCTGGCAACAGCTTGAACTTGAACTGACCTTTGACCTGGCTGACCCAGGTCACCTGCATGTTGGCCGGATCAAATCCCTGTAAAAAAAAACATACACACCATTGCAGAGATAGACTAATTCTTTAATTGCCATACATCAATACCCACCAAGACTGTGACATTCTTTGGAAGATAAATGATGCACAAACACTGATAAAAGTGGACTGTGCCAAGTCATGTTTGTTCCAATAGGGCACTTTCGCAAACACGACGGAAGCAAAGACGGGAGAATTACGGCGATACAGCTCTTCCGTCGTGTTAAGGGAGGGAACGCTATTATGGCCGCGTACGGTCGTGATAATCAACAGGACGGAGTAAATTGTGGTTCGCACATGTTCAGATTGTTTTTTTGCTTGCGTTACCGTTGTGTTTGCCTTCCGTCGTGTTTGCGAAAGCGCCCTATCAATGAAACAAAGCCAGTAAAAAGAATTTACACAATTATACAGAACTGAGAAAGGACTTAAAGGTACTATGTCCCATTTGCAGGCCAAAAAATGAAAAGGTTAAATTCCAACGGCATTTGAAAAATAATACTAATTTAGAACTTCCCTAAAAAAGGTGGGGCTTGAAAATGGCTTCAAGTGGGAAAATAACGACTATTAGTTGTCAAATCGACTTAGCAGCTATAGAGCCAATAAGTAATGGTCTTGATTTTCAGACCATTGTACCGAAGTCCATGAGACTGACATCACAAGGCCGACAGCCCAAAAGACTGACCTTTGACCGACAATGTCAATCTTGTGAACATTTAGAAAATTGCCAGAAGGTCCATAAGACCATCATCATTAATCTAGCTGGATGTCTAGTCTTGTATGATATGGACAGTACAGATAAATCACACACAAACATGAAGACATACTCTATATTCTGGTATTGTCTCTTCATCTTTTCTTCCTCCTACTATGATGAAATTCTTGGGGTCTGCCTCCACCATCCCTGGTAGGAAGTAGGGCCTGCGGTAGTACTGACGTAACACCTTAGCGGCTGGAAGCTTGCAGTGTCCCCTGGAAAATCAACAATTTTGGAAACACAGAAAATGTTCATAAAATCCTTAAAATGAACAGTTCATGTATGGAGAATAACAACACTATGAAACAACAACCCTATGCACTTCCAAACATTATGTGGATGTTGGTATTTCTTATATTTAATTGTATTGAAAATTTGAAACCTGAACACAACGACTGGCAATGGGAAACCACAAAAGTTACCTAAGAGGTAGGTGGTGTATATGAACCAGTAGGTTCCTTTAGGAAAAAACAATGCAAAGGAAACAAAAATGTCATCTTTATAGAGAGGTGGTCTTGGTTGAGTGGTTTAAGCACTTGACTGGAGACAAGGGTTGTGGGATCAAGCCTCAGCACCAACCTAATGTCCTCAGACAAGAATTTCTTAATCTACAATCGCTTCTGTCCACCCAGGTGTTAAGTGGGTACCTGGTATGAAGGAATTCTCAGAATGCTTTAAGCACGAAATATGAAGATAAAAGTGGAGGACCTAAAACTTCTTGCAAGGTGGATATGAGTGCAATACAAGTATCCATTATCATAATTATTGTTTTTCTGGGGTTGATTAGTCATACTCTAATATGAATTTCATGCATTTTCCTCAATGTTTGCATTCATATTCATAAGTATGCAATAATACCAGCATGACAATTTCAGTTTAACTGTATTATAATGCAATACTAACAGCAGAAATACATTTATCAGGATTTTATCAGGATATATATATATATAAGTATTCTAAAAGCAACATTAAAAGGCCTTACCAATGGACTTGGAAATTATCTAATGTATGCATCTTTTTGAAGAAGCCTTGCAACGTTGATGCCATGTCCAGTCCTGAAACGCTACACACAGATGTCTCTGACAGGATAGGATCATCAATGTACAGCTGTAAAACATTGGAAAAAGAGATATATTTTTGAAGATACCATTTTGATATTTTGAAACGGTTTTTGTCATTTCTTTTTCATGAATTTGACGTAAAATGTAAAAAAAAAGAATACAGGTAGTCCTTAAATTTCTTAGAAAATTAAAGGGATCACATGCACTAAGATAAACATCAATGCTCACTCTCAATTTGAAAAAAAAGTATGTGAGCTTGTGAGCTGATCAAAGCACATTTTCCCAGCAAAGACGGTCTATACACCAGAATAATATAGATTTATATTACTTTAAAAAACTTTGTTAAAAATCTTTCAAACTGTTTCTAAGTGACTCAAGAAACATGGAAGCAATGGTGGAAGGAATTTGATAAATTCTTTAATAGGGGAATATATTACATAACATTCATTCACAAAATACAGTGTGTTACTGTTTATGCCCCCATCTAATCAGCTCACAAGTTGACCATAGATGTACCTGTAGGCAGTTGTACTTGGCTGGAGCAATGAAAAAGTTGTGTATCCTATTTTTTTAGCCAGAAGGGCATTACATATCATTTCCACAATATAACAGAGCATATAAAACAAATGCATACCTCAGAGATGTACTCTAAGCTAAAGTTCACATCTTTGACAGCCCTCCAATCCGTCATAGCATCCGTCACAATAACCGGGACAGCTATAAAGAGATGGTCTTCGGTCATCGCATCCTGGCTCAGGTTTTCTACTCTCTCTACCTTAGACAGATTCACCAACGGCTGCAGGATCAAAGCAATCATTAGGCCAATTCAAATTAAATCTGAATTTTCTTGTCCCCCCCCCCCCCCCCCCCCCCCACACACATTAATATTTTTGGCCCACCTAAAGCTTTTAAGTTATTTGTTTTTTTCTTCAATTCTGACGACATCTTTAGACAATGGGGTTGTTATTGATACATTGCAATTTCACCTTGTTTCAAGCCCTCCCCCCCCCCCCCCCCCGATCTATATTCATATGAAATCTAGGTAACCAAATCTGTGTACAAATAAGCCCAATGGAATTTGTATGTCCTGAACAAAATATGAAATAAAATGGAATTCTGTCCTCCTAATTTTCAAAAATCTAGTCAAGAAACTAAGAATAAATTTTTTAATTGGCCTCCTGTAGTTTAAGTGGTAAAGTGTCATAAAAAAGAGGTCCTGGGTTCAAAAGAAAGTAAATAAGCAAGTGCCTTTTGGTAACACAAGGGCTCCATATTAACTCTTGTACGTATTAAAAATAACTAAACATCAGAGTGGACATCACTTCCCTTTTAAGATTGATTTATTTTATTTATTTATTTATTTATTAAACTTTTTTTTAGTAGGGTGGCTTCATCAGTGGTTAAATACTGTTTTTTTGTGGATCGAGGCGCACTACAACATAAATACAACATTTACAAACATATTGATGTAAACAATCCAAATCGAGACAAAATGAATTAAGTAACAACATTTTCAAACAAAAGAAAAGAAACAAAAACAACACAATGGACTAGTTCAATGATTAAGATTATTGATTATTGATAACGATTATTGATACAGATTAAACATTAAGATTGAGTAGAATTAAGTATGATGTAAGAGAAGAGAATCCAACGATCCTCACCTCACACTCTTCTTCCGTGATCCCTCCAGGTTCCCGGTAAGGATTCTGAAAGAGGCAGTCTCTAGCATGGATGGTTGTCCAATCCCAGTATGGCAGCACCTACAGTTTAAATTAATAATAATGTTAATATCACTATTTTCTTCAAAAAATTAATAACAAATGTAATTCATTTTAGAATAAGCGATGGAGTAACAATGAATGATAATAACAAATAACATAAACTAACAAATGCTATGTGTGTTCCGAAGCATGCTACTCTAAGTTGCCTGAATGGAAAAAGCAATTTTAATCACTATGTGCATCTCCTGACTGGCCTAAACCATGCCTTAACACATCTCAAAAGTTATGCCCTGCATATTGTCAAACAAATCTGATATTCTGTTGTCATATTCTAAAAATCTTCCTCTTACAGAGAGGAAGAGTTTAAGACTATTGAAAGAAGAGAGACATCAAAAGATCATCTAAAACATCTGAATTTTTAACAATTAACCCCATTTGATATGATTTAATAAATCTTCCTACCTATCATGAGAGCTAGAACTTAGAAGGGTGTTCACTCTGTGTTAAAGTATATGAGTTTACACTCTTCAAACTCTCAACTGATGATATACTTACTAATTTCACCATTCCAATCTTGCCCACTGCCGATATGAATTCAGCCGTAGCTTCGACCTGATACAAGACTGCAACGACTACCACCACTAGCGAAATAAAAATGATGGAATTAATCCGTTCTCTCCTCCTCCATTTCTGGTGGATCATTCGCAGAGGTCTAGTGAGACTTCTGAACTCTTCCGGGCATATTTTCTCTGCTGCACACATCTTCAAGGTTTGCATGAGCTTCTGATCTATCTCCTCTATTTTTTGTTTGCGAGACATTTTCAAAGATCTCCTCCGCTCCATTCTACTTTCTAGTGCTAACTGTACAAGTTAAGAGATTCTGCAACAAAATGTGATAAGAGATTGTAATTTCTAATTCTATATGCAGAATCAAATTCAATATTGCACTAAAAATAAGATCTAAAAGTATTTACATCCACATTAAGCCAAGGCCAAATAAAATGAATTCTTCTCGTTAATAGTTTTTTCATCTTCTCCTTCATTCTTGGTTTTTAAAAGTTTTAGCGTATAGACGGTCTATTTGAAAACAAAGTGCGGACACAGGCTATTATACATACAAAATTATATAAACAGCCTTCACTCAGCATGCTCAGTCCTAGACAGAAATAACCATCTGATTTGGGTCATTTCTTTAATAAAACTGACATTTGTTGTCATTCCCCAATCGGAGGTCTAGTGGAGCCAGACGAAGTCTCAGTGGAACAACCGACGATTAGAGAGACTGAAGTTTTCGGTCTAGCTCAGTCCGAGTGTCTGATATTGAGATTACATCTGGCTCCTATAGCCTCCGACTGCCTCTAGATAGAAGGTCTAATGTGTATGGGTATATAGGTTGACAAATATGTTAGTTTTATTAAAGAATGACCCAAGGCCATACCCTGATACCACACGGTTATTTCTGTCTACATTCAATATTGTATAACCCACTCCTAGAATGAATGTAGCCAACACTCTAATGTACCCTAAACAGTGTTACATACACTACCACTGCGCCAGCGCCAGAAGCGCAGGCATTTAAATTATAGCACTTATGCATTTTTGGGGTTTAGGTTCCTTGATTTTAAAGTGTTTATACCTATTGTTAACCTATGTATTTACAATTGGATAATACATTTCAAGTTCAGTATTATGACGAGCATTACCTAGTCGTGGCTACATACAGACGAACCCTGCAAACCATTAACCCTCGTCGTTTAGTACATGCAGTAGAGTCCCAGGCCAATGCACTCGCCTCGCTCGACAAAGGCTGAATATGGATTGTGGCGACCGACCGGGGCAGTCTCGGCTGTGCCGCACCCCAATGGAACTCCGGCCGTACGTACGCGGGGCCCGCTGCCGATGTGGGCGGTATCCTGTCTTGTTTCATCGATCGGTGGCGGTGCCGTGGTGGTGGTGCCTGGTGGTGGTGGAAGGGGGGGGGGGGGGGGGGGGGGGCGTTAATGAAGACTCGATGAACGCTGATGTTGGATGTAGAGGTCTATAGTGGATTTTGACAATTAGATTAAATTGAATATGCCGAAACCCCAAATCTTGCATTTTCTTATTAGATCTATCCCTTTAATTCTAGGCAGAATTAGTTCTTCGCTCTTCGATCACATTAATAATAATAAATTACAAAATTATTATGATAGTAAAGTTTAGCGAAAGTTAATCGTAAAAATAATAAACCAAATAACCCTTGGATAACGACCCGGCCTCCCCACTCCGGGGTCGGAATAACCGCATGCGTGTTACCAAAATGTCCGGTAAAGGGGTACTTTTCGTGCGACAAAGTCCGGCCCGAGAATCGTAAGAAAAGGGGGTGTATTTGACTTTTCACCCGGAGATTTCTTCAAAAAGGGGGTGTGTTTTCTTTTTTCTCTCATCTCTTTGGACTCCTGAGAAATTATTCCGAATTTAGGGGGGTACATTGAGCATTTTTCAGAATTTAGGGGGGTCTCCAAAGCAGGAAAAGCCCGCGAAAAGCCCGCGAAAGGGGGGTTCGGAAATGTTGGCAGTCCTCAGATAGGGGGTGTTTTCAAAAAGAGGGAACAAGCTATGCGTACCCTAAATAACACTTAGTGGGGGACCGGGGTCTGTTCTCAAAAAGGAAGAAGAAATTACCGTCAGATGAGCATACTTTGATACCCTATTTGTGACACTGGCAGGTCACGAATTGGCGTGGGGTTCCGGGCAATAAATTAAGGTCAGATGAGCATATTTTGATACTTTATTTGTGACACTGGCAGGACACAAATGGGTGTGGAGTCCAAGGGGCGTGGAGCCCACAGAAGCTCAGGGGTTTTAGGCATTTTATAACGGTAAGATGTTTTGATGCCTTATATGTGACACTGGCAGGACACTAATTGGCGTGAGGTCCAGGAGGCGGAGACCTCAGAAGCCCAGGTGTTTTAAGCATTGAATTACCGTCAGATGAGCATCCAGGTGCCCGCCTTATAGGGCCCTAGGTGAAATCCAGGGGGCAGAGCCACCGGAAGCTCAGGGGTTTTTATGCATTTATTCACGGTCAGATGAGCAAATCTTGACACCTCATTATTTTGTGAGAAAGGCAGGTTACAATATTTTCTTTCTTTCTTTAGGAATTTCCGATTTTCCAACAAACGCATAAAAAAAGATAATTTACTAAAGATGGAGGAAAAATTTAGGAAAATTATTTCATTTCAGCACATTTCAGCAACATTTGTAAATCACCGGTATCGAATTAGAAATAAACCACTTTTGAATTATATTTGGGGGCATCTGTCACCCCCAAGCCCCCTCTGGCGTACCATCAGTACGCCAGTGCCCGGCCCGCCCCCGATCTACACCTTGTTGGCGGGAATTTAAAATCGCAACTGATCCCCCCTACCTTTCTTTTTTCTCTTTTGTTCTCTTTCCCTTTCTCTCCTCTTTTCCTTTCCCTTCCCTTCCTTCTCTCTGTTTTAAGTTTGATGGGGGGTGGGGGCAAGTGCCTTTCGCCCCCCCTTTCCGATCCAGTGGCGGGAATAATCGCAACTGTTCCCCCTTCTTTTCAACCTGTTCTTTTATTCCTGTTTTTGTTCCCTTTTAGCTCTCCTCTTCCCCTTTCCTCCCCCCCCCCCCTTTTTGGGGCGGTTTAGGGGAGATGGAGGCAAGGGCAAAATTACAACTGATATCCGGCCCCTTCATATCTTTTCATATTTTTTCCTTCCCTTTATCTCATCTTTGCATTTTTTCTTTCCCTTTCCTTCCTTCTCTCTTATTTTTTGACGGTGGGGGGGGGGGGGGGGGGGGGGGTAAGTAACAGCTGGGAGGCAAGGCCCTTTCGGTCCCGGCCCCCGATCTCCTTCTTCTTCCCCCCCCCCTTTTTTTCTTCCTTCCTCTTCTTTCTTTCCCGCTTTCTCTCCTCTTTCCCTTTCCATCCTCTCTTTCTCTCTCTCTCTCTCTCTCTCTCTCTCTCTCTCCGCTGCCCCCCCCCCCCCCCCACACACAACGGGAGCACTTCCACCTCTGGCATAATGGGCAAAAGTGATCAGAGGAACACAAAAACAGAAAATCATGTAAGGCCATGTAAAATTGATTACATGTTGATCGTCCGGATTTTTTGAAAAAGAGGAGGAGGGTGTACCATGTTATTTGATATTTGATATTTCAAAATGGCCGCTCAAAATGGCCGCTCGGTACATTTTCCCCGACAGTCGAGACTATTTTTTTTCAAGATGGCCGCCGACAATTTTTTTTTTTTTTAAATCAGAAATAGAGCCATTTTAGCAGTGTTTTTCATGTTTTTTTTCTTTCAAAAAAAAAAAAATCAAAAAAAAAAAAAAAAAAAAAAAAAAAAAAAAAAAAAAATAACAAATAACAAATAACAAAAAATAGGAGGCGGCCCCCAAAAAGGAAGCGGGCGGGGACGATCAACATGAAATCAATTTTACATGGCCTAATACAGCAACATTAATTTTTTTGTAAATCATTGGTATCGAATTAGAAATAAGCCACGTTTGAACTTTATTTGGGGGTCAATTGCAACCCCCCCCCCCCCCCTCCCTCCCAAGGCCCCAATCAGTACGCAAGTGCCTCTAATAAATGGCAAGCCACAATGAATGAAATACGTGCGTTGGGCCTGGGGCGTTACTACCACCATAGACCTACCACTAATCGCCAATAACTCAAAACACAACAACAGACCTCTACCAGTAGTAGAGGTCAGTGGTTACTACTCATACGCTGCGTGCTAAGTGCAACTGACAAGCCCTCCCTACATTTATCGCCCTTTCAGTGTGTGTGTGATGATGATATGTTGCAATTTTGATTTATGAGCGCCAGCTGTGAGGAGATATTGCATTGAAGAATTTGAGAATCCTAGTTGAGAGATTTTCCTCCCTGACGTGACTGACAAGAGGAGAAGAGTATTGATTTTATTAGGTGAGTGCATAGCCTTTTTGGTAATTTAATTGTGTGAATACCTGCCACGAGTTGAAGTGAAAACTTACAAAAGAAGAAAGAAGAGTAGATGAATTTGCCTTGGAAGTTGGATGTTGATGATAATGAATGGCACTAGACTGATACGGTAACTCCTGCGCGGCCACTTGCGCGGCGTGCATGTGCACACCGAGGCCGAGTGAATGATAAATGTCGTGAAAGAGCTAGAGAGGTGCGCGGCGCGGTGCCAGGCCTGGTGTATTTCGAAAGACTACAAGTACAAGTACAATATACAATCTTTCTTGAACTGTTATTAATTCCTAAAATTTTGATTTTTTTTGTAAATGAGAAAAGTTTGCCAGCCCAGTGCTGCAGTGCACATGTGTATTATCCAGATGCGAACGTTGCATGTCCAGAAGGCCGAAGGGTCATGAGACTAGGTTGCTATAATCTGGACAGGACAGCGATTTGAAATTGAAGAAGTTTTCATAAATATTTTATGACTTATGTTAGGCAATATTATGAAGGATGAATATGCTTGATGCCTTGATGGTATAGTGCTATCAATTAACTTACTATCAATGCATATAGTTTTAGGTAAATCCAAAGGCAAAAGTGATGGCTTTATTTTTGTTGAGTGTCAAGACCACAACCTTCTTCATTACAAGTTTCTGTTCATTGTATAGGCCGCATATGCATATTTCACAGCCAAAAGTTACCACATTTAAAAACAATCCTGATTCAGTATAAATTTATTGAATTTGTGTGTATGAATAAGAATTTTAATCGGTTGATTTCCTTTTCCTTACCTGGGCCCTGTCATCTTAGTTCTTACAAGGAGTTGCGATTGATCCAAATCAATTGCAAGTTTGTAATCTCCCATCTCTTATTTCAATCACAAATAAGTTAAGATTAACATCATCTCTTTGTAAGACAGGCCCCAGAACCCCAGATGATATATTTGTGTCTGCAAATGCACACTAAGATGATATGAACATGCAGTTAGTTTTGTTACACCAAGGCACAAACTATGTCTATGCTCTATTAGTTATAAATCAATTTATTTGATTGATATGTAGGTCTACACTGTTTATTTTTTTCAGAGTTGACTCTGTTTGTCTTCTTTTGAGACTGAAATCGCTGAACCAGCCACCATGAGTAACCTGAGAGGAGTAAACTATCAATATGCCAATCAGCAGGCTAGCAAGAGCCACAGCAAGATCAACGTTTTTAATGAAAAGGTAAGAGACAGATCCGGGGTGACCAGCAAAAATAGAAAATTGAAATAAATAACAATAAGGATATGACCTAACTATAACAAAACAATAAAAAAAGGGATGGCACAATAATATTGGACTTGCATACTTAAAGAAAATCTCACCCCCAAAAGTAATTTACTTATTCCGAGAGATTTAGTATTCATGTTCAACTTCAACTGGTATGTTAATGTCACATTTTCAAGAAAATTGCTGCGCCCATGTCATGCTAAAAGGCATCAAATCATGCCAAGAATATCTGCATTTATACTTCTCTTCATTTATATATATCTCTTGTACATTTTCTTAAGGAATATTGTACATCGAAGGGCAGGAATACTTCTCATTTTTCAGAGTACCTACACTTATTCTTTGGGGTAAGGCTTCCTTTCATGTAGATGCTACTTGGGCTTCAAAAGGGGTGTGGGCATGGCCCATATGGGCTGGATGTGCCCCTTTCCCTACCCCGCGGCTTGCAGTCATTTGTGAAGCAAAATTCCCTTGTTTCCTGTACATCTTACCCAGGGGGTTAATAGTCCAATATCCAGAGGATTCGCCTATTGAGATGTTGTATTAAAAGCTAATCCCTGATTTCAGAGATTTGGTATTTACTTGATACCATACGTTTCCTCAGCTTGCAGTCATTTGTAAAGCGGTATCTCCCGTTTCCCCCCTTTCTCTTGCTCAGGATCTATTAGCCAAACAGCCAGAGGCCACTCCAGACGACGGGGATGTGCGCCCCGTCATAGCCAAGGCCGAGACCCTGGATGTGCCTAAGGAACTCATTCGTGGATTCATCTCTGGCAAGAAGAACCCTGTCATGGCATTCAACGAGTTCTGCCAGTTGCAACGCCTGACCCTGGCGTTCGAGGAGGTGGTACCAGAGGGAACTAGGGGAATGATCACTTGCAACTTTGCCATGGTGGCCAAAGTGGATGGCAAAAGGTTTCCACAAGGTAAGAAGGATTTGCAAATAGTATTCAGTATTTCTTAGTTTTTCGGCTTAGACATTAATATTTGGTAATATTCCTCGACTAAATATTTTACCCAGCCTGGCAGAGGGTCCCATATATACGGTGAATTTAGCTGTACGCAAGCAATACAATGGTTTTAATAAACAACCTAAGTTGTCAAGGAAGTTTGTAGCTGTGCTGAGGCTAAGGAAACAATGAAACTAAGGTACAGGCCTTTGACATCGTGATAAGATCTTAGTTTGGCTTGCTGGAGTACAAAACTTAAATTCATGGTGAAGCCAACTTCGTTGCTGAAATGCTATGGAATATGTTGATTTAATCTCAGTATTACGTTGAATACCTGCTCTGTGAGGTAGCCAACCAAATTAAATTTTCAAATGACAAACCTAAGCTGATTTATGTCCTTGTCATTGGTAATAGGACAGGGCAGAACAAAGAAAGAGTGCTTAAAGGGATAGTTTAACAATGTAAAATCTGAGATACACGGCCCTACGTGTTATCAGTGTCTGTGATATGGTGTAATATTGAAGCCCTAAAAAAAATTGCGCTTCAAAATGATCAAGAAGTGCCTCAAAAAAGTAAAAATCTTTGAGTGACCGGTTTTACCATACTCGTATTCCCCAATAGACTGTAGTGTTATGAAAACCGTCAGGCGAACGGTTTTCAAAATTAGTTGATTCCAATCATAAATATCTTGATAATCAGACAGGCAATCGGCTTGTAAAAGTCATGGGGTTCCTGACTGACCTAAAGGTTTATAATTATCACTGCATCATGAACTAAATCCAGAATTTTCTTTCAGAATCTGAGACAAAGTTACCGGATCCCTTTAAAGGGATCCGGTAACTTTGTCTCAAATTCTGAAATAAAATTCTGGATTAAGCTCATGATGCAATGATAATTATAAACCTTTAGGTCAGTCAGGAACCCCATGACTTTTACAAGCCGATCGCCTGTCTAATTATGAAGATATTTATGATTGGAATTACAAATTTTGAAAACCGTTCGCCTGACGGTTTTCATAACACTACAGTCAATTGGGGAAAACGAGTATGGTAAAACCGGTCACTCAAAGATTTTTTACTTTTTTGAGGCACTTCTTGATCATTTTGAAGCACAATTTTTTAAGGCTTCCATATTACACCATATCACAGACACTGATAACATGTAGGGCCGTGTATCTCCGATTTAACATTGTTAAACGATCCCTTTAAGCAGTGGATTCTCGAATAGCCATATGAAGCCGAATGTGAAGCCGTTTCTGTTTTCTATTAAAGCCAAATTCTGTATAAGATGTTGACTTAATCCCAGTATTTCATTGAGAAACCTGCTGTAGAATCCAACTTGTGCGGTACTGTCCAATTTACATTCTTGAATTACATACCTAAAATGTTTTACCTAAAACATATTCAGAACACAGCAGCGCGCCTCATCACACGTACAAGAAAACATGAACACATCACACCGATCATTCGTTCTCTACACTGGCTCCCCCTCCAACAACGTATCAAATTCAAGATTCTCATGCTGACATACAAGGCCTTTCACAAACTTGCTCCCTCATATCTCTCGGCACTCATCACTCCTAAAACTCGTACTTCATCTATGCGTCTCAGATCATCATCCACAGCACATCTTCATCTTGCCCCAGGCCCTCGCACCCACACCCGCTATGGAAATCGTGCCTTTTCTGTCTGTGCCCCCCAACTTTGGAACAATCTTCCCCATGAAATACGCGAGTCCCCAACCTTAGAGACATTCAAAAGTAAACTTAAGACTTATCTGTTTAATATGTAATGTAATGTAATCATATTTTGTTTGTTTAACTATAAAGTGTTATGTAAATATTAACTATATTATTGTATGATTGTTATTAGGAATTTGTTATTATAATTATGTATCATGTATTATATTCTTGTAATTTGTAGGTTAACATTACTTTAATTTAATTTTTTGTTAAGCACTTAGAAACTTTGTATTAAGCGCTATATAAATGTAATTTATTATATTATTATTATTTTATGTCCCTTGTCATTTGTGAAAAGGAAAGGGGAGAACAAAGAAAGATGCTAAATCAGCGGCATCTCGCATTGCGATGAGAGCCTTCCTAGGAATGGACGATGAAGATGCTGATAGACGTGATGCTAAGGGAGCAAGGGAATCGAATGCTGTTATGGTAAGAATTTGGTTTTAGTGCGTTTTCGCACCAGGTGCCTACAATGTGATTCTGTTAAAGAAAAATGCAAAGGAAATAATTATTTTAATGTGTCTCTGCTACGTCTGATTTAGAGGTTCTCCAAAATCGAGATTAATAGGTCTTTCCTTTGCAGTTTATTTAATGGAATCGACAGAATCTGATTTTAGGCGCCCGATGAAAAAGTGCATTAGCGCCAAGATTTGTCCAGATTATGTTCAGGTATGCTCTTAGCCTCATTTAGATATGGTGTGTATACTGGGTCATAAATTGCTGCGGCAAAATAATAACTATAAATTATGTATGAATGAATGACAAGTGGGGATGGAAAAAGAAGCTAAGGGCAACAAATGGCCTTATATGTTCTCACTAATCAAAGTAGTATAGGATACAGAAATAAGTAGCAAACAGTGCATCTCATTTTAGCATGTTTTTTTTTGTAAATTTGTACTTTATACTTATGTGAAATTTGAACATTTTCATTCCCTTTTTAAATTCAGATAAAGTAAAATATGAATTTAGATTATGAAATTCATGATTAAATTATGAAAATGGGAGTAATTTTCTATGCACCTTCCTGCAAGTGCAAGTCATGTAATCAGATAAATGACACATTTTTAACCAGAATGCTATATTTCTTACCTTTCCTTACCTTATGACGTCTTGTGAGAAGTATTTTTGTTACTCTTGTGCACCATGGGGCACTCTGCTTGTATCTAAAATTATTTTATGAGAAAGAAATCAATTGCAATTGTTGAAATTGTGCCACCATGGGACACTCATCTTGTTAACAAAATTATTTATGAGAGAAACAAAAATCACAATTGATGAAACTATGCCTTCGATACAGTTTGAAGATGAACCGATCGCTCCAGCCCCAAGGGTAACGTTTGGTGCCTCTGCAACGAGCAATGAGCCTCTGGTTCATGGAGGCTCCGGGGGACACTACCAGATGAACTATGAGTCGGCCAGGCTTCCATCAAAAGACATGTGGAAGATCCCAGAGAAGCAGGAAACATTCATGGAGTATCAGCTCAGGAAACAGGCACAGCCAAATCAACAAATGGGTAAATTAATTTATGTTTCTTATGTGTATGATTCAGAATGAGGAGCAACAGGATATGAAACGCTGAAATGGATGGCTCAAGACCGAGAAACTTGGAGAGACACTTGATATAAAATTTTGATTGGGTCACTGAACCTGTCATAAACTGACAGATCACTATTGATGATGATGAATTCAAATCCAACAGAACATAGGGGAGAAGTTATTTGTTTGGGAAGAGGTTATTATAGAGACAGATTCTCCGGAAATTAGTTGTCTGTTGCAGGAAAAAAAATATTTAAACACTTTTGGGGGCTACTTTTCAAGCTTGCTTGCATAAAAATAACACTCTTTAATTTGTTTTGCATTGAACTTTATGCAAGTTTTTTATGACTTTTGGGAGCTCTTTTTTGGCATTTAGGGGGCTAATTTGCCCCGAGCCCCCATGTATTTTTTCCTCTGGTTTGTTGGATTATTGTTTTGGCTGGTAATTGGAGAGGTGATGGTCCAGAGGATAGTCATCTTGATACAGGTACTTGTATGAGGTGAATGATTGTATATAATGCAAGTGTAATGATTGGATGCAACGTTGCAAGGTGATGGTTATACAGTGTAAATGCATGTTGTAGGTAGCACAGTATGGCATGACATCACCTGAGAGCCAGAAGAGTTAATGACTTCTGGCTCTCGACAATCAATAATAATGTTGGGGGAAATAGTCTTAAATTGTTTCCATGTTTATTTTTTTAATCTCTTAAATTTTGTATTCATTGCAGCTGCAAGTGGTTCAGGTGACAGTGTAAGACCAGCTTCGAGGCCTGCACCCCAGCCGCAAACCCCTTCCTCTCAACGGAACGGCTCTGCTCCTGAAACCATGAGGTTTCCACAGAGTGTCCCTATGGCAGCCAGGGCTTGGTCCACACAGCCTGGTCAGGGTCCACAGCCCCGCATGCCCAGCCAACCAGGACCTCGTCTACCACAGACCAGCGGTGTCCCTATCACACAGCAGCAGCAGATGCGGCCTTCTGCACCCACTCAACAGCAGATACGACCTTCTGCACCTACACAACAACGGGTACCACAGAGCCAAGTGCAGCAACAGCAACAGCAGCAGCAGAGTGGAGGATTTGGAAGCACTCAGTTTAGTGCAGATGGAACAAGCACAGATGCTGATGCTCTTGCTTCGATCGCAAGGAACATTCCGAGAGTGGGACCTCCGTTTCCAGGATCTGGAACTACTGCCGCTTCTCCCTCATATGCTGCATTCATCATGAAGTTAGGTATGTATCTCCTGCTTGCTCTTCCTCTTTGTCACTGTGTGGAAAAGATGTTTTACTGTTAAATCCTTCCATTTTTGTAATTTCTTACAAATACATTTGGCTTGTTATATGTCAGGGACCTATACCACTTCGGAAATAGACACCCTTAAAGGGATCCGGTAACTTTGTCTCAGATTCTGAAAGAATATTCTGGATTTAGTTCATGATGCAATGATAATTATAAACCTTTAGGTCAGTCAAGAACCCCATGACTTTTACAAGCCGATCGCCTGTCTGATTATCAAGATATTTATGATTGGAATGACTAATTTTGAAAACCGTTCGCCTGACGGTTTTCATAACACTACAGTCTATTGGGGAATACGAGTATGGTAAAACCGGTCACTCAAAGATTTTTACTTTTTTGAGGCACTTCTTGATCATTTTGAAGCGCAATTTTTTTAGGGCTTCAATATTACACCATATCACAGACACTGATAACACATAGAGCCGTGTATCTCAGATTTAACATTGTTAAACAATCCCTTTAAGGATATACCTTAATGGCATGTGCAAATTGAGCAGATATGAAGTACTGATGCTGTGTTGTCTTCATAGGAAAAATACAGCCTTCTAAAATCAAATCAAATAAAAATATAAAAACATTAAAAATCTTTTTCAAATAAAAAGCTATTGTCTAATACCAAATAACAATTCCTTTTAGTTCACTGTCGGCATTTCCAAAGTTTCATGTTTTTAAGGGCCCTCTGATAGAGAGCAACTAAGCAACTTAAAGCAAGCCACTCAATGTTTGTCTTATCCCCCATTTATCCATCCATAAGAGTCTTTGTCTTATATCTTATGTTGCTATTGCAGGGCCTTCGGATAAAGGAAAACTTGTAGCCTTGGGAACGGGGAATGGCGTGGCCTCTGGAGCAACCGTCACTCAAGATGGTAGAACAGTTCTCGACTGTCATGGAGTCGCTATCGCAAGACGAGGCCTTCAAAGGCAAGTCTCAAACACTTTTCAAGGAGGGAAAATGGAATAGATAGGAGTGGCTAGTTATGTTGCTAAGTAGAAACTATAACATTTCTCTGTTTCAATACTGTGTAGATTTACTTTCCCATCAAGCATGCTAAGAATGGATCAAATCTTTGTTGAGGTCAAAGGATGAATAATAATCTCACACACATTGTCCTTAAGTTTGTAAATATGCTAACATTTTTAATTCTATTGGGTAAAGTAAAATCATAGAGAGTTTGATATGTTGATAAGGCATTTGTTGAACAAAATGATTGATTTGATAGAACAACAATGAAGACAACATTGTCGAAATAATTATAATGAAGTATGATGTTAAAATGTTGTTTCCCTTTGCATTATATTTATTGAGAATGAGCATCCTGCTTAGCCTGAAGGCTGAAGGTACTAGCTTCGTTGAGAAACCAAAATTAAATCTTGTGAAAATAGATTAATTTATGCTTGTCATCTCTGCTTATAATTCAGATAATTTCACGTTTTTAATTGAATAGGTTTTGATTGGATTGCAGATATTTGTACCAGCAACTGAAGCCCTTTTTTGAAGGTGATTACCAGAAGACGATATTCACCAACCAACAGGGAGGCCCTCTAGTGTCCTTGAGAGAAGGTGTCACGTTCCATCTCTACCTAAACCAAGCACCTCCTGGAGATGCAGCAAACTATTTAAATGAGTGAGTAAGCCTTGCCATATTCATTCATCCATTCATTCATTCATTTGAGACACGTTTTAAAGGCCCACTGCACTACTTGTAGCTACTTGCGCCCTCTATATAACAAACAATGCCTAATCGGTGACCATTGGTCTCCCATGATGCCTTTTTCATTGTTTATTGAGAGCTGATATGATGAGATAACCACTTTTCAGTGATCTTGCAGGGAGGTCTAATCCCTCCTGGCCAAACTAGTGCAGCTGGTCTGTAAAGCCCATGTATTATTTTGGTTGCCCCTCAAAAACACGTTCCTTCGCATTATTGTGATTTAGTTGATAAGCACTTTACTAGCTTTTCTAATCTGCTGTGATTTGTTTGCTTCTCAAGTTGAATATTACACGAAAGATAATTTTAAAAGTGAGTCATTTCCCTGCCCGAGATGCAATGTCAAATATGACTGACACTCTGTATAAACCTATGGACCGTCGTTTGCATGCAATTTTAACTAGTTTCTGTGAGTTGCTTTGTGGAGAGCCATCAGCAAGTTCAGATTTTGGTGATAACCTCAATTTGCGTTCCTTTCAGTTACATCGCTTCAGAAATAGTGATGATTATATGTATCTTGTGCAAGAAGTTACCCCCCAAACCAACCCTTAGGTTAGTTTAATATGCTAACTTCAATTCTTTGAAAATGATATTTTGTGTTTCAGACCGAGCGATGATCCACCTCTGAGCGACGTTGATATGTATCTTAAGCAAGGAGGTGCTCATTATCCAACTTTCAAAGTAGATGCCGGGCATGGCACTCTATCTTCTGTCAGTAAGTAATTCACCTGTAATAATAATAATAATAGCTAGTTCTTATATAGCGCTTTTCAGGACCAAAGGCCCTCTCAAACACTTTACGGATATATATATTATTATCCCGGTCACCGGATTCAGGCTTACCTGCACACAATGAATGCACATTCTCCACTCCCTGGGGAGCATTCCAGCCAGGTGTCATTTTGACAAGCGCACACTTGCTAATCTAAGCACATTAGCTTTCGCATCCTACTTTTATACACCTGTCTTCTCGGGCTCCTTAGTACGACAATGTCTTGTAATGCCCTCCCATAGCTCATCAATACACCACTGCAAAGAGTTCATCCCTTAGAAATGAAATTACAACCAAAACAATATCAAATCAAATCAATCAAGCGTATATAACGAACATCACTATAATCTTGAATATTGCAATTAAGCCCCAGTCAGATAAGCAGTGATAAACTGTGGCTGTTATTTTAATGATGACATAAATGGTACCACAATTCTGTATCATAAGCTAAAGTGTAGGAACTTTGTTGCATGTATTTTCTTGTTCTTATTCTTGTGGCAGTTGTTATATTTTGTATGTGGTATTGAATGTTCAGTCTTCGTTTGGCTTTGAATATATGTTAATTTCATGTTCTATCGTTAACCAAAACTCCAGATAACTTCTAAAGAGAAGTTTGGGCAAAGAAGATTTTCTTCATTGTTATCTCCTTCCAATTGATAATAATTATTAAAAAACTCTTTCATTGTATATTAAGATAGCATGATGCATGTGCCTCTCTGAGATTTTCTGTTCTAAATAGTCTTGTTATAAGGATTTGCTTTCTTGTGGTGTAAGCTTTTCACTCTTGCTATGCTCTATGACAGTTTTGCCATTTTGAAAATGCACAAATTTTCTACTCTTATTCACAGATTCTCACATTGGGTTAGATGGTATAAAGACAGAGGTGAGTTATGTGTTGAAGTTGTGTTTTTTTTCTCAATTTTCTTTTGTGTATGTGCTTTTGGGGTTGTAATTGCATAATTTTAACTTTCAGCCATGCTGATATTTGTATTTACAGTTTAGAACCTTTCCACACAATAACAAATTCAGGGGAAAAAAACTTTCGGGGGGAAGGCCAACATAATGGATTGATCATAACTCTCAATTAAAGGCCAAGATCAGTTTATTGGAAGGAAACTTTATGAATACATTTTTTCTTCCATATCAATGAAAACACTGATGTGATATTGTCGGGTTTGGGATCGGTGTGTTTGTAGTTATTGCAATATTGAGAGGTACATAAATAAAGAGGTGCTGAGACTTTTTTTGAAGTGTAATTTACAACAGTATATTTTATTAACTCTAAAAAAAACATGAGTCACATAGTCCAGATTCAATATATATTCACAAGATGTAAAGCAGCCAAAGTATAGGTGCTAGCTTGGTGATGGTCTGAACTCTTCTCCTCCTCTCATGAGGGGTGTACACTCATTATATTCCCACAGTCATCTAGCTATTAAACATGTGTAATCTGTTCTGGGAAAGTTGGGAGGGAGACAGGAAGTCTTTTGTTTGGAGGTTTGGGGGTTCTTATCAGATGTATACAATTTGAGGTTTATTTGGTTTGGATTAAGTTATTAAACAAGTGTTCTGAAAGGGGGAGTCTGGTATATCACTGGGTGGGTCTTATCTGTATTTGGGCATACTAGGCGTGTCTGCACTATCTCGAGATTGCCAAATATCCAGCTATTTGAACTATCCCGATCGCAAACTATCCAGCTAATTTGCGTCTTCATTAGAACGAAGTAGCAAATTAGCTGGATAGTTGGTCGGGATAATATCCCAAGATATCTCAGTCTAGTTTGCGGTTTTCCGTGCTTACTCGAGGTCAGTGGTTGTACTAGCGCGCTGAGCGGTATAGATCGCATGTGCGAACCGGAAATCGTTGTGCATGATGGGATCGGGATATTTGACTCCGGACTTCGGTCTAATGAAGACGGTCGCAAACTATCCCGCTAGTTCGGAAATAGTGAGATATTTTGCAAACTAGACCGAGATATCTTGGGATATTATCCCGACCAACTATCCAGCTAATTTGCTACTTCGTTCTAATGAAGACGCAAATAGCTGGATAGTTTGCGATCGGGATAGTTCAAATAGCTGGATATTTGGCAATCTCGAGATAGTGAAGACGGGCCTACTGAGTGATATTGAGGGGGGTGTAGACTTGTACAACCATTACATAACAATAGATAGGTTTACATAATTTCCAGATAGTGTCTGGCTTTTGAGCAATTGAATGTTAGTTTGAGTCTTGCAACCATTTGTCTATGTTAGCTGAGCCAAGACATGCGATTAACACCCCACAACGCTCACCAGCACACTGGTATGTTTGCAGTGATTTGAATCTTTCCATGCAAACACGAATTCAAGTAGCACAACATTAGACCAAAGTTTCTGAAACCTTAGATTGTATTTTATTTGTTACGGAAGATCTAGATTTGTTTAAGGCCTACCGAACACATAACATGATAACAAATGATGTGGAATGATGAATTTCTTTTTGATCGCTTTATTCATATTCTAATAGTACTTAGATATGTAATGTCTCCTTAGAATGTGACATATTACTCCCAAAATGAATCTGGATTTAACCCGTTCAACTCGGGAACCGAGATTTCTCGGGTCCCGAGGTACGTACTCACAAACGGGAACCGAGATTTCTCGGGTCCGAGCAAGGGCTTCGTTTATTGCAGAAAAGTACATCTATTCACCTTCTAAATACAATATAAACTACCTGTATACAAACCTTGAACCTTTGGCTACATGCATCTCATTTTTTACCGACTGTAGATGCGTAATTTTTGTTTTATTACAAGTTTAGCATGAGAATGCACGAGTCCTCTTTCAGGATATTCGTATAGAACACATGCAAGTCAGTTTACGTTATTTTCATAGATTTTCGGATTCGCTGCTGCTAGCTAGCTGGGTCTACTATGCCTAGGCTAGGACTGTGTAAGCCGGACGTAATGATTTTGCAAGCAGCGAATTCCACACTCGCTCTGGATACCTTTGTACTCGGCACGCGCGGATACACCGTTCAATGCATGAGCCTTGGCCTTATATGGTCATTGACGCCTATTCATGGTAACGGGCCGATTATTGAAAAGCTAATATAGTATATTACAGTCTCGTTCGACCTAGCGCTCTCAGTTCAGTTTACTCATGCGTACGTATACAGGGTACCGGGCCGACCTATTATTGGGGAGATTAGCTAGTCTCGATATACTAGTAGTCCATCCCACTGTTTCGTTTCAAGGTTGTCGACTATTATTTACTTATCGTGCTATAAAGTGTCGGAGTTTTACTATTTAGTTCAGCTTTTTGATTTTCATGATAGTTGGTTGCACAAATTAGTTCTCAATTATTTGCTTATAACTGCTCTTTATCTATGTAAGATAGTTTCTCAAAATGTCTCGTCATCGGAGAAAGCCTATTTTTAGCGTTGAAGATGCTCGAGAAGCGATCCTTGACTCGGACTCAGAAAATGAATATGATACAAATGGACTTATCAAGCGAAGAAGAGTATTCATCGGACGTAGAAAATGAAGAATATGAAACAACGACATTCGATGATATTTCCATAAGTTATCTATAAAGCCTGTCGTCTCAAAAGTTTTGACTCCACAGCTATCTTTTACGTCATTGTATTTACATGACAATACGCTTTTCATGTTATCAACTTGACCAATTTAGCGAATCATTCATGTATGGACCTCCTCTTTTATGAAAGGCTTATCCAGGCTCCCTCAGCTGCCCCACGCTAAGGGGGAACAAAAGAATGTAAAGAAGTAACTACTCTGGAAGATTGCCGTTTTGAAAGAAGAGGATGTATAGGCGTAAATAGGTCAATTTACATTACAATACAAACAACCACTCTAACTTATACACCTTTACGAGGGCATGTAACAGTTTTAGAGCAGGTTGAAGTAAAATATCTTGATCAACCTAAAGCCGGTCTTGGCTTGAGCGGGCATATGAAATGTTCAAAAGTTATGTTCTGAAAAACGACCCCTTACTCTTCCTCTCTCTCCCTACGGAATATTACTCTTGTCTTGAGCAACTCCGGCGGTAAAGCCACGAATATGAAACTTTTCCCGGGCAAAGATGCTACCATTGTTGAAAAAAATGCAAGGCAACATAAAACAAGTTTTCTGGCAATGAAGAAAAGCGAGTGCAAGATGAAGAAAATAATTGTTATTATTATTATTACTATATTATTACAATATTGTAAGCATCATCTTCATCATCTTCATCATCATCATCATTATCATTATCATGTATGCATGTACATGCCATCTACAGAACTGATCATGAAACGAGGATTATCTAAGTTTTATTGACACGATAGGTTGAACAAGGACACAGATGGAGACGAAGACAAATAAAGTGAACTATCACGTTGTTTGCACTTCTTTCTTTATTGTTCCGTAATATAATGAATTACTATATTTTCAATATCATTTATTTTCGAATAAATAAAAGACTACCAATACTACTGCGATTAACTCCTTATTAGCCGCACCCTTTCAAAAAACAAAAAACAAACACAACAACGCGATACGGAAATAAAATACACTGAAGCACAATTCCAATTTCACGAAATTCCTGACGTATTCAGAGAGGGAAGGGGGAGGATAGAGACAGACAGACAGAGACAGACAGAGAAAGATAGATAAATAGATAGAAAGAGAGAGAGAGAGAGAGATGATTGTGATGAATTATGATTTTGTTCTAATCTCTGTCATTTATTTATCTCTTTCCATTACATACAAAACAAATAAAATATGCGTACAATGATATTTAATGATATTTGTCTCTCCGGTCACCCCCCCCCCCTAACTCTGATTTGTTTTTCTTCTTTATTTTGTCTCCTTTTTGTTTGATTATATCTTTTTGCTAAAGTATAATGTCCGACGTATAACATCAAGGATATGTTATAATAATTAATCTCAAGCAGTGGCGTAGACAGGTTCGTACACCTGGGGGGGATGACTCAGGGGCGGATCTAGCTTTTTGCTAAGGGGGGGGGTTGACCAAAATAATGACGATGCGGAGCATCGTCCACGAGCCGCGAAGCGGCGAGCCGATTTTTTTGGGGGTGTTTATTTGAACCCCGTAAGTGATGTTTTCCTGGCATCTATTAACACAATGGAGACCATAAAAAGCAGTGCATGATAACGTCTTTTTAAATCAAGTAACAGTTAAATACACAGTTATATCCAGAGTTATCATGTGTTTGGTTAAGTTACCAGATGAGTTGAATATCTTCTCACAATATTTGCACTTGAAAGGGTTTCTCTCCAGCGTGCGTTCTTTTTTCTTTCTTTTTTTTCTTTTTTCCCCTTTTTTTTTCCCTTTTTTTTTGTTTGTTTGTTTTTTGGGCCGCCCAAGGGAGGGTTTAAACCCCCTAACCCCCCCCCCCCCCGTAGATCCGCGCCTGTTTAATCTTGTGTTTATCTTGTGGTTTCCAAACCACAAGATAACCACAAAATAGATTTTCTTTTTTTTTACCGTCTGAATTGGCTTTCACCGTGTGAATGCGGCAAATAACAATAAACACAATTACAATAATGATGAGGATTATTATTATCATCATCATAATTATTATTATTATTATTATTAATATTATAATTGTTATCATTATTATTATTACTATTATTATCATCATTATGACTTATTAAGTAAGCAAATATCATTCCCCAAAACCTGGGGGGGATGATTGTACATGCCATCCCCCCACCTTGTGAGGTGGGGGGGATGCATCCCCCTCATCCCCCCCGTTGTCTACGCCCCTGATCTCAAGGAAGGGATGATGTCGGCATACATGCAAATGGCGGAATAGACAACATTATAAAGATGAAGATGGAAAACGACATAGACAGAGAGACAGACGGACAGGAGAGAGAGAGAGAGGGGGGGGGGGGGGGGGGGGAGATAGAAAGCTGGACGTAGTCTGTACTGTATTTATTACTATGATATTTTTCTCACCCACCCCCCCCCCCCCCCCCCCCCCCCCTCAAGCTCACATTTTTTCTTTCCATTTTTTTTGTTTTGTTTTGTTTATATCTTTGGGCTAAAGTGTAATATCCGACGTATAATAGTACCGTCAATATAGCATAATAAACAATTTTTGTATCAATCAGTTTGATGCAACAGGGATTTACAATCAAAAGTTTTACTTGGTATAATTGTTGTTCGGTAATGTTCTTCTCATTTCGACATTATCAGCCGCTCGTTCTCTATTTCGTTTCCTATAATAAATATAAGGTATAATGTGTACATCATCAGGGATAATTACGTTATAATAATTAATCTCAAGGAAGAGATGCTGCCGGCGTACAGGCAAATGGAGGAATAGAAAACATTATAAAAAAGATGAAGATGGAAAACGACATTGCCAGATAGACAGAAAGACAGAGAGAGAGAGAGTGAGAGAGAGGGGAAAGAGAGAGAGAGAGAGAGAACGAGGGAGAGAGAGAGAGAGAGAGAGAAAGGGGAGGGGAAAGCTAGGGGGCGGGAGAGATAGAAAGTTGGACGTAGTCCGTACTGTATTTATTTATATAATATTTGTCTCTCTGATCACCCCCCCCCCCCAGCTCCGATTTTTTTTTTACCCTTTAGTTTGCCCTTTTTTTTCTTCATCATAATATCTTTTCACTGAAGTATAATGTCCGACGTATAATAGTATTGTAAATATAGCATTTTAAACATTTTTTATATCAATAAATTTGATGCAACAGAAATTTTCATTCAAAAGTTTTACTTTGGAAATATAATTATTGTTCAGTAATATTCTTCGCATTTCGACATTATCAGCCGCTCGTTCTCTATTTCGTTTCCTATAATAAATATAAGGTATAATGTGTACATCATCAGGGATAATTACGTTATAATAATTAATCTCAAGGAAGAGATGATGTCGGCATACAAGCAAACGGAGGAATAGAAAACATTTAATAAAAAAAGATGAAGATGGAAAACGACATTGCCAGATAAACAGAGAGACATATAGAGGGAGAGAGAGAGAGAGGGGAGGAAATAGAAAGAGAAAGAGAGAACGAGCGAGAGAGAGAGAGAGAGAGAGAGAGAAAGGGGAGGGGGAAGGGGGCGAGAGAGATAGAAAGTTGGACGTAGTCCGTACTGTATTTATTTATATGATATTTGTCTCTCCGATCATCCTGTACTGTATTTATTACTATGATATTTTTCTCACCGACCCCCCCCCCCCCCCCCCTCAAGCTCACATTTTTTCTTTCCATTTTTTTGTTTTGTTTTGTTTATATCTTTGGGCTAAAGTGTAATATCCGACGTATAATAGTACCGACAACATTGCCAGATAAACAGAGAGACATATAGAGGGAGAGAGAGAGAGAGGGGAGGAAATAGAAAGCTCCGATTTTTGTCGCCTTTAGTCTGTCCTTTTTGTTATCATATAGATATCTTTTCGCTGAAGTATAATGTCCGACGTATAATAGTATAGTCAATATAGCATAATAAACAGTGTTTATATCAATTTGTTGCAACAGAGATTTTCATTCAAAAGTTTTACTTTGGAAATATAATTATTCGCATTTAGACATTATCAGCCGCTCGTTTTTCACTTCGCTCGCTATAATAAATATAAGGTATAATAAAGTGTGTACATCATCATTATTTTATAATAATCTATCTCAAAAAAGGAATGTTGCCGGCATACAAGCAAACGGCGGAACAAAATTGGCAGATAGACAGAGAAAGCGACCGAGTGAGAGATAGAGGGAGAGAGAGAGACACACATAAGCAGAGAGAAAGAGAGAGAGAAACAATCATTTCTTATAATTATCTATTTGTCTGTGACATTTTATCTTTATCACATATTCTTGTCCATTCCTTTATCGTGCATGATTGTTGTCTTTGAATGAGTGTTTCAGATAGGGTAAAGTCTGGCTTTACGTTATATGATTTTTATTTATGAGAATGTCGGAACGTGATCCCATTTAAAAATTTAAAAAACAGCAACGACAACTGCAATAACAGCAAGACCCTTCCCTCCCCCAAAACAACATAAAGCAGGGTTATACATGACTACAAAGTCAGTTCATTGTTGTTGTTGTTGTTGTTTGGTATTATCGGCGTTTCATTCTTTTTTAGAATGTTTACGCCTTTCACTTTATTTATTTTTTCTTCTATTTTTTGGTACTATTTGTAAATTCATACTCTTCTCTTTTTTTTTGGATAATATAATCTCAGATCTGTCATCCAATTATTCAATTATACCCTTACCTTACTTCCGCTCTTTAGAGTTTATAGCCATGACAACGACCCGTACCCTCAGCAACGTTCATTGTTCCTCTTACGTAACTCAGCTGTGGGAACATGCATGGGCCAAAGACAAAGACAAAGCTCTTTTCGCACATTCTATATAGGTCCCAAATACTTGCAGACATTTCTGTGTCGGTTTTATTTGTATTTATACTTTGTCAATACATATACTTACAAACTACAATTGTCAAAAATTTGGCAATATATTTATACATATTGATATTTATATGGCATAAACATGCTCAAAGCGCTTTACATTAGTAAATAAAACAAACTAATTATTTTGCTCTCCAAATGGCACATCGGTATAGTCTGTACTGTATTTATTTATTATTATTCTATTTTGTCTCTCCTTTCACTCCAATCCTCCCCCATTCTGGGTTCTTCTTTAGTTTCATTTTATCATGTCTATATCTTTTCGCTATAGTATAATGTCCGACAAAATAATATTATAACCGTCAATTTAGGCTGGTAAATTATTTCATATGAATATGATGCAACAGAGATTTACATTCAAATCCTTAATTTCTTATAAATTGTGTATTTTTCTCATAAAATTGAGTATCTAAATAAAAAGAGAAAGAAGAAGAACAAAATAAGAATGAGGCGAAGAAGAAGAAGAAAAGATAACGAAGAAGAAAACCCTACGAAAGAGCTGAAAGAACTGAGAGGCTTGGAGCACAGCAGAGAACGGCCGTGCAACGTGTTCTCGACATGACAAGACCAGATTGGCAAATGATCTGCGCATGCGCTAGGTTCCCGTTAGTCGAAGCCTCTGGCCGCTTGAACGCACACGCATTGTGGCGCGCGCTGAGCGGTCTCACGGTACGGCGTGTTCGATTTTTAATCTCGTTTGTGGGGTGGCTATCAGGCTGAATAATGCCGAGCTGAACGGGTTAAACAAGTATATATCTTGGGGTCAATTTTTTGAATGAGCATTTAATTACAATTACATAGAGATATAATCTTGTTTTCTTTCTTATTTTTATTTGAAGGGTGCAATACATTTCATGTCATCCAGTGACAAGCTACTAAGATGGAATGTGCTTGGTCTACAGGGTGCCTTACTTAGCCATTTTATACATCCAGTCTACTTGGAGTCCATTACCCTAGGTACGTTTGCACTCAAACTACAACCCCTTAAAAAAAAAAAAAAAAAATAATGATAATTATCTCCCCAATCCTAATTTACAGCTCTTCTTGACCCTTTTATCTAAAATGTGTTTTTTTCCAGCCATAAAAGCATTCCCTCTCTATAAAACCCTTGATCCTGTCGTTATTATTTTAAGAGGCATAAAATGTTAATTCAAATCATTCATATTTTCTATTATCAAGGAGATTTCATGTTCTTGATGTGGAATTTATGAAAAGTCTAAAATACTTGAATTTTTGCTTTTGAACATATTTCATTACAAGACTACAAATGGCTCTCCATAATATTTAAGTCCAACTTAAAGTTAAGTTCAACTTATGATCTTTGTGAAACACCCCCAGGACTTTCTTTCACTATATCTCACTATCTTAATATTCAATCTCTATACAGGAAGCATGTATGACCATGGTCACCTAACGAGGGCGCTGTGCTGCCGAGTGGACAACAGCATCACAGGAACGCTTCCTTCAGGCTTCTCTCTTCACCATCCTCTCATCGCTCGGGTTTCTCAACCTCTTAGAATCCAAAATGGCCTCCAGCCGGGCATCAGCGTGAACTTCTCCAACGACGACAGCATGTATGAAGTCTTGGACTGCGGGAAAGGACGTGCACATCAAGTGTAAGAATGAAAACCCACTGCATGATATACAATCCGACTGCTTTCTGATTTTTAAAGAAATTGCATTAATTGCATTATTGGAATGGATTGGGGTTCAAATCCAACCCATGCCGTTGACTGAAACCTGCTTTGTGTGTTAAGATGGCCCTCCCCTGTTTCGTAGATGCAGGCTACAATACAGTGGTAAACTCCTTGTTCCTCGGATAGGATGTTAATTGGAGCCCTGCGTAGAGGAGAGTCACCACCTTTGCCAATTAAGAACCCACTCCACTATAAGAGTAGGGGGAACCCCAGTGTATTGGTCCACCTGCACACCCCAATCAGTTTTACCGCAAGGAGAGATCTGAGGGTTACAGTGATATAGTTTGCTTTTTGCCTCCAGGCACAGGTGACACCAAATATTCAATAATAATAGTAATGAAATACGATGATGACATTAGGTCAATGTTGCTTGCAAGAGATCGTTGGCTAAGATTTTTTTCTCATTTAATCTCATACTTGTTCGTCCTTTTTGGTAAACATGATTTTCAGTAAGTGAATATTCCTTTCCATTTTGCTTGACCGATGTAACATTTCCTGTATGGTTATTAAACAATGCAGAGGAACTTTTAAATAGTGTGTTTAAATGCTGTTCCATTTCTACTATGAGTATTGGAGGTCATCTGTTATAGTACAACTACCTTGAGTTACCAGTCTCTTTTTCTCTCTTACTACATAGATCTCCATTCAAGAGTGGCACTCTAGCAGCCAGTCGGCTCTGTAAGGCAGCGTTCTTCTTCCGATTCCGCAGCACCGCTACCCTTGCCAAGAGAGATGATTTGATGTTTGCCTCCAACTTCCAAGAGGCTAAAGTAAGTTGAGCTTTTTCTCTCTCTCTCTTGTAATGTCATTAGTATTATTTAGTAGTATGCATATAAAAGGGAAATGCATTTAAGATGAGGTTTAAGCCATGGAGAATGGAAAGAGGTACCAGTAGTCAACTAATATAGAGCATCAAAGTGTCTTCCTCTTAATTACACTTTGACTTAATTTATTAAATTTATTTAATTTTATTACATATCATCAATAATTTTTAGAAGTTGATACTTCGCACTCTAGTAGTCAGTGGACAAAGTAAAGCAAAGTTTTGTCTTCTGCTTAAAAGAAATGCAAACATGAAGATATTGTAGATAAATTAAATATATACAATTTTGTGCAAGATAATCTCAAATTCAGGGAAATGTTCGATAATTATACAAAAAAATTTAACCAAATCTTAAAATTTCATATAATTCCTATCTGAAAACCACCAAAATAATTTCAGTATTTTAAGCTTTGTTTTTGGTATACCAGAAAAAGTTTCTTTTGCCCAATTTTATCACGCAAAAAAATATATTGTGAGATGCAAGTATAATTATTTGTGGATATATTTATGTTGCAACTTTCCTCTTCCTTTTTCCTCAGGATTTGTGTGCTTGTTACCAGCAAGCCAAGCGGCTTTTCAAAATGCATGTGGAGGGCAAAGGTTATGGACACTGGTTCACTGCACCCAAGGACGTCAATCACTTTGTCAAGTAGATTATTGTGAGATGCTTCACACCAACATGCTAGAGTCTGAAGAGAAAGAGAGAGAGAGAAACAGACAGTGTCTAGCATCATGCAACTTCAACTCATAATAGCTGACTTTCATTTAAGGACTGACTTGCTGGAAAGTACCAGGAGATATCATGTTCATGACAAAACTAAACGTCTTTAAAAGAAAATGTTGGGAAACTCAAGTTTAATTGATTACGCCTTTCTCTTTATGGCATAATCATCGTTATGTTTAGTATCATTAGAGTTGTGTTTATTCCTCTTTAAAATGATACCCCATTTGTTCTGATTTTCAGTCATGGAATGGGCATTACATCAAAATTGGGGCAAAGTGAAAAGTGAAAGTTACAAAATGTACTGCTCTTGTTGGGCTGTGCATTCTTCTTTCCTTGATTAATGTAGTGCACTGCATAACAATACCATTGCTTACCACTGCATTTTACAACTTTTAATTTTTGATCTGGCCCATTATTCTGATTTACTGTTCATTCCGTGACTGCAAAGTCATACAAAATATGATATCATTTTAAAGAGAAATGAACGTTCTTTCTAATGATACTAAACAAATATTATTTAATAATTATCCCATATCAAAGAGAGATGTACTGGATCGAACTTGAGTTTTCAAACTTTTTTGAGGGGTTTATATAGTTGGATGAGTTTTTGTAGTATTCTGTTGATGGGTTACGGGTTGATGGGTTGAACACAGTTTTTCAGGTGTTTTCATTTTGTAAGTGTGTAGAGTTGGAGATCATGAAGTTGATATGAGGGGAACTAGAAGCAAGAGGCTGAGTTAGTTTTTACGTGCCTTATCTAGCACTAACGTTGTCTTAAAAGTGATCAAATGCAGAAGAAAAAAATCTCAAAAGTTTAAACATTCTTTAAGAGATGCAAAGATGAAAGAGCCTGTAATTTTGTTGCTACACTACATATAGTATAAGCCTTGTTTATTGTGCAAAAGGGTTGCATGCTTACAAGGCTAAGAAAATGTACATTCCAGGGATTATAAGGAAGACTTGACTTAAAATAATAAAAAGTCTTGAATGTGAATATTTTCTGTTCAGGGCCCGCTGCACAAAACTTACCATTGATGGTAACTAGTACCATGGAAACCTTGATTTTGGTTGGCTGTTGAGCCCCGTTACCATGGTAGTTGCCATTGATGGCAAAGTTACAATCAGTGGAAAGTTTTATGCAACAGGGCCCAAAGCTAAAAGGGCATTAACGATGTGTTAGGGTATACCAGTTAACACCCTTCTGGCTCCAAACAGGAAATATATCTCAAGGTCGTTGTAGGGACAGTATTACTGTTTGACACATATGCTTTGGTACAATCAGGTACAGGAGAAAATACTAAATGTTGTTCTTTTGTGTTTGTGTTCATTGTGCATGACAAGATCCCAAGCTTGCTTTCCTTGGGGAAGGCAATTCATTGTATTTTAATTTGTTACCATTATATGAAACTTCAGGTGTGTGATCAACTATTTTTTCTATAATTATAAATCTTTGTTCATTAATTTGTACCATTAGAACACTTTGGAGAAAGAGGTATACATTTCCTTGCATTGCATTACAATGTGTTTAGAATATATTTCAATGCAACAAGAGAATATATCCCTGTTATAAACCAAAACTGAGAGACACATTACAAAGCAATTATATCAAGCTCTATATTTAACACACCTCAGTATCCTAGCAGTTTATAGCCTCATACAGTTCATGTACAATATATATTACTGCTTTCATCTATTTTTGCACCAAAGCAAAAGCAATCTTTATTTATCTTGTGATGTAGAAATACTGTGTGCTTGAGCATGTGCTCTTACATCTTGCCTTAGACAGGGGTAGCTATACACCTTTACTCCTGTCACTATTTTTGAGTGTAAGTTTTTGTGAATAAGTGCAGATGAAGATGTAGAGAGAGCAGTTAACGTTCGGGAATACTCCAACAGAGAATAAGAAAGCAATATAATATCGGAAGCTTGGCTGATCAGTCACTTCACAAAATGGCTGCACACTGCTTTCCATTTTCTGCTTCTTTCAGATCAGATAAACATGTTCCTCTTCAATGATTGTTTGTGAGGGCATGGATTGATTTGGAGAGAGAACACCTTTCAAATGACATGTCTATTCAGAAATCTTCCATAGACAATAATAGGTATGTAGGAAGTTTTGTGTCCAAAGCAAAGTAGAGAGTAATTTTTTATTTTTTATTTTATTTTTTAAAACAGTTTTTCTTGTTTTATCACTTTGAAGAAAAAAAATATATACACTCTAATTCTCTGAATTATTTAATTTTCTGCTTTTACTGAAATGAATTACTGTTGGATATACTTTCACTTCAACCATAGTTCTTTATCTTGTTCTTGGTCTTTATAAGTCAACTGAGTCTAGATATATACATTATATGGTTATGTATGCATTACCCTGAAACCAAATACTTAAATTACATGCAAATGGTAATCTATGCAAATGGTTGTTACTGTAACTATTGCTGAATCAAAAACAGTATTGGCCAAATTTATTGTATATCAGTAAATGCATGAGTAGAAAGACATACATCTATATACTAGTAATACAAACAAATATATTTATATATATTATACAGTGTATCTTCAACTAGATTTTCCTCAAGACCGTTTCTCCAAATTTATTTAAATTTTTGCTTTTATTGAAATGAATTTTTGTTGGATAGACTTTCACTTCAAACACATTTCTTTATCTTGTTCTTAGTCTCATAATGTATGTATACATCACCCTGAAACCATATACTTTAATTACATGATGATTAAAGGGATAGTTGAGTTTTGGTATGGAGGGCGTTACACAAAAAGACCTTTTTTTGTGAGATAATGAAAAACTTGAGTGTCAAATTTGAAAGATCATGCAATTTAAATGGCAAAACAATCTTTCTTGGACCAAAATTAGATCAGAACCGGCTGACATATCCTGTAATATAACCATTTCTAATATTTGTGGGGCCCCACAAATATTCTATCATTTTGAACCAGCCGTTGAAAGACAAAATAATGCTTACACTTTTCAAACAGATGTTTTTGAATAGTTGTTGATGATCTCTCTATTTAATCATTATTTAAAAGAAACACAACATGCACAATTTTATTAATAAAAATGGTTGGAACCAATGACTTCTTAGAGAATGTCCTCATGTGGTCTAATGGCTCTTTTTAATTGTTAACAGGCTTATTACTAAGTCATTTGTAATTTTTGTATACCTTCCGAGCATGGTGCAGGTTTAGGTTACTAACAATTCAATTTGACCAAAACTGTTCTCTCTATACCAATAGAGTAGAAAGTCGCACATTTTTAAAGAAAGAGATTTTATTATTGTTTATTTTGCAAAGACAGAAAAATCAGTGAATACAAAACAAGAGCCACATGGATGCAGGTAAAAGAAAAAGATTAACCTTAGAGATAAAAATAAAATAATTATGTAAAAACCTACTGTAACCATTCTTTTCCCCTTTATTTTGTTGTCGCTGATGGCCTAGATGAGGCCACTTTGCTGCATGTTAATTGTACATGTCATGTTTTTACTCTTGTTCTTTTATTAATAAAAGATTTCAAAAATATATGTATGTATCGTGCTTCTTCCTTTAGATCGTTAAAGATAAACTTTAGTACTGGTAATGCGATTGCATTGTGAAAGAAAAGGTGTGGAAAGGATCAGAAACAGTTGATCATGTAGCATGTAAGTATTGGTGTGCACTGCAAGGTTCGGGAGTCATCAAAATCATAATAAATTTGCCCGAGTCTTGGTAAAGTAACAAGCACTCACATAGAAAGCTATATATGGGACAACACACATGGTGTCGGGGCTAGTACTACCTTGATTTCCTTGTCTTTCTATGCTCATTACTCAGACAGTATACATTTTCTTCCAAAATTGTTTGGCACATGTCATTTATTTGTAATCTTGAACATTCAGTGTAAGTTTCGTTTGATTCTGTGAGAATTATTATTATTTTTTTTTACCAGTACTGGAGTTTATCTTTAAGTCTTTATGAGTACGTTTGGTGATAGTCTGCTATAATTATAATTATAATAATTAATGATATGAAAGGAATAACACATTCTTCGATCAAGTCAGCTTTTTTTTTCTTTTTTTTTAAGGGGCAAGGCTTATTATCATGAGCAGCTAGTATGGGGCAGACTCTTTCATGGAGTTTTGTTGATTGTACTGTATTTAATTTATTAATTTACTGATGGCTAGTCAGTTACAAAAAAACCCCAAACCCTGCAGTTTATAATGCATGTATGAATTAGTGTCTGAAAGTACATTCAGGCTGAAGACTTTGACCAGTGGCACTATTTTTCTAAATAAATAAAATTTTCTTCTTTGCTCCTCCTTCTTCTCCTTCCTCCTATATTCCTCTTCTACTTCTAAGCTTCTAGTCTCCTCCATCTTCTTCGTCTCCTTCTACCTCTTCATCTTTCTTTTTTCCGTCCTACATTCCTCTTCTTCTTCTTCTTCTTTTTCAATTACTTGCATCTTGAACGATAATTTTTCAAATCCGTTTTTTTTCTTAGAAATCTACAGAGGGCTTGTTTTTCAGGAGGTGTTTAAAACTCAGTTGTATGGGACGCACGAGGTCGCCATTGCATTTGGCAAGCGCGGAAAACACAAGGCGTGCGTGCATGGGGATTCCCCCGTACTATTGGCCACGAATTCACACTCACGGAGCACGGGCCTAGCCTAGCTGATCTCCAATCAAGCGGGCAATCAAGTTGAAGAAGTCCTCATCCGAAGTCGAGTCATGGAATTAGAAAGTCCTGAACCAGTTACGGCTAAACGCGCCGAATACGATGATGCTGATGACTTTGAAACAGTAAGTATCAAAAATAATCATGAAAAAGAGTTTGTTTTCAAGTTATGAAACCACTTGCACTGATTTGTGAGCATGCACACGTAGGTCTGCGGGTAACTCCGATCCAGGGAGCTCCGCCGCCCACACATTCGCGAATGTGTGGGCGGCGGAGCTCCCTGGAGTTAACGTACGGGTATCTCGGAGCCTTCGCTCGCTCCAATATGATCCAGCGATTTTGGCTGCTTAATTGGAGCGCCATTTTTTGCAATCGGAGGTGAGGAGCACATTGGTTTTGTTATTGGATCATAACAAAAACTCTCACAAAAACAAAAGTCAAAAGGAGTAATGTTGCATGAGAAATCTGCTTAGAATTAGAGTGTAATAGTATAGTATTAATGACTGCTTTGAGAGAAATAGTTGTTTTATTACGCTCAAGGGAAGGTTAGAATTGTGCTATTCCCCGAGGCTTGCCGAGGGGAATAGCCCAATTGTAACCTTCCCGAGAGCGTATGAAAACAACTATTTCTCGAATATTAAAGCAGTCATTAATACTTTTATATGCCGAAAAAAAATAGACTAAAAAATAAAAAATAAAAAATCCTTTTTTTTTTGTCGAAGGTGAGAGTCGAACTCTTGCGTATAATGAGTGATGAATCTTACACCAACGCCTTACACCACTCGGCCATCGCGCGCTGTTCACATGCTTGGCAGTTTTGTACAATATATACATTAAAATGGATTGAAACCGGCTTCGGCGTGATGAATGCTTCGCAAAAGCACCCTTCTTTTACTTTTGCAATGCATATTGGCACGAACTTAGATCAAGATCTATCGGCAGATGTTGTTTTTTTGTTTTTGGAAGTTTATTTTCGTCTTCATGTCAACAATGCAAGATAAAATTGTCGGTAAGATCGATCGAGATTCAATTGTATTGAAATTACCGACCAATCCTTCGCACACATACGGTATCCTCGATCGCTCAAACCATTTTTTAACATGTAAACCTATGGGGTAACCATGGAGGCTGACCTATTTTTTTAATAACCATGGTTATTAAAAATATTAAATGTTTTATGCATGCATACCGGGAATTTTACAGGAACAGTTGAAGTTTATGAATGCAATTCGACCAATCAGATGGCTGGATTTCTTAAGTGAGGTATATAATATAGTATTAATGACTGCTTTGAGAGAAATAGTTGTTTTACGCTCAAGGGAAGGTTAGAATTGTGCTATTCCCCGAGGCTTGCCGAGGGGAATAGCCCAATTGTAACCTTCCCGAGAGCGTATGAAAACAACTATTTCTCGAATATTAAAGCAGTCATTAATACTTTTATATGCCGAAAAAAAAATAGACTAAAAAATAAAAAATAAAAAATAATTTACATTTTTGTCGAAGACGGGATTCGAACTCTTGCGTACAACAAGAGGTGTATCGAAAACCAACGCTTAGACCACTCGGCTATCGCGCGCCGTTAACATGCTTGGCAGTTTTCTCCAATATATACATTAAAATGGATTGAAAACGGCTCCGCGTGAGGGATGCTTCGCAAAAGCTCCATGAAACGGACCCTTCTTTTACTTTTGCAATGCATATTGGCACGAACTTAGATCAAGATCTATCGGCAGATGTTGTTTTTTTGTTTTTGAGAGTTTATTTTCGTCTTCATGTCAACAATGCAAGATAAAATTGTCGGTAAGATCGATCGAGATTCAATTGTATTGAAATTGCCGACCAATTTTTCGCACACGTATGGTATCCTCCATCGCTCAAACCATTTTTTAACATGTAAACCTATGGGGTAACCATGGAGACTGACCTATTTTTTTAATAACCATGGTTATTAAAAATATTGAAATGTTTTAAGCATGGTTACCGGGAATTTTACAGGAACAGTTGAAGTTTATGAATGCAATTCGACCAATCAGATGGCTGGATTTCTTAAGTGAGGTATATAATCTAGTCTATGTTTATAATTATATTTTGATGTGAGCTAATCCCTTTGCAGAAAATGTAACTCAAGGAAATGGGTGTACAAATGGCCATGGGAGACTCTCCTAACTAGACTAGACCTACCAAGGTTAAAACATTTTGACTCTGCGTATGCACACCCATGATTGAATGACCAGTGGCTTATATCACAAAAATTCCACGTGATCTACATCGACAAGTTCAATGATTATGACCACTGACATTTCATTTATTTTCCAAATTCTGGTTCAAAAATACAAAACTTGCAAATACAAAATAATGTACATTATAAAATACAAAGGAATACATTAAGCAGGGAAAAAAATACACGAGGGCTCGGGGCGATTAGCCCCCGAAATGCCAAAAAGAGCCCCGAAAGTCATTAAAAGAGCCAAAAAAAAAGTTCAATGCAAAACAAAATAAAGAGTGTTATTTTCATGCAAGCAAGCTTGAAAGTAGACCAAAAGCTTCAGTCTCTATATCGTCGGTTGTTCCACTGAGACTACGTCTGGCTCCACTAGACCTCCGGATATAGAGACTAAACGATCGCCTATGCCATCGTACGTTGAAGATACACTCTACGGTATACGATAAGACGATACTGCCCTGATGCTAAGTTAAATTCTTTTTTTGTAAGAATCGCATGCACTAACATATACAATTGGCATTTAGAATTAAACCACACATGATAAACATTAAGAAAATATGTACTTTGGACCTCTGCATATGAAATCTTCTTCAAAACGGTGTTATTATCTCTTCCACTTGACTGTCTTCAGACGTCAGCCATCTTGAATCAAAGAAATGAATATTCATGACAAAGTTTTTTAGTCTCCACCCCATTGACCTCATTCATAGATGTGCGCGTACGTGCACGTACATGTATGTTTGAGTTCTCGTGTTGTCTGCTTCACGTGCGCGTGCTATCCTCGACGTGACGCGCGGAGGAGCTAGCCGAGGCGAGGTCAACCATCCCCATTATCTTATTTGAATATTCATTAGCCGCCATTTTGATTTCTGTCGGTCAGAATGCTTGACGTGGGTCATCGAGAAGCAGCCAAAAGCTCGGTAAGTCCTTTTATTTCTTTTATATTTCTATTTCGTGGGGAAGGGGGGTAAAAAGGGAACTTTTAGGGACTGACAATTGCCTAGAAAATTACTGCAATTGAAGATAAATTATGTATTTCTCCTCAAGTTTGTCATGTTTGTGGGAGGGGCCTAACAGCTAAAATCTAGCCGTGATATCTTCAACATACGATGGCATAGGCGATCGTTCAGTCTCTATATCCGGAGGTCTAGTGGAGCCAGACGTAGTCTCAGTGGAACAACCGACGATATAGAGACTGAAGCTTTCGGTCTAGCTTGAAAGTAGCCCCCAAAATTTTTAAAGTATTTTTTTCCTGATAACAAGAAAAACAAGAAAAGCAAGTAAGTGACAAAGGGGGAATAAGATGATAAACCAGTATGGCAGTAGTATGCAGAGGGGAAAACAAAGTTGCTTGTCAGCTAGGGTTAATCCATGATCAAATCCCCATGACATGACCCAAAAGATAAGGAACAAAAGCTATACAGATCTGACATCCTCTTTTTTTTCTTCATTTCTTCCATAAATTTCTCAGTATGACCAGGTGACAGTGGAGCTGAATAAAGGACTTGTGTTGAATGATTTACAGAGTGAAAGCGGCGCTCAATTTGAAGTCAAGACTCCAAAAGAATTAACAGGTATGAACTGATTTGATTATGTTTAATGCACACTTTCTATGAAAATTTGCACTGAATTAGTAAATAGAATACTGATTTTGGTAATGAACTAAATCGTCATTGTTTTCACGAAGTGACGGTAGTGAGGAAAATTGTCACGCAAAGTGAATGCAATGTTTTTTCACTACCGTCACTTCGTGAAAACAGCGACGAAATATTTCAAAGTGTTTCTGGTTTTTCTGAAAAAATCTTGGCGTAAATGTCTAAACTGTCCCCTAAAATACTATGCCCCAAACTCAGTGCATTTTCTTTCAATTACATACCGGTATGTAGGACTGATTTATAAGTATTGGGAGGAATTATGATGATGGTGATGGTGATCAAGTGATGAATATGATTCTGATTAAGATAATAGTGATGATGATGAAGATGATTCTGATTAAGATGATTGGAGGATGAGTATAATGATTGTACTTTTCTAAGCAACTTTTTTTTCTTTGACAGATCCAGACACAGATGCCTACTTTGAAACGGAAGAAGTTTTCAAGCAGCTAAACAGAGAATGTCTGGGAGAAGATGACGACGGTGAAGATGAGGGTCTGGTAAGCCACTAATTTTATCAAAAATATCATGAGACATGTTTCCTATCATAGTGCGGCTTAGTGGTTCCTTTTTGTTATTAATAATACAAATATTACTCCATGACCCCTTTTTGTTATTAATGATACAAATATTAATCCATGACATTGACCTTTAAGCAACATAAATTTAGATTTTAGATTTTAAAAAGACAGCTTTGATTATCAATTTTCAAATTCATATTCATTGTATTTATTAAGATCCCTCATGTAGGATCATTGTAAATTGTCAGTTCACAGAGGATAACAAAAATTGAAGTTATAATGTAAAAAAATGCAGTGCACACAAATATCTAAGTGAAAGTGGGTGGGTTGGCAGTTTCCATGTGCAGAAGGTCAAGCTGACACCAGACTTGGTGGAAATACCATTAATGGGTGTACAAGTCTTTGATGCACTACTAATGTTTTCGCATTTCAAACTGCCTACAATACAGAAAGCGTCAAGCCAGTAGCATAATTATTTTATCAATATCCCAGATCAATATTCAGGTTTTCAGGATTTGGAGGCTTGAAGCAGAAATTTTCTAATCACTTTTTATATCCTTTCATGTGAGATAAAACTCTAATACAGATGCATCATAAGCCCCAACATTTTAATTCTTTGTTTCTTTGTCTAATTCTTGAAAGTTTACTTGTACTTTTCTCATGTTTGTTTGTCTTTTTGATTGTTACGAAGGCCCCTTTTGAGAAGATCGCCAAGAAAATGGAGGATATCACTCCAGAGAAGGATAGGAAAGTTCTCAAGAGCCTCCTCAAGCAAGGCACAGGAGCCTTGCCCATCGTAGGGATGACTCTCACAGGTAAATACTATGATAATAATAATATATTCTTTTATAACGCTACATATCCGGCACTTACGATCAAGACGAGACAATATTGAATATACGGTATGCAAGTTACTTTAAAAAACAGCTCAACAGATCATCTACAGGTAGTAAAAGTAACATTTTCGATAAACAGATGCATTTTCAGCTCTGTTTAGAATTGTCCTGTGGAATCTGACTTTCTCATTTAAGAAGGAAGAGAGCAGATGCAGCTTTGGCAAATCTGAATACACCATTTTAATATGCGCGTAAATATTGCATCATCAACCATGTTTTCAGATGCGCATGTATTGTTGCGTCACTGCCTGCTCTGTGCGCTCACATGATACATGGGTACCATCTTAAATTACGAGTAAATAACTTTGTTTACTCGTAAATTAAAATGGCGCCCATGTCTGCGCATGCGCACTGTAACTGTAAAAGGGTGTATTGAGTAAAGCCTACATCACCCATATTTAACAGACTGTGGAGACTGTATTTTGTATTTTCCTTGAGAACTGTTTCTCTTAGGCAGAATTATTTTGAATTTAAATAATTGTATATGAGCGCCATTTGTAAAGTCATAACTATTGGATGTTTTGTTTGTTTCCAGTACATTATAATTGCTATGTAGAGTACAGTGATGAGCCGTACGACTCAACGCGTCTGAGGAACAGACCAGAGAGATGCAAACTAGGGGCAGGTAGGTTTACCTTCTCACTATCATCAATCCAATATTTATACTGACTCTATGCATTGTATATGCACCTTTTGTTGCATGACTATAAAAATGATTTTTAAAATGCTTAAGGTTTCCGAAAAAGGTGCAATAAATTGTATGGTGTACTTCTTCAGAAGCAAAGATTATTAAGATTTGTAAATCATGATTTTAAGATTGTAATTTTTTTTTTTGGGGGGGGGGGGAGGGGGCTAAATATGCAATAATACGAATGAATAAGTTAAGTAAATAAGTAAGTTTAGTGCTTCACAGTGAACGATGACTGCAAATGCTTTTCAACATTTATAACATTTTGTTTCAAAGTCATCAACAATTAATGGTTTCTGATGTTGTCACGAAATTTGATTAAATAAATTACAAACTACATCAACATATTTTTTCATTGTCGGCAATATGCATTTCATGTTGCAAAAGTCTTAGACCCCTTTTCTATAGTAACTCTGTTACTCTTCATGCATCTATTCTAGGGTCTGTTATTCCTGGTATGGACCTCGCCCTAAGTACGATGCGCACAGGGGAGATGTCCAAGTTTCTGATCCATCCTGACCACGCCTACGGAAAGCTCGGTGTACCTCCCAGAATCCCTGCCAATGCTTCAAGTAAGTTTGTGCATGCCATGGTTGAGTGGTTTTGATGCTTGACTTGAGTAGGTCATGGTTTCAAGCCACAGCACAGCATGGCATTGTAGTCTTTTTGGTAAGTCCTATACAGTCAACCCTGCTTAAGTGACCACCTGTCTACAAAGACCACGTTTTTTGTTTCCCTTGAAAACGGTTTCTCATTGAAACATGTACTAAAGGAACCTGTCTACAAAGACCACCTGTCTACAAAGACCCCATTTTTTGTTTCCCTGGAAAATGTTTTCTCATTGAAACGTGTTATAAAAGAACCTGTCTACAAAGACCACCTGTCTACAAAGACCACGTTTTTTGTTTCCCTTGAAAATAGTTTCTCATTGAAACATGTACTAAAGAAACCTGTCTAAAAAGACCACTTTTTGTGTTTCCCTTGGGCAGTCGCTATAGAAAGGTTTGACTGTACCGGTATTTGCTACTCTGCATGTAAGAGGGATATGATTTCCAGGACCTATTTTATCTGTAGGTTGTATGCGTAGATGTATCGACTGGATAAATGAAAGTCCATGGTTCAAACTATGGCACAGCACTGATTTACATTTGCTGCTCAGTAACTTTGTATAAAGGAGATTCCAAAGGAGACTCCAAACTTGCAATTGATTAGAGGACTGGAAATTTATTTGGATTAATCACAACTCTTTATGATATGGGGGCTGGTGTGATGATGAAAGCTATCATGAATAAATTACCCCTGAAAGAGTCATTGTTCGGTGTGCTATATTATGTTTGAATTGAAAAAGACCACCTGACGTCCAAATATGTGGATGTGATATAAGAGTGAAAAGACAGCATCTCAGAACCCCTTGAAACCGCCTGGAAATAACAATGTGAATTTGTCACCTATTGGCTCCAGGCAAATGCCCGAGTGTGTTGTACTTGAAATACACTGAAAATACTTTATATGAAAATATATTTTGGTATACAGGCGAGATCAAACGAAAGGTGATTTGTATTATGACTTTGGATCTAAATCAGTAGTAACCTTTATATTGCCATTTCTGCTCACGAGGACATAGAATTGTCCCAATTACTATTCATCAACCTCAACTAAGACTTATTTTTATTTTTAATGAAGGGGGGGGGGGCGGGGGGGGGGGGGGGGGGTTCTTACCAAAACTGTCCATTGGTTCTCATACCTAAGTACTTTCTTTAATTTCCCAGTTCTAATGGAGATTGAGCTTCAGAGCTTCACAGACCGTGCTGAGCTAGACGAGTTTAACAACATGAGTGAAGAGGAGCGCAAGGAAATCACTTTCAAGAGAAAGCTCAAAGTAGTCGACACAGAAAGACAGGTAAAAAAAGTTATAATTAAAAAAAATAAATTATTTCTTTATTTATTATTATTATTATTTTTTTTTTATTTTTTCTTAAGTATAATTATTATTATTATTTTTTTTTTTAATTATAATAATTATTATTATTATTATATATATATATATATATATATATATATATATATATATATATATATATATATATATTTTTTTTTTGGGGGGGGGAGGGGGGTTACATGATTCACATTAAAGCCCTGTTATCCCCCATTTCTAGGTGCCTTGTCAATAGATGTTGGCTGTCACCTTCTTCCACAACTCATTAAATTTTACCAGTGTTTTTTTTAATGGTTTACTGCCTAATGCCTTTCTAGACCTTTGGTAAAGGGGCCAAATGTTTGTGAACCATGTATTATTATAAAGAATAAAGATTTTCATGGTCAACAAGGATTGATTTAGTTGAATCTAGCAACATGTTTATCAATGGACCATTAGAGTTTCATAGATATTATCAGTTTGTAAATGTTGCTTTGTTAGATAGGCTTTGGTCAGTGTTCAAATTATATTTATTATTTTGACTAAAAATCTAATTTTGATGTAAATTGATGATATTTCATTGATATATATTTATTTTTTTCAGGAGGGAAATGATCTCTTCCAAGACGGGAAATATAAGTCTGCATTATCAAAATATATAAGGGTAAGTCTTATACAGCTTTTGATGACAAGATTGTCACTGTGAAACTCTACAAAATATAGCACAGCGCAATTGTTCATGGAACATAGGTCAGATCATCTATATCATTATAGTGCTACACAAAAATGGAATATTGTTATTATTATTATAGTGGAACCTCTATTTAAAGGCCGCTCAAGGCAGATCCAAATATCATTTGCCAGTATGACAATTTCGGTGTCCAAGCCCAGACTATTTTTTTTATATAATAAGCAAATAACTACCGTTGGTGATGGTGATGGGACAAACTATCCCTTCCGAGGCGATCTTGATGTAGCTATCTCTCCAAAGCGTAGCTGAGGAAAGATATCGTATACATTCTGATCGACGAGGAAGTGATAGTTTGCCATCGCCTGAAACCAACAGGTGAATATATGCTTTATATTCCACTTCAGAAACATTTCACTTCTTCAGTCATTTTAGAGCAACAAGTCGACAATTAACAGCTAGCAAACTGTGTACGATACGTACAGTGCATGTAGTATGGTGGTGTGACTATATAGTTCGTGCGTGGCCAAAATTCGCGTACTAACACTAAAAGCTCTTAAAGAGGAGAGCAATACGCAGCGTATACAATTATGTTCAGTGAAAGTGTGTTGCACTGTGTAGATAGTAGCCTATCTACACAGTGTAATGAACTTTTTGCTTCTCCCAGCAATGATGGGCGAACTATCTTTCATCATATGATTTACTTTTGACCAATCGTAGAGCAAGATTCTTAGTATGTGGAATATAGCACATTATAATCATGTTTTGTGTGGTTTTGAATAAAAGAACATGAACATACAGGTGATCTTTCTATACTGGTGGTCTTTCTATACAGGTGGTCTTTGTATACAAGTGGTCTTTCTATACAAGGTGGTCTTTCTATACAGGTGGTCTTTCTATACAGGTGGTCTTTGTATACAAGTGGTCTTCTTATACAGGTGGTCTTTCTATACAGGTGGTCTTTTTATACAAGTGGTCTTTCTATACAAGGTGGTCTTTCTATACAGGTGATCTTTCTGATCAGGTGGTCTTTATATACAGGTGGTCTTTCTTTAAGTGTGATCTTTCTATGCAGGTGGTTGGTTAATCAGGTTTCACTGTCCCTCTCTATGTAGGGTTTGAGGATCTTGGAAGGTGCACATATGAGGAACCAAGAGGAGGAGGATCAGATGAAACACGTCCATATCAAGCTCTGCCTCAACATCGCCCTCTGTAGCTCCAAGCTCAAAACACCGGAGAGGGTCATCTCATACTGCAATCGGGTGCTTGAAGTGCAACCCAAGCACCCCAAAGCTCTCTACAGGAAAGGCATGGTAAGTTATCTGAAATACAGGGCATTATTAGAGGGGGGTGGTGGGGAGGTGGCGTGATCTAATCCCCTCCCCCTTCACAAATTTGGAATTCTGTCCGCAAATTAAACTTTTAATATTTGTGTGTGTGTTTTGTTTTGCCTGTTTGCTGGAGAGTTTTCAGTTAACTCACCAGGGGGAAATTCGGTCAGACAATCCCTCCACCATCCCCCAATCTCCCTATCACAATGGTCCTAGACAATGCGATAAGAAGACGAAATGACACCCTCCTGCAACATCCCCTCACTCAATGGCCTTGTTCTGTTGCATATATTCCACCTAGTATAGTCAATCCCTTGCCCCCTCCCTTCCCACCCTTTCCTAAAAGGCTGTCTGTACTAGTTTGGCTAGGAGGGATTAGACCCCGGGTGGTCACTGACAGGTGGCTATTTCATCAACTCAGCTCTCAATTAACATAAGAAAAAGAGGATCATGGGGGACCAATGGTCACCAATTAGGCATTTTTTTCGATATAGAGGGAGCAAGTAGTACAGTGGGGCTTTAACACCATTTTAAAGACTACATCCCTGCTACGCGATTGTCTGTAAACAAATTCCTTTCAGTGTTTGCTTTGTTTTATTTGTATTTGTATTTTTTTGCCGATAGGCCCTGATGGAGCTGCAGGATTTTAAAGGTGCCCATCGATTCCTGAGCAAGGCCCAGCAGCAGCATCCCTCCGATGCGTCCATACTCAGCGGGCTCAGGGAGCTGGACACGGCATGGAAGAATTGGAATCTGATGGAACGCAGTCGCTATGACAACATGTTTCCTGACTGGAAGAAAGGTAACTTTGCCATCTATGCGGCTCGGGAGGGAAGTTATTTTCCAGACACTGTTTGATCTATTGAAATGATGTAGTTGAGCGCTTGTATGAGAAAACCTGAGGTATGAACTCGCTAGTCAGACCCATATGTCAAGTGCTTTGGGGATTCTGTGATCTTGTTTTTGTGGAAGGTCATAGGAATTCAGATTAGAGTCATAATAATAATACTCCTTATTATAATAACCCAAGTCACTCTTCTTGTAGTTTTCCTGATTATCATTTTCATCTTTATAATTGTCATCCTCATCCCCCTATCCTCATCATTACCATCATCATAGTGCGACGACTAGGAACAGTAGCGCTGTTTAATTATTAATTCTGTGGTTGTTGTTTGACCATGCAACTTTTACTTTTAACCATAGGTATGCACAAGAAAGATTATGAAAATGTTTGTACAATAATGTAGAAAATGCTCCTATAATTATAAACGTACTTGATATGAAAAGCTGTATCCTTGTTAATTGGAAAACCAAAAATTCAAAGTGATCATGAATTGTAATCATTGTGATCCTATAACTTGGTATTGGTTTCCCTCATACTTGTCATTTAAGATACCAGGCCGAAAGACGATGGAAAGACACAGGGGAAAGTACCTGAAGATGTTCAGAAAAACATCAGAGACAAGTTACGGTAAGTCGTATTCCTGAGGACAATTTACTAATTCAGTCAGTATTCCTGTATACTTTCATTGCTCTTGATAACCCAAATGATTGCCTTAGACTTGCCTGACATGTCAATCCTGTCACCTCTGTGTTTTTCAGGCTTCACACTGTAAAGAATCTACCAGGCTCCAACATGTTTTGGGCTCTAGTCAGGTCAATCAGGGAAAACCAGCTGGTATCTCTACAACATTCAAAGGCTTAGTCCACTCCAAATATAATTTGCTTTTAATAGATGCAGAAAAACAAGCCAAGCCAAAACAAATTGAGTAAAATCCGATAACTGATAAGGACGTTAGGAATTTTTGAAAAACAATGAAACAATAGAAATCACTACACAAATTGCCAATTTGGTTATCAATTCATGACGTCATTGCCTCACTATTTATAGATTGATTTATATATTTTTATCCCATTAATTTCCATTTTTATCTCCAAAACTTGATTACACTATGCTTTTGCCCAGGTTATATGATTTGTAGCATAATGCGTGCATGAAATTTCACAAATTATTTTAAGAATTTTGAGGATCAATACTATTTTCTGAATATTGTATTTCATAATCGTTGATATGTATAATTGTATATAAATAGTTTATCAAAATTCACATTTTTCATGATTTAACTGAAGAAAAAAATTACTCTAAATAGTCCATCCACACAAAAACATATTATTATCAACATTACTTGGATGCTGGTGTGAAGAAAATCGGATTCTTAGGGGGAAAATAAGAAATTCATATTATAAATATTAAGAAAACAATTAGTGGATAGTGAGGCAATGACATCACAGACTCAAGAGTGAGTTGCCAACATGTCTTATGATTTTCAAAGTTGTTCATGTCATTAAAAATTCATAACTTCTCTTATTAGTTATCCGATTTTACTCAAACTTTTTTTGATTGGTTTGTCTGATATTTCTGCTTCTATTGAAAGTAGGTTATTTTTGGAGTGGACTTGGGCTTTAATGTATTCAAGGTAGATTCTATGATAATTTATGACTACCTTGGATGTTTAATATTGTTTCTCCTCGTTCTGTGTTGAATAGGGTCTTTCAGGAAGCAAACAAGAAGAATGAGATGACCTTCCAGGCCAAGTCCATGGCACCATCTGAAATCAACTTCCTGGAGACAGCCGCTAAGGAATTAGGCATGACATTCCAAAGAAGAGAATATGTAAGTTCAAAGCAGTCTGCTCAGTTTTAAATCGGACGATATGTTAGCTCGTAAAATGGCGACTGGCTGGAATGCTCCCCAGGGAGTGGAAAATGTGCATACACTGTGTGCGGGTAAGCCTGAACCCGATGACCAGGGTAATAATATATCTGAAAAGTGCTTAGGCACATCGTTTGGATCGATGTATTGAGCGCTATATAAACACAGAATATTATTATTAGATGTGTTATCGTAGTAAATGTGACAGGTCTTATATCATGTGTGAGTGATTAAGCTCTATATAATATTCAAATGGTTGATAAATATGGCAAGTAAAAAAGAAGAATAATTTCATATCAAAGCCTGCATAGAGTATTACTTTACTTTGTTTAGTATTGCAAGTCCAAACATCTCTTTCCAAATTAATATCAATTGTCGATAGTTTAAACATAAGATACCAACATGATTCCCCAAACATAACAAAGAAACTAAATTTTTGTGTTTTGTCCCCTTGAAACTTGTAAGATTTGTCTGATTTAGTCTCTTCTCTCTCTATTTTTGTCCTTATTATTTTAAAAAGAAATCATTTGTTTACCGGTATATTCTATATTTATTTAACTATTATTTATTTATTCATTTATTTATTTATTTATGTATGTATGTATGTAAGGGTGTGTGTATGTATGTATGTATTTAAAAAAAATATATATTTATAGTTTTATTCATTTATTCATTCACTTTGATTTATTCATATATCTTTGCAGCAAGGGGAGAAGATTATCAAGATCATGAAGGACCGTCCAAGCAACACTAAGAAGTGAAAGAACTCTCCTCCTTGCCAGAACCTTATAAACATTCAAACCCACCGTGCCTGCCAAACATTACTGCTCCTGCAGTCTGGTTAGCATCTGTCTTGCTTGCTTGCTTGCGGACGCTAGAGGATTTGTGCCAATAAATACATTTGTTTTATCATCATCAGTATTATTGTTATCGTCATCATTTCATTGGCAGACGAGCCGAGGTCAGACTGCAATGAAAGACACCGAAGTTTGTTTATTCTTCAAACATCTCAGGCAGAATTCTGCAGGAGAAACGGTGAGAAAGATCTTCAACGGCTGAAAAAGTTTTGCTACTCCAGATTTGTTAACCGATTGCGTAGAGGAGTAAGGATTCTCCTGTATTAAAGCCTATGGGATTGGAAGACTTCAGTCCTCAGTGGATTATATGTTTCAACATCTCAAGTTTAGATGGAAAGACGGATAGACTGTTGTTGTGTTGAGAAATGATCATTTACATCATTCTTTGGATTTACAGAATGAAAATTCCTGTTAAAGTGACTCAGTAACATTGAGAAGGTTAATGAAAAAAACTGCGTAATTTGTGTATTAAATGTTACTTATTATATTCCTTCCATTGTACTAACCCTCTAACATGCAAAAGATCCTGAAAAAAATATCAAAGCACAAAGATATTTATGGTTTTCTTTGAAGGCCTCACTGTGCGACACCCTCTAACAGTAAATTCTCCCAACCATTTTTAAATTTTTCCAACTGTTTTTCATGAAAATAAGACATACAAATCTTTCATCACTTAAAATATGTCTGGAACGGTGCCTACAATTCATTGCTTTTTGACAATTTTCATTCACCTAAAATGTAACTAAATAGTTGGGAGAATTAAGGAATCATTCAGATCAGTTTTTCCAATTTGTATCATTAATAATGAAATGTTTTCACTCAAACTTTCAGATTATCTTTAATTGTACATCCTCATTGAATTCACTACCTAAGCCCCATCCTCTCTCATCTGAACAATGTTACAAAGTCCCATTAAGGAATGTGAAGGAAAATAAATAATCTTGCACATTGAATGTTGTGTTTATCATTTATATATATGTAAAGTTATATAACTTCCGATTGTTAACAGATTGTAATCAAAGGCAATTATTTTCTTGATGCTTCAAATTTCTAGAGCCAAAATTCTGTGATTTTTTAAAAAGGGATCTCAAGGTTATATTCTAAAGGCCCCCCCCCCCCAAAAAAAAAAAGTAAAAAATTTTTGCTACCAGCGTAAAATGAGTATGTCAGTTTGATTCTTTAAATCTCAAACTTTAAATAGTGGACAAACTGCAATTAAAGAAAGACTTTTTTCTTTTTTTGCTTCCAATTTCTGAGGTAAAATCTATGTTTTGTAATCTTAAGATAAATTTCTAGATACTACTTGTAGCCTGCTACAGTAAGGTCCAGTGTATTGGTTATATTCTCAAAAGCTCAAAAGCTCAATAAACAATATAAGGACAGATTTTAAACTGAGAAAAGATCACATCCTTTCTGCTTCAAATATGAGAGGCAGTATTTCTTTATCAGGGGCAAAAATTAAATATTTTCAAACATTTTGTTCTGCGGTAAGAACGAATGTTTAAAGGGATCATTTAACAATGTTAAATCTGAGATACACGGCCCTACGTGTTATCAGTGTCTGTGATATGGTGTAATATTGAAGCCCTAAAAAAATTGCACTTCAAAGTGATCAAGAAGTGCCTCAAAAAAGTAAAAATCTTTGAGTGACCGGTTTTACCATACTCGTTTCCCCCAATAGACTGTAGTGTTATGAAAACCGTCAGGCGTACGTTTTTCAAAATTTGTAATTCCAATCATAAATATCTTGATAATCAGACAGGCGATCGGCTTGTAAAAGTCATGGGGTTCCTGACTGACCTAAAGGTTTATAATTATCATTGCATCACGAGTTAAATCCAGAATTTTGTTTCAGAATCTGAGACAAAGTTACCGGATCACTTTAAGTTATATTCTAAAGCGCATATGAATATGAAGAAACTATGGTACCAAAGCTAAATTTCACTATCGCAAAATTTATTGTGTATAATTTGTACTGTTTTATGATGTATGCATTATAAAGAACAAGGATTTTTGCAAACAAGTATTTTGTAAGCAATGTCTGGTAACAAAAATGTAAAGTAGCTGTAACCAGAACAGAAGAGCATGAATTGTATCATTTTTACTGTTTTCTAATGTATGTTTAAGGGCATTATAAAGAACAAGGATTTTTGCAAACAAAAGATTTTAGCTATAATACATTTTCTAGCAAAACAATTTTTGCAAATGTCATGTATTTGTCATCTTGATTATTCATTTTAAGTTTCATTTGATTCTGTGATATTTTTTTTGGGTCATTACCAGAACTCAAGATATAATTATCAAAATGATCTCTTTGTTACATGTAGCCTAATGTCCGAGCCAAAATTGTTAGGTTTTTAAAATCTATTTTATTGCTCTAGAATATGTGTATTGATATACATTAAAAAGTGGAATGTAACACCATGCCATACCAGAGTGTAGTAAAAATGAAGTTGTAAATGTAATTGACTTTATAATCCTCATGTAGAATGGCTCATATGGAAATGTATGCATGTATAATCATTATCATATTGCTTAGGATCAGGTACTGTCTTTTATCATTGATCAGACTACCGGTAATCTAATGTAGAGCCTTATGTGTACAGATATTATTAAAAAAAGGTTAAACTTACACGGTTCACTCTATTGTTAAAAGAAGAAACTCTTTCATTTCATAAACCTTTACAAGTCATGTACTAGGATTGCAAGTTAGATACTAGGATTGCAAGTTAGACAGCTGTGACACTTTCTATCATTTTTATGAGAACTACAAACATGAGATATTGATATCATATTTTGTTGTTGTATATAATTATGTTGAAGTTAACACTTTTCTTGTATTAAATATGTTATTTTATCAGGAAAATGTGCCTTGAATTCTATTCTATTTTGTTCATGATTAATGCGTACTGTATTATCTTACTCTTGACCAATACCTATTGCTATTGTGAAAATAAGAATCGTGTTGAAAGTTTATTAAATCAGATTTTATTTTATTTATTTATTCATTTCCTCTCATAGGGTGGATGGCCCTTTCAGCACAGCTGATTTTCGAAGGGGTCCACAAACATAAAAATAACAATAAGTATACAATGAATTATACAATAATATGTAAAACGTTGAAAGTGCAAGAAGTAAGGCAATGAAAATGTACATGTAGTTACAACAAATAAATATCTAACAAATTAATGTACAAAACAAACAAACAATAAGACAGTTAATTACAGATATTCAACTAGAACGACAACAATAATACAAGTAAAACTGTAAAACCAATAACATAACACAAAAAACATCAAGGTAAACATAAGAGAAAAACGAGGAGAAAAAGCAAAACAAGACAGGAATAAGAGGATGGGTATAATATTTATCACGTTTAAAAGTATTTAAAAAAAAAGGGAAAAAAAAGAAAAAAAAAAAAAAAAAAAAAAAAAATATATATATATATATAACATAACTATAAATAGAATATCAAATTGAAGGTAAATATTGTAAATACACTTTATTTTTTCTCTCGTAGGCTGTCTGGGTTCCCTCTATATTCTCTTTCTTTTTAATCTTTCTCTCTCTCTCTCTCTCTCTTTTGGCCTCTCCCCCTCCCTCCCCCTCTCTCTCATTCACCCACTATCCCAGTTGTATTGCTCCCATCCGTTTTTTCTTCAGTCAATAGTTATTCTTCGAGTCTTTCTTTGAATCTCTAGCTATCAATCTCCGTCGTTTGGCTGTTTGAGCTCTCTCTCTCTCTCTCTCTCTCTCTCTTATAATTAAAATACATTTCGTGTAAAAGGTGAATGCACCGTTTCCTCACGATGCTGTTAGAGATGACGTATTCATAAATATATGTTCTGACTTGGACTGGTTATAGTATGACAGGCAGAGTTGTTTTTTGATAAGCTTATTAAAGTTTTACTGTGAAAAATTAAATGCCCCGAAATTACCCGGACGCGTTAACAATTTGAATAGTACATGTATTGGGAATATTGATAAAGGGGTCATACAGCTATAGCTACAAAATGGGCTGACAAACCAACTTTTACAAATGGCTGGGGTGGGGTGAGGGGGGGGGGGGTGGCTAGTGTCTCCCTGTTGCCCGAAAATTAATTCCCCTGTATTTCTATATTTTACCACTAAGCGAGGGAAGTGAGAAAACATTTTGACACTTTTTTAAGGCGAAAACGAAATTTCATAATTATAATAGATATGAAAAATACAAATAAACCACCTTGCTGCCCGAATATGAGATAGCAGTTGCCCGAATATAGTTAATTTTTCAATTCTCGAAGAAAGGGGGAGGGGTAATGTGGTTGGATGAGCAAGATTAGTGTGCGCTTGTAAAAATGGGGACTGGTCGCAATGCTCCTCAGGGAGTGGAGAATGTGCATACATTATGTGCGGGTAAGCCTGAATCCGATGACCGGGGTAATAATATATACTGCGCCTAGAACAAAGTATTACTATTAGGCGCGTTATATGTGATCTTTGTGATCTATTATTATCATAATTAAAGATTTATTTTGTAGAAATAATGATGAGTCTTGGTAAGCATGGACAGTAATAGTTACGCAACCACTAGTCTTACAATCACCCGTTAATTAAATGGTGAAGCGGTAGACTATTATATTCGGAATTAATTCCTTGAAATGCTGGAGCGCTGTAATGGCAGCTATATAGGCTGAAGCCGGGTTAATAACACAGAACTGTGGTTAACAATACATGCGCCTCGGAATAGAATTCTAGATAGACGGCGCTATAGAATTTTTTTTTTAATATAACGGTTTTCATTGTACACATTTCTTGCCCGTATTCGCCGGTTATTTATTTTTCACTGTAATAAGGTAAATGCGTCATGCAAGGGATTTCAATCAGTTATAGATTGCCTCATCAAAACCCAATTATGAATGAAGTACAAAAGTGCATGAACTAGAAATGATAATTTCCTTCACTGTGGGCATCTACACATTGACTAGATGGGGGAAGACAATGACCCCAAGTTCGATCTTGCGCGGCTTTAGTTCTAATTAGCAAGCTAGTTCACCACTTAATTATTATGTAAACGTACATTGTACATTGTAAAGCGCTTTGAGAGGGCTTTCGGTCATGAAATGCGCTATAAAAGAACGAATTATTATTTTTATTAGTATTAATTAAAAAGCCAAGCAGAGATCTTCTTTTGTATAGCTTCCATTAGAAATGGGTCAACGCTTTCGGGCATTATTTGGGAATATATTTCCAGAGAAGAACAGAGCTATAGTTTCAAACTTCTCTCGACTAAAATATACACAGCCTCATTTATCATAGGAACTGACTAAAAGGGAGAGTAAAATCAAGTACAGTGTATATACTAAAATGTCTACGCGCAACTTTAAGTTACTATCTCCACCAAATATCATTTTTGTTGGGTTAATGATTTTGACGATATGGACTTCCTTTCTACAGAGCGCTGATTGTGAGTATATATGTATTTTCTGTAGATACATCATGTTGCTGCAGTCTAGCCCAATTTGTTGGTGACTGCACTTCCCGTATTTATCCACCTTTTGTTCCGATCGAGTCCCGCATAATAATCGAACCTCCTGCGCGACACCATTTGTCCCTATTTTTCAGACTCTTGAACTTATATTCTCACTACAAACTTTGTGACTACTTCGCTTTCCATTGCTTATTGAGCTGATACAAAGGGAATCTACGTCAGTCATCGCTACAAAAACAAGTTAAAAATATGCAAGCCCCGTGGTAGTTCCACTAAAACGTGGATGAACTGTCTAATTTTTCTCCTCGTCGAGTTACATTTTAGATCTAGAATTTCGTCTGCTTTTTACTTGTTTGCATAGTTACACAGTGGATGATGTTATGGTCATGATGATGGCAAGGCATGTGAGTCAATTTTCGACCGTATATCTCGGGGTAAAACAAATAAACAACATACCCCCCCCTTTTTGTCCCGGAAATTTGACAATTTGGCCGACCGATATTTTGTTCAGTTGGGGGGGGGGGGGGGGGGGGGGGGGGTAAGGTCACCTTTTTTGGTTTACCCTTTAGACTTTAGTACGATTTATATGTATATAAATATATATATATATATATATATTTAGATTGAAACAAAATTGAGGGGGAGGGGGTTTCCTCCAAAACACACACATAACAAAAAATTGAGGGGGGGGGTTCGACCCCCCCCCCCCCATGCGTACGCGCCTGCTTGGGTTGAGAGTGGCAAAATAATGTAGATCCATTTTGTTTTCTTCAGGTCCATACGGGCAGGCAGGATCGAGCACAGCACAGATGAGAGAGAAGTCCGAAGACTGTCATTTCAAAATGCTTTTTTTTTCATTTTCTGTAGATACTTGTCCATCTGGTTGGTTGCTATTCTCCTCCAGCTGTTACTTCATCGACTTGGAGGACAGGACTCGGCCCGGCGCGTCGGCGGCCTGTCAAGTGTACGGAGCTTCGTTGGCCGAGATCACGTCGGCCGAAGAGAACAGTTATATCGGAGACCTAGCTGCTGCCTCGGACACGGCCTTGTGGATTGACTGCAGGGACGACATCTCGGAGGGGGACTGGTTGTGCGGGGATGATAATCATCCAATTACCTACACCGGTATGAATAATGTGTTTGTGATGATGAATAATTTAGAAAGATAAATAGGGGAGGGGTGAGGGCAGTATTATGATGACGAAAGTGGTTAAAACTTTACCCCCCCCCCCAAGAGGGGCGGATCAGGGGGGGGGGGGGGGTGTTTCGGTGGTTTCAACCCCCTTGGGCAACCAAGTGAGAAGAAAAAAAAGAAAAAAAAGTAAAACAGTAAAACGGCGTGATTTTGGGAAATTTTGTTTGTTACCCCCCCCCCCCCGCCCTTGGCAAAAAACTAGATCCGCCCCTGCCCCACATTTTTCAATTTTGCCGACGAATAATTGCCAGCCTATAGTGACGCCTCTGAGTCAGACTGTCAACGAGATAAATTGATAGGCAGACAGACAGGGATATCCAAAGATTAAAGGTAATGCACATTTTTGGTAAATGTTAAAAATTAGCTGGATAGGGATTCTTTACAATTTTGATATATTTGGATGCCCCTGTGGATGTTTATAAGCACTAGCCCCTAAAAACCTTCTGCTTTCGAGAAAAATTGAATATTAATATTTACCGGTGCTCCCGGTAAATTTTGGTAAATTTCAAAAAGCACATACGGCCGGAAAATGGTAGCTGCGACCATGACAATTTCAGAATATGTGATATAATTTCCAAAGGGGAATAGCTAATCGGTCGATTTTAGTCAAGAAACATTGTTTTAGAGCTTATGACCTTGAGAGTGAGCTATAAAACACAAAGAGTTTGTTATTTACAATTTCATAACTTTAGACTCGATTTCAACCGCGACAAAGATCACTGAATATTGTAGGATCGCATATATGCTTTCAATATGTCCATTTGAACCAAATTCATGACCCCATACCAAAACTTTGTATTATACCTTTAACGAAAACGAAGAGAACTAGGGGATCGAGAGAGAAGTGACATTATTTTATGTTCTCATCTTTAAATATTTTGTAATTCCTTATATTCAATTATTTCAAAGAGTTTTGCCGATGTTAATCATTTGTTTTTATCATACTTAATGTTTCTACGGTTCTCTCTCTCTCTCTCTCTCTCTCTCTCTCTCTTTCTCCCCTTCTCCCCCCATATACAAATTCATTCCGAACATTATTTTTGTCACTGTATTATTGACAGGTTGGGGACCAGGAGAGCCCAACAATATAGATAATGAAGACTGCGCCGTCTTGTACAGCGGTTGGTGGTACGATATTCCTTGTACAGCCACAGTTCCATCAGTCTGCAAGAAAGATGGTATTGGCAATGGTAAGATAACAAGCTCTTGCTAACTGATGTGAACGCGGGGGGGGGGGGGGGGGGTCATGTGGGAGGGGGAAGGAACTATTGCGTCATCATGTACAACGATCCTTGGTATGATAAGCCATGATTTACAAAGCGAAACAAATCTCATTTGCAAGTGGGGGGGGGGGGGGATTGCAAATTGGAAGCAGGATCGATCACTCATCTCTGAAGAATGGAAAGTTCTTAGCGCGCGGGCCATGAAAGGGGTCGGGGGGGGGGGGGGTCGTTGTGTCATCCGATCAATCTGACTTGCGTGCATAGAACAAAATAACATTTTTGCATGAAAAAGTGAAGTTTTCTAAAGAGTGCGTTTCTTTCCAGCGTTGGGATACCTGTTACTCACTTGGGTAACCTTTCATAAAGTATAACATAAAAAAATAATATAAAATTTCTCTGTACTTTTGTCGGAAAAAAACATAGTAACTCAGCACATTTAACAATTTGGAAATCTAATGACTTTTCAAATGAGGCTTGAATTTGAATGCACCATAATTGATTTTAGTGACAAAAATATGAAATTGGGCGGGAAAAAACTAATATGAAACACCGGTATACTCCCGCCTGAATCTACGGCAAAATACCCCACATGGTACCCTATAGCTACTTAATCCTTGTGGGTATAGTTGTACAAAGGTTGACTTGATTTAGGTAATTTATGAAAGGGTTAATCGTGGTGCTTGTCATGGATTATTATTTGTCCGAGGATAGTTACCAGACAGGGGTAATTACCCGAAAGTGCGTGCGTGTGTGTGTGTGTGCGTGTGTGTGTGTGTGTGTATGGTTGGGGAGGGTGGGGATAGTTGCCCCTAGATAAAATTAGAGATATTGAAATTGAATTTCACCTTGCGTTCATTTGTTCCCGGCTATTTAGCCGTTCCATCCTCGAGATCAATGACCTTCAAGAAAGACGTCTCCAATCCAGGCTGTCTCAGAAATAACGTCATCGAGCAAATTGAACAATCTACGCTGATCAGCTGCGGAGGGCGCTGTCTCCAGTCTGCGGACTGCTCCTCAATAAATTACTACCCTCATCGAGAGAGATGTGACCTTAACAGTGCCACTAAGGCGGAGGCTAACGATTCTGATTTCATCGAGTTTTTTCATTGTGAATACTATGACATTCTTTCATAATTTATTAGTCTCGTGCAGTGGAGTAGCGTGGGCTCAAACATTTGGGATGGGGGGGGGGGGGGGGGCACCAGTCTGTAGTTTCAAGTTTTACGTTTTATTTGCTCCGCAGTTTACCATAAATATATAGACACACCTATGAAATGGAAATTATATATATACAATACATTATGAGCATGTCTCAATGATTCTCAATTCATACGATAGATTAAATAGAATGTGAGGAACCTAGCTATTGAAAAAGCAGTGCTTGTAACTAGGGGCCTGGTAAAATAAACATTGTAAATGTAAAACAGTAGCAGAAGAGAGAGACGTAATTGAGGGGGGGGGGGGTTAAAACACAATGGAATAAGGAAATTTCTATTCAAAATAATGCATTAGCACCAATAACTGTCTTTTTACTACTTACAGATAACAAACTAAATTTGGTTGACTCAGAACTATGTAAATTTTGTAAAAAGTTCCCTGAAACAATGGAGCATATTTTGGGGGAGTGTGAATATGTAAGGCCGCTATGGTATGAGGTTCAAAGCTGGTGTAAAGATGTTACTAGTCCTTATGCAAGTTTGAATTTTGACTCTGTATCATTTAGATATAAAAGAAATAACCCGAATTTGTTTTTGAGCCTTTGTTTAATCTTAATGAAAAAAAATGATATATGTATATGTTAACAGATAGGAAACATAGAACATCGTTTAGATGTTTCAAACATTTGATTAAGTTTAATTTTTCTCTTGAAAAGCAAGTGGCTTTGAAAAATAATACAACGAGCGAATTCTTTACTAAATGGCATACGTTAAATGTTAATGCTTTAGACGATTAATATATAATGTAAATGAATTTGTAAGTGAATTTTATCGGGGAAGAAATAATGAATAATTCATGACTTCTCGTGTTCGGTTTAATAAACATTCAGGTGGTGCAAACATGCGGTGGAAATAGGGGATACTCTACTATTTATCGGCTCGTTACACCTCTTCCTTTTAGTGTAATTTTTTTTCTTTCTTTTTTTTCCCCTGTATTTTATTAAACTCGTATGAAATAATTTGTCAAATTACTGCCCTCTTACATTTGATTATGTACGTCTCTCTAAAGTAAACATTTTCTGTCCCGGTCATTTTTCCACGTCCCCTGGAACTTATTCTTTACAAGCTATGCTTTTCTATGTGTTCCTGCACATTGCACAGTTTTCTGCTTTTCTTGTCTGGGTTTCCTTTATACGTGATAATAGTTGTCAAACAGATTATGTAGTCTGATTAATTTATCAATTACTAAAATCATTTTGTAATTACGAAACAATATAGGATGTCTTTTATGTATATTTTGTTATCTGTATTGAATCTGCATGTGAAATGTGAAATGTGAAATGTGAAATGTGAAATGTGAAACCAATAAACTCAAACTCAAACTCAAACTGTTACGACATTTAAAAAAAAAAAAAAAAAATCTTCTCTCATTTCTGTTAGATTGTAAAATTGTATTGTTCTGTTTCTGTTTTGTTCAAAATGCAATGTATTTTATTATTTCCCGAAGTGAGGGGATATTTAAAGAAACCTCCTTTTGGCAGATTAAAATACCAAACGAATGTGTGTTTGATCGACCCTCAGAGTTATCAAGATGGTACCACTGTTTCTATACCAGCTAGGTTAGCCGAATTCTGGTAACGAATTAAAATATAGGCTTTTATCATACACGGGGAAATGAGTCGCAGATGTTTCGGATATTTTCTTTTTTAATTCGACAGACGCAATGACACAGACAATCGTTAGCTCTGACTATTTATTACCATGATTCTGACACTGCATTTACTGTAGCTACATGGTTACAAAAAATGGTCTAGGAGAATTCTTCGTCAGTCTCCACATCTTTCTCAGATAGCCTAACCAAACAAAAGCAAGTATTACCAATGGCTAAATGCATAACTATCCACAAATCGTAATCACATTTCATAATATTATGGAAAAAAACATTACCACGGAGCTTGTAAACAACGCTTCTAATTTCATTGGCCGACCTATATATTGAATCTATTATTTAGGTATGCCAACTTTACAATTTTCAATTCACAAATATCGCAAACAATAGGCCGGCTTAATAAAATGTTAATTATAGTTCTTAAACAAATTGTACTCTGGGCCACTCTAGATCATAAGCTTGCCGTTGCAGGCATGGTAACAAAATAATGCATGCTAAGTGGATTTCATCTATGCTGTTTTGAATAGCAGGTCAATCAAATAGTAACCATAGTAACTTTACAATTTTCAATTCACAAATATTGCAATTATTAAATATAATTCTTGAGCAAAATTTACTCTGGGGCACTCTAGATCTAAAGCATGACAGGTATGGTAACAAATAATGCATGCAAAGTACAATTTTCAATTTACAAATATCGCAAACAGTAGACCGGCTAGCTTACTAATACTGCTTTCTAACTGGCTTCTATCGGAATCACACCGATGAAAATACCGATTGAATTTTCCTTTTGTAAACAAAGGTGAAACCGCAGTTTTCCCCCTGTCGCTTTCTAACTGCCGGTGAAATTCACTCGCTGTGGCGAGCCCTTGCCGGAAGTGAAGAATAATTTATTGCGTAATTATTAAGCCCGCGCTCCATCTAGCTAGCATGCAGCATGTTCAACCATAAGTCAACAAACACAGCTGGTTACGATAAAGCGCGCGTATACTGCGACCTTTGACCATTTTAATCGCCTTTTTCTCCCGAACGCTTTCTAACTGGCAGTTTCATCGGTGTCACACCGATAGAATGAGAATTTCTCCTGCTCTTGAACAGGAGAATTTAATCGCCTATTTCTCTAAGTTGGAAATCGCATGTAGATGCGGTCACAAACAAGGCATCGAGGACCCTTGGATTCATTCGGAGGAATCTCGGAAGACAATGTCCAACAGAAGTGAAAAAACTGGCATACATCTCTCTCGTACGATCCCAGCTAGAGTATGCTTCGGTAGTATGGGACCCCAATAAGCGGAATCAAATAGACCAACTCGAGAAGGTCCAAAGACGTGCACTTCGTTTCATTTGTGGAAACTACCAGCGTGATGCCAGTGTAACATCCATGCGAGAACAACTTAATCTCCCAACACTTGAAGAAAGAAGAAAACGGGCACGTTTGTCAATGTTCTACAAGATAGCAAATAACAAAATTGCGATACCAATACCGGAGTACATCAAACCGAGGCAGCGCACTACAAGGAGGAGTCAACCAGAACGATATATGAGACTAGGCTCTTCAATGGACTCTTACAAATTTAGTTATTTCCCCAGGACACTTAAGGACTGGGACGAGCTACCTCAAATCATCGTTGAACTGCCCTCTTTGGAGCAGTTCAAGGTGGCTCTTGAAACAATTTAGTTCCCTTTTCAGGAACTGTACCGCATAGAGCTGTATAATTATACAACTCTATGCTTTATCCTCATCTAGATGCTGAACAGGCGTTGATGAGTATCACCATAGAAGTAGAAGTAGAAGTTCTCTTCTTCTCATCGGCTATTTAATCGCCTTTTTCTCCTCTGTTGCTTTCTAACTGGCAGTTTCATCGGATGCGTCACTTCACTTTAACCCTTTTTGTTTCTCTTCAATTCCCTGTACTTCAGCTTTGGTATATGCTCAACTTCGTATTGCAAATTTATTTTGACACAAAATTAGCTCAATTATTGAAAGAGTAACAGAGGACCTCCATTTTTTATAAAAGGCACTTAACATTATAATAACTTAATCAAACAGGCACGCATTCAACAATACCAGGCAAATCCGACAAACTTTTGATAAACATGGACAAAAAACACCAATCAATACTATTGATTGATAATGGTCTTAGCATCCCATACTAGAGTTATTTTTGTGTACCTTTTAATTTGATTAGTGGCTTACGAGAATTGATAAAAAAAGAATTGTGACAAAGAAGTCACAGTTAATGTTCATTATCATTAATTTGATACGGGGACAACCATCGATTCATCTATTTAAAAAAAACACACATATAGGTGTACTTCAAATTCAAATTACCCTGTTTGTAGGATTTGTAATATCCTTTATTATTCCTGATTATTAAAGTTGTTTCTATTGATGTTCTTAGATGATACTTTCAACTTAATCATAACGGTAGCGTTTGACAGGACTATTAATTGATTATTCTTCTCGCTCCTCTACTTAGCCTTTAAACAAGGCCACTTGTCTGATAGACGCCGAGCGACTTAAACGAGACTAATCGCGAAAACCCGAGTGAACGAAAGAGCGAGAAGCGTCACTCGGCCGGTCGCGCGTTCACCCCGGGTATCTAGACTCATCTTAGCCGCTTAGCCAGAGTCACGAGGCCTTGTCAAAAGGCTATCCTCTACTCTGAATTTAATTTTCTTTTCATTCCTTTATGTAAATGATTATATGGGTGTGTGCGTAAGGGTCAGTGCGTGTCTTGTGCGTGTGCGTATGTGTGTGTGGGGGTATGTGCAAGTGCGTACGCGAGAGTGTGTTTGGTACAACATCACTCCAATAGCACTTCATAATTTCATCCATACCAAGTATTGATATTCCTTAAGAGTTGTCAAAAAGGTGCTTCAATACCGGAGAATAATTGCAATGCGGGTAATCATAAAAGGAAAGACACATTTTTTTAGCACAAGAACCATTCCAGGTATATTTGGTCTAATCTTTTGAGTTGCCAAAAAGTTTACTTATATGCAATATCGGGTGAGATACTCCCAAATGAAAAAACAACTGCACCTCAGGATATAAGCAAGACCTAGGGCCATTTGAGTCCTAGTAACGAATTAAAACATAGCTGTTATCATACATGGGGAAATGAGTCGCAGATGTTTCGAATATTTTCTTTTTTAACTCGAAAGACGCAATGACACAGACAACCGTTATCTCTGACTATATATTATCGTAATTCTGACACTGCATTTACTGTAGCTACATGGTTACACAAGATAGTCAAGGCAAATTTCTCGTCAGTCTCCACATCTTTCTCAGATAGCCTAACCAAACGGAAGCAAGTATAATACGGAAAGCTAAATGCATAACTATCCAGAAATCGTATTCATATATCATATAACGGAGGACAACATTTTTTTCACGGAGCTTGTAAACAACGCTTCTAATTTCATTGGCCGGCCTATATATTGAATCTATTATTTAGGTATGCCACCTTTACAATTTTCAATTCACAAATATCGCAATCAATAGTCCGGCTTAATAAAATGTTAAGTATAGTTCTTTAACAAACTTTACTCTGGGCCACTCTAGTTCATTAGCTTGCCAGGCATGGTAACAAATAATGCATGCTAAGTGGATTTCATCTATGCCGTTATGAAAAGCAGATCAATAACATAGTAACCATGGTAACTTTACAATTTTCAATTCACAAATATCGCAGTTATTGAATATAATTTTTGAACAAAATTTACTCTGGGCCACTCTAAACTAAAACTTGCCAGTCATGGTAACAAATAATACATGCAAAGTGGATTACATCTATGCTGTTATGAATAGCAGATCAATAACATAGTAACCATGGGAACTTTACAATTTTCAATTCACAAATATCGCAAACAGTAGACCGGCTTACTAAGATCTAAAGCTTGCCAGGCATGGTAACAAAATAATGCATGCTAAGTGGGTTTCATCTTTGTTATGAATAGCAGCTCAATAAAATAGTAACATCAAGAATCATATCAATCATGTTACTGACAAGTTTTCATAAAAAGGAACCGGATAATTACGATTTTAATTTACTGTTGATTAGATAGACGGACACAAGATAGCACAACAATTTGTTAGGCTAAATTTCTCTGGATTATGAAAAAAAATTATAATTTGAATATGGGAGTGCCTGATTATTGTATTCATTCTTGCCATGTATTTCAATAGCGAATAAGTATAACTCGCTTAATGACGATTTGAAGCTATAAGGACCCCTATACTTCTCAAGGAGGTACATGTATTCATACGAAGATTGCCCGACACTGCAACACTATGGAAATGGAAAAGTTAATTTTATGTTTTATCTTACTTTTAGAGAGGAATTGTAGTGCAAAGTTTCTAGAAGAAATATTCAAAAATGTACCTCAGTAAACCTGAGGTACCTCAATAAACTACTGAGGAATACTATAGCTTACTTCATCTATGGCAACTTCTTTTAGTGACATTATTTTAGTCACTTCGGCAAGTACTCAAAATATTCACAGTTATCTACTCTCTTGAAGTCTGAACTTGACGTGGTCCTGTTTGAGTTGTTGAGCTGACATCTTCTTTGGCCCACGAAGACGTTCATTGATGAACAGCTAGGAAACCTGATACAGCTGGACAAGCAACGGATCAAAGAAGATGATTGGATGTCTTGGACCACGTGATTTACCAGACAAAAACCTGTATGTATGGTGTCTTTCTTCATGTATCCAGTGTTGGAAGTTATGTCCTGCGTCAGATGCGCTTTCATCGGGGCCGATGTGGAAAGAACTGGTAGCTCCATTGTTAGCGGGGTTGTTGAGGGATATGACTGCTGCGTTGTAACCGCGGCAGTGGAAGAAATCGGTTGCTCTGTTGTGACCGCGGCAGTGGACGACAATACTGTCTGCTTTGTTGTGGTCATGGCTGAAGAGGGAACCGGTTGCTTTGTTGTGACCGCGGCTGTGGACGAAACCGACTGCTTTGTTGTGGTAATAGCTGAAGAGGAAACCGGTTGCTTTGTTGTGACCGCGGCAGTGGACGAAACCGACTGCTTTGTTTCGACTGTGGGTGTAGCTGTGTGAGATTGGGAATAATACATGCAAAATTCGTTTTAAACACAAGCAGGGCCATGTAATGGGCGAATGGGACTACCTTGTTGTTAACGTCAGGATAACGGATCGAAAACGTTACAATGACTTCGCTTATATTGACAAAAATACTGTTTGAGGAAGGAGATATTAATTTTTGTTTTGAGGATGTTATATTGTGCTTACCTTTCTTCTCGCAAACGATGGAAAACCCGAGTGAGCAAGTTATATCGCTCCATACTCCTACCAGGGACATTACACAGTCTTCAAGCCCGTGTAAATTGTTTGGTTCTGAATCGCCCCAAGCTACACGCAAAATAATGAATAAATGTAAAAGATAATCAATACATTGACCCAGTCATTGACTACGTTTAGAGCGTGTTATAATTATACAAGCATATCTTTATAACATGCCCTACTACTTAACAAAACGGTATAAATTATCTTGAAAGTAATATAAATTTTGTGAATAATCATATAGTTAAGTTGCAAATATTTGATTATTATTTAACGAAAACTAAGTATCATAACATGATTGTTACCAGAGAAGTATTTTGATGTTGTGTATGTTATGAAGTATTATTTGAAAATACTAAATAAATTATATTGAATTTAAACTTGAAATTAAACTTGAATATGATATTCATAGAGAAATCGAGGGCGAGAAGACACTATAAAGAGACGCACTAACACCGATTGACGCAGACAAAGAGCAGAAGGAAAGACAGACAAACAGAGATAAACATAGAAGATAACAGAAAAGGGGGATGGGGGATATAGGGAGATGTATGAAAAGTTGAAAACATGGCAAAAATCATGACGATTGAGACGTGCCATTCATAACGATTAAAGTGGGTCTTAGCTAGATGGGTCAAATTTGCAGTAACATCGAGCCATATAGGCTACGTGCATAAATGTCCCGAATTATCATTTTTGTCCGAGATACATTTGGATGCAGGATAATGTTTTAGGGCCGATGAGGCGTATAGGACCAATAGTGCCTGCACCATGAAGCAGAACCCTACCCTGGTCTATAGGCCCATGTTCCATCCGTTGATCCCACTGAACCTTAACCCAACTCTATCCGTTATGACGTACGGTTGCCCGCGAGGCGTCATTTTGATTGCGTTATTATCTGAGCTAATCACCGTTGCAAATGCAATTAGTACATAGAACTGTATATTAACAACTCTATGCTTTACCCTCATCTAGATGCTGAACAAGCGTTGATGAGTATTACCATAGAAGTAGAAGTAGAAGTAGAACACGCGTATTCAAGTAATGTAACGCAATTATGTACATTGTTTACTGTGTGTCCTCCTTATTATGTACGATGTCGCCCTCTTATGGCGTGCCAAAGTCCGCACCAGTTGCTAACGCAGTACTGACGCAGTTCTTCGTCAGATAAACTAAGTCTCGTGTGCAAGCTAAGCCCAACTCTAAACCTAAACAATTAAAGAAATGCAGGGAACTAGGAAAAAAATGGTACAATAATTGGTCTTCATATCGTACCTGTGTAACTAATTGGATGATCATCGTCTCCACAAACAAATTGCCCTTCTACAAGATGGTCTCTGCAGTAGAGCCATATATGCCGACTATTTGCGATGCTCGTCACGAAAGTGTTCTCCTCCGCGGACGTGATCTCAACTATCGAAGCTCCTTGCCCTTGACAGGTAGAAGACGCCGTGTCCCAGCTCATGCTACCTTCCTGGAGGTAATAGCAACTGGACGAAAACTCACTCCATCCTGTCGGACATTCGGCTAGGTGAGAGAAAACGAGAAAAGGTGAAATATGATAGAAAAAAAGAGAACACTGAGTGCGTGTGTGTGTGTATGTGTGTGTGTAAGAGAGAGAGAGACAGAGAGAGAGAGAATGTAGGGTGCAACGAAGAGATTCCTTAAAAAAGCGGCATCTCAAAGTCACATTTTACCAAGTAAGTTGTTTCACATCTAACTTAGACTATTAGACCTACACCAGTCATTGTCCTTTAAAGGTACTATGTCCCATTTGCAGGCCAAAAAAATGAAAAAGTTGAATTCCAACTGCATTTGAAAGATCATACTAATTTAGAACTTCCCTAAAAAAGGTAGAGCTTGAAAATGTCTTCAAGTGGGAAAATAATGACTATTAGTTGTCAAATCGACTTTAGGGCTATAGAGCCCAAAAGTAATAGTCTTGATTTTCAGACAATTGTACCGAATGGTCATACGTTTTATGCTGCGCAAAGATTCAATCAGTTTAATCTTGGCCATCGCAAGAAGTGGGTTTGATGTAGACAAATGCTTATGTACCCTTTACAACTCTTTTCATGTATGTTATTACCAAAGAAGAAAAAAGCCCAGTCAGTCACTTAATAGTGTCTGACAGTGAAGTCTAGCAAGTAAACGGGTTTCCTTGCATAATTTGAATATGAGGACACTGCTAACGTTTAAATTTCACAGATAGGACATTTATGACATATTCATAATTCCTGCAAAGTTCTACAGAATTTGAGGTTGGCTGCAAAAGGGACATAGTACCTTTAACTTGTTTTAAATCAAATAGGATCCTATGCGTTCTTTAAAATGTAAGTTGTATTTCCATATCTAATATTGATCACTTTGTGGTTCGTTGCGCTGTCTCCTCTTCACCCTCCACACCCTATGAAGGAAGCCTTAATTGGTTAAAGAGCCTAGCCAAGGACCTTTTAATATATATATATATATATATATATATATATATAAGTCATTTTCATTAATTAAAGAAAATGTGCTTTTCAATGTTTTTTATTTATTTATTTAACATATTTATACAGGATAAAAAAGAAACAATCGAATCAGCAAAGCTGTTTTCCATCGATGTCCTGTTAACATGATTAAACATTTCCGATTCTAACCAATGGGATTCTTTTCATTACATCAGTAAAAAAATACACAAAATGCTTTTAAATGCAAGAAAAACACAATATTAGAAATTCGTTTGAAAGAAGTTAATGAATGACCAATTTTTATTTGTTAGGTGAAAAAATAAAATAGCAACAATAAAGACGGTTAAGAATCCCCATGCATGGTTAGAATTAGATAACATGTGCAAATACGAATATAATAATTCATGTTCAATGTTCAATGTTCAATTTATTTCTCCACAAATGCAAAACATAGGGAGCTACATAAAATAAAATACATACATACAATACAATAATAGAACATGTACATTATATATAAAACGACTCCAGTTGGAGCAATGTATGTTTTAAAAAGAAACAAATCAGCAAATGTGGAAGGGGTAGTCAAAAATAAAAAATGATTTGTCGAGGACTACCCCCAATAATTAAAAAAAATTATACAATTAAAACTTAAAAGTAAATATAAGGTAAAATTATGAGGTGGTACCAATAACGAGAAAGAAGAGGGAGAAAAATATCAAAGGCAGGGGGGGGGGGGGGAGTGCATCTACCTATATGTGAATGTTGTAAAGGATGGGTTGCTTAACAGGAATAATCAGGAATAACAGGAATAATCCATATAAATATTATGGAAGGGACAAGTGATTTAGACATCTAGTTGGATACTTTAAAAGGATAAGCGTCTCAGCTACCCCAGCAGATATTTTAAAGTACATGGGGGTGGCATTACAGTGCCTTTAAATGCTTGAAAACAAAACGATAAATAGGATTGCCCTCTAGTTGTGTATGTACATTATCAAGGAACTAATATAATTGCAAATAATTAACTTACATGCAACTACAGGGATAACGCAAAGCAGCACTTCAAAGAGTATCACACCAACTGAAATCAGTTTTGAAGATCGTTTCAAGAAGCTCCCACCAGTCAACATCTTGCTTGCGAGACAACTCAGTTCAGTATTCCAGGAGATGATTCAAGGAATGAAATTTGTGCTGCTCTCTTTTGAGTTACTTCTCGACGAGTAAAATGATCACCGTTCGACAACCTACCGACTTATACTATTTGCCCAGATATATAATATATAATACTTAACAGTGTTTGATTTAGTTGGTATTGCTAAGTGAAATTAACATCACACTTCAATTACTGTTCCATTAAGCTTCGTTCACACTGTTTACCGGTTTACCCCGGCATATGGGAACGAGCGTTTAATTAGGAGTGGAAAATTGAGTTGTCTGCTTCACGTACTCTGTTGCATGTTTCTATTGTGTCGTACACGAACTAGAACATTCTTTTATGTGTGTGACAATGGGCATACAATTTGGCAGATTAAAAGGGTCGATGTTATCTGGGGCTATCCTGTAAGCGTTTTTCTTTTTTTCCTACTGGTTAATTGTTGTTGTTATTGGTGAACCGTTTTCCCATTTTCATTTGCAAAAGCGTCTGGGATTATCACAAATGAGACTAAGAAAATAAGAGGTCTAAGTTTATTAAAAATGTCGTTTAATGCAAATGAAATGTAAACTCAAATTACCATGACAACCATTTTGGTCAGGAAAGCCATCTTTTGTGTACGCCTAAGTGCGTGCGTACAGTTCGCTTATTTTGACACGCCAAGAATAAGTAAAGATTATTATAACAATCACGGACTATTTATTTTTGATATGTGAAGGATAACAACACTAAAAGACTTTCTTCATTCATTGCACAGCTCTATCATGTAATTTTGTTTAAAGGTATAAGCACAGCATGGACCAATTCTACCAGTCCTGCAATCACGTGTTGGGAATTTTATGGTGACTATATAGGCCTATTGGGTGGATGAAGGGAGGGGGGCGGGGGAGGGGGGGGGGGAGTGGGTGTAGGTACAACATTATTGTCGGGTCATGCTTCCAATGTGATATTCTGTGACATTTCTTCATACAGTCCCAAGTCAAAAAGGAGGGTCGAGGATTATCAGAAGGAGGTGGGCAAAAAAATTATAAAGAAGGAAAGTCCAAGATCCCTTGGTAGCATAACATAATGTACTGGCTGTTGTGTCGAGCATGGTAATTTTTCCACTCGTGGATTCACCTATACTTTATATATCTCTCTTTACATAATAATTTCTCTCAGTCGATCTTTCTGCACCTCTCTATGTATTCTCCTACCTATATCTCCCCCTCTCTATATATATCTCTCTCATACACACACACACACACACACACGCACCCACACACACAAGCTCAAATGCGCGCACACACTATATCTCTTTATTTTTTTTTTATCCCCGTTTCTCTTTTGAATCTGTCCCTCTGTTTCTCCTTCCTTCCTTCTCTCTCTCTCTCTCTTTCTCTCTCCTTTCTCTCTCCTCTCTCTCTCTCTCTCTCTCTCTCTCTCCCTGTATACATATATCTTTTTCTCGCCTCTCT